ACCTCGATTTGCAAGCAAAATGGCGTGGGAAGGTGGCTCAGGTTATCACCCTTAAGGGTTTGTAAATTTTAAGGTTTTTTTGAGGGTCTTAAACCTGCAAATTGATTTTCCACAGGGTCCTATAGGGCATGGTTTGGCTTTGTTCCAGTGGATGCAGCATGTAACCTGTAGCTTTTTGGTTCAAAATGTGCAGGAGTAGCTGTGATGACAATTGGAAAAGAACTGTTTTTCGAAAATGATTATCTTTGGAAAAGGATTATCTTCGGAAAAGGACTAGTTAGAAAGCAATTGCAAAAAGGCTGAGAGGATGGAAACTAGAAATGGGACCTGGGATCAAAGCAAGCAAACGCTAGCAAAGCTTTGGAAAAGGCTGAGGGTTGTGGCAGAACCGATTCTGGCCAACAAGCTTTGGTTTCTCTGGGCAAGGGGGCAGCTCAGTGCAACTTTGATCAGGGAGTTGGCTGATTGTGCCATTCAAGATGGCGCAAGCCATACAATTGCACAAACTGGTAATTGGGGAGCACATCCAAGTACAGAATACTAACCCACCCCTTCTTGACCAGATCGAAGCCTTGAGAAGACACCTCTTGGCCAGCTTGCTGAGTTGGAGCAGTTTTGGAAAAGACTGCGGCAGCTTTGGAAAAGGTTGCAGCAGCTTGGGAAAGGTTACACCAGCTTTGGAAAAGGTTACAGCAGCCTTGGAAAAGGTTGCAGCAACTTTGGAAAAGGTTGCTCCAGTTTTTTTGTGCAGTCTGCAAGTTCAAAGGAACTTGCTGCATGTACTTTTGCATCTTGGGAAAATGTCAGCTGTGTGGTGTGTTTTCACCGTGTTTTGAAATGCGTTTTCTTGAGCTGATTTTTTGATTTCCTTTTTGAATTTTGCTGTTGAAACCTAGTATTTTTCTAGTTTGTTTTTGCCTTGAAAAATGAAATTGAGAGAATTGATTTGCAAACCCCTAAAATCAAATGTTTTGATTCTAATCAACAAGCGATGCTCAGGGTCCTGCCTCAGCTCGAGTCCCCTCAGCCCGACTCCGCTTCAGCGCACGCTCTCTGCGATGCTCGCCAACGGCTCCTTGACCTTGGGTTCGACCCGCCGGCGTGGGCTAGCATTGCCCGCCTAAGCCTGTTCTTGTCGAGGACCCCTCGGAAGACCGGACCAGGGGGGTGGCAACGTGCCGCCTCCCGCGCTGTCAGCGACAGCTTCGCCCTTGAGCTCGCGCGCCGCTCGCCCGCCTCGTGTGCCCAGCTTTCGTCCCAGTCTGGGCCCTTCGCTTCCCGTGTCTTCCTTGCTGTGCCTACTTCCCCGGAGTTGTCGCTTGAGCCCCCGCTCTTTCGCGTGCTCCTCCTCCGGCGCCTGCGGCTCCCCTTGCCTTTTGGGTCTGCGTGCGGGAGAGCTCTAGACGAGCTCGGTGACTATCGCTCTTCTTGCCCCCGGTCTGGCGCCCTGCGGTTGCGGGCCGGGCCCCTTGCGCGCCACCGCCCGTCTGTCGTGAAGCCGGCGCTACGGTCACCACCCACACGCTCCTTCGAACGTGCATGTCGACGGCCTTGATGACAGGCGCATCAAGGTTATCGCCAATGGCCTTCCTCTCTTTGGGGGGGCGCGCAGCTTGCGGTTGACACGATCCTCATCTCGGCACGCGTGGGTTTACCAGCGCCGCGCCAAGCCTCTTGTGCCGCAGCATACCACGCCCGGTGGTCGGCCCTCATTTCTTTTCCGGCCGTTGTTGCAGCTCTGGTCGCTCGGTGGTCTGCCCTGCTCTCCTTCGCAGCCCAGCTTTCCTTTGCCGAGTCCTCGCTGGAAGGGCGGGTCGTTGCTGGCCAGTCCAACTTCGGTGAACCTGCACCTGTCCCACCGCAGCATGTGTTGCCCATTGTGCTGCGTCCAGCTTGTTTTGGTTTTGGTTGACCCGTGCCCCGCATTTGATGAAGCATTGCGTGAACTCCTGCAGCAGTAGCCCAGCAGAATGCCGCATGGTTCCCCGAATGCGGGGAACCGAATGCCTGCGCTTGCGGCTACCCGCGGCGCATGCCTGCGCCCCTTACACTGGAGACCTTGGTCCGGGGCGCGCTTTACGCCCGGCCGCCAAATCCTGTAAGCCCCGACTTCGCGACTTCCTCTGCCCTGCCCGCGCACCCACGCCTCAACACCAAGAGGGCCCTTGCCCAGCGCTGGCCTTGCCACAGGCAGCATTTCCGCCGAGCCTGGCCTCAGCCATGCGACACGGCGAGGCTCCGCTTGATGCCTGTACCGCCTCTCCCGGCGCCGGCCCAGCAGCAACTAACTTTGTCCGGAAACGTGTGAGGAAGCTTCGACTAGGAAGAAGGGCGGAGCAACCCGGAACAAAGTCGGAAAATCGGAAAAAGGCAGACAAGTCCAGAAAACTTAGAAGAGCCAGGTTACCTTTCCGCAAAAACGACCTTTCCAAACAACGATCTTGTTTCCGAACAACAACCACAGTTGTGTGTGTGTGTTTTGCCCGAAAGGGTTTTTCGTACACATGCGTTTCGCAGGTTTATTCATCAACCTGTGCTAGTCCAGTGTCATGATGAAAGCCCTGAAGCTATTTGAATTTAGTTTGGCGCGCTCAGCGCTCACCATACCTAGAACATCCTTCCGGCAGAAATGTCCGCCCATTTTGGGAAAAGGCGCCTTTTTCCTCGTGATGGCGTTTTTGACTTGGCGCCGGCGTTTTTTGCTTGTTCGCGATGAGGTACCTTAAGCGTCGCTTGGCCCTACTCGCTTGGACTTCTGAACACTGCTTTCGCTTTGAACTGCGATTCAATCGTGTTCCCTGCCGTTGATGGCTTGTTGGACTTCCATTTCTTTCTTGTTGATCAACCCATGGCTTGCTTTGATGCCCACATGGATGGGGGAAGTTTGGAGACCCTGGAAAGTGCAGGTGCGACAGAATATTCACAGGCGAGCATTCCTTTGTTATTTCTGGGAATGCCTGGTGATGTTTTAGGCCTTCACAACACGCCGGACACTCTTGGCAACGTGTTCTTGTCCAATGTTCGGAGCTTTCTGGGCCGGAGCGCGGGCGGAATTCCCCGGGGAACGGGCGGAATTCCCCGGGAAACGGGCGGAATTTATTCGGGAAACGGGCGGAATTCCCCGGGCGGAATTCCCCAGGTCGAAAAACAGTGGACGTCCATCCCCCTTTGATCAGCGTTTGAGACCATCCTTTTAGTTGCATGGCTGACTGCAAGCCTGCCATGGATCTGCAGGGTGTCTGCCATCGTCCGAGACGCGCCGAGACATGCTGGGTGGGCAAGGGAAACAATCGTTCGAGTCTAGACCTTCTCACAGCCTTTGCTGGCAAGACGGGCTGGGTGAACATGGCTTGGTGGCGTCGTCCTTTGAAGCGTGCGTCAGTTGGGACAATTGCCTTGGCAACCATTGAGGGCTGAGTGCATCGTGGGCATCTAACTGTAGCGTTGCGGCGACGGCGTTTTTCCTTGGCTCGGGCGTTTTCCCCCATCCCCGGCGTTTTTTCCGAACAACGGCGGAAAATTTTGCCCTTGAGGAAACGGGTGGAAATTTCCGCCAACGGAGTTTCTAGGTACGCCAGAGCAAAATAAAAAGACATGGCCAGACGAATTTTCTTGACACGCAATTTCGTTTTGAGGGGGCTTTCTGTCAAGCCCCTTTCCGAATGTTGTAGCGGCTACACCGTTGACGTGTGACCCAAATTGAGACGCATGTTTCCAGGTTGCTTCTTGTTCACCACTTGGCTGCTGTGTTGGATCTTTGGCCCTTTGCTGAAAAATATGGTTTCCAATAAGAACCGGCAGAACGGCGCTTTTGCCGCAGGGCTGATCCACCAAATTTGCATGGCCAGGTGCTGCTGAAGCGAGAGGGGTCTTTGGCCAAGGAGAAGCACGCACAGGCTGGGCAGCACACGTTGGAATCAACAGCTTCGTCTGTTTAATTATTGGTTCGCATGTGACATGCGTTGTTTTTTGGGGTGCCCTTTGCTGGCGTATCTGAAAATACGAAACCAGTTTTTCGTGCTCTCTAGGTGTGGGTCATTCGTTGACTTTGGTTGAGAGGGAAGTCAAGAAGGACAAGCGCCGGTTGTTTGGCCAACCCCCCCCCTCGCATTCGCGGTGGACCAGCCGCCGCTCAGGAAGCCGCAGCTCGAGAGCTTGCTGCCAAAGCTGGAACTGAGGTGTGGTGAGCAGACGCAACTGCCCATGGCCGTGTTCTCTGCCCCATGCTAAATGTTTTTTTTTTTTTTTAATTTATTTTTTTCTCCGGTGGCTTTCTGATTTCTATCCTGGCGAGGAATCTACATGTTTCGCGTGGTGGGGAGTTAAAAAAGAGAAATCCGTCCCTTCTCCGCCTTCTAGCTTCAGAGTAGGGTAATCAGTCCGTGTGGCCACTCTGTGGTGCAGGCTCGTCAAGGGAATTACCCACGCCCGCCCAAGGCGCGGCAAGGCTCGGATGAGGTCACGGGGCTTCGGCTGAGTGAACGGGCAGGCCAGGCACTTGTCGATTGGCTTCAGCATGCTCAGCTCTGCTTGTCCCATGGCGCGTTCTGTCGAGGTTTGCCTTGCGACCGCCTTTTTAGCAAAGAAAGGGACCGTCCCAAAAGAAAAAGAACATTCACATGCACTTTTGATGTGGCCTTGCCGTTGCTAAATTTAGAATGCGTGCCAAAATTTGACTCCTTTGTCGTTCGTTTGGCGGTCGTTGGTGCCAGGCAAACTGGCCAGCAGGGAAAAGCGTGTGGCTGAAGACGAAGCGGCGGGGAAATGTCGATTTGGATCAGCGAGACGTCGTTTACCAACCCTTTTGCCTATTGCATCATGCGTACCGATTCGGGGAACCAACGCGCTTACCATGGTGTAGGCGCTTTGCGCGCTTTGGAATTATTGCGGAAGCCCAGACTTCTATGAATCTTCTTGTTAGGGTGTCGTCACCGCAGCCGAATGTGAAATGTGTCAAGTCAGTTTACCCACATGTGTGGACGTGTACGGGAGCTACGGGCATGTTGGCGCCAAATGTGGCTATTTTTTGTGTGTACTGATTTTTCTCTAGGGGGGAGGTCAGAGGGGAACCTTAAGTGACAGCATGGTTTGCTGGTGTTTTTGCATTTAGCAAATTGCTCTGCGTGGGCTCATGTGAGGCACTTTTGCGGCGAGAGCAAGAGCTGGCTGAGAAAGAAGCTAGGCCTGTCGCGCATTTTGATGCAATCCGCGCTTTTGGGTTCTCCTCTTTCTTTTTGCTTCTTGGTCCGTTTGGGGTCCCTGGCCTGAGCCGGAGCGCAGGATTGCAGAGCGCGAGCACGATGTGATGGAGGCTTGGACTCTTTTTGAGGGTATCCTTCTTAGGTGGGTTTTAAATGGCAACCGACGGGAAACCAATCACTTTTGGGGGGTCCCCTATTTTGAGACACGCACGCAGGTGTGGTCAAGCTGTGTGGCCTTTGAGACTGCGTCCGAGATGTTTGATAGCGCAGCATTTTTGTTTATCCCGGAGCTCAGCACCAGTTCCCTTGGAGCGGGCCATGTCCAAAACCGATGCCCTGAACTCGGTAGAGCAGGATGGTTACGCCTTGGAAAAGCTGCCCCAGTTTCAGTCGGACCTGGAGGTGGTGAAGGCAGCCTGCGCCGAGAGCGGCTACGCCTTGCAATTCGCCTCAGCTGAGCTCAAAGACAACCCGGATGTTGTGACTTTTCTGCTATTGGGTCAGATCTTTAGACTTTAACGTTTTGCAAAATCAAGGGTATTTGCCACTAAACCGCCAAAATGTTAAACTTTTTGCAGGGGGGTCAACAGCAGCCAAGGTGAAAGCCGCAATCTTCCAGCAACCGTTGACTTTGGAGCACGCCTCCCAGCGGCTCCAAGGCGATGCCGAAGTGGTCCGCTTCGCGGTGGCCAAGGACGGCTACGCTTTGCGCTATGCCTCCCCACAGCTCCAGGAGGACCTGGACATTGTGCACATGGCGCTGGCGCAGCGACTCCGTTTGGTTTTGCCGGATTCGGCATTCTTTTTAGCCAAGGTCCAGGACAGTAGATTTTGTTACGTATGGCGAGTGAGGCAAGGCTATGCCCTGACCTATGTGGCAGAGAAGCTCCGTGCGGATCCGGACGTGGTGAAGCTCGCCCTGCAGAAGGCCCCCCGGGCTTTGGCCTCGGCCGCCGACAGCCTCAAAGCCGACAAAGCCATGGCGCCTCGAACGGGAAACCAAAACTTGTTTCTTTGTTCGTGTGGGTGTGGGTCAAAATTAAACCACCAGGAGACCATGTTTCCATTTAGGATTCCATTTTGGGAACATATTGTTTGACCCACAGCCATGTTTGTTCCCTTACCTTAGGACCTTGGCACTATTGAGTTGGTATCCACCATGGCACAAAAAGAAAACCACCGAAATCCGGTCCTTTTTTTTGGTGGACACCGCAGACAGATTTTGTTTTGACACCCAGGTGCGATTCGCAGTGGAGAGGGATGGGATCGCCCTGCGCCATGCCTCCACGGAGCTTCGGGATGACCCGGAGATCGTGAAGCTGGCAGTGGCGAACAACGGCGCTTCCATCGATTACGCCTCGGAGAGGCTGAAGCAGGCATCAGATACTCAGTTGTTTAGTGGCACCAATTCTTTCCCTTTTTCTTTGGGTGGCTGCCCCACTAAAAATGGTCCAAGCCCCTTCCCATTTTTTCCAGGGTCACTGAACTGAGGATATCAAGGACATCTCCGAGCGCTCCCTGCGCCGGTTTTATTGGAAGGCCTCCTTCTTCCTGAAACTTTTGGCTCTTGGCCAGCTGCTGATGCGGGGACGCCTGGCTTTGTCCCGCGCTTGGCGCTTCCTATTTCGCAGGCATCGGGACCCAGAATCCGAGTCGGCCTGAGTGCACAGTGGAAGGCCAGAAAGGTTAGCTGAATGAGAGGTAGTGTTGGTGTGTTTTGCTGCTTGCCATCTTGCTTGTATATCATCGTGGCCTTGCAAGGGTTTTTCCTCCCCTCGAAGAGGGGTTTTTAGAGGGTTTTTCCTTGGACAGATCGTGTCCAGCCTGTGCGCACTGTTGATTGGCGTTTAATTAAGCTTTTGACGATGTGTTTTCTTGTGCTTTCTTGTGCTTCTTTGCACACACCATTTTCCCAGTGGCTGAAAAAATACATGTGGAAGGAAAGCTGCTTCGTGATGCTGGAGTTGTCCGCTAAGTGGAGTGAACATTTACCGCGTAAAGAGCCCACGAAAAGTCTGCCTTGGCAGGGATTCAGAAACCTCAGGGTAGAGGATTCCCCGGAAAGTATGTGATGTTTATTTAAGGGGGGCTAAACAGAACTGAGTCACAGGATCTGATGCGTGGCTTAGATCCATGCCCTCTTGTGGCAGGCCGAGTCCCGCAACATGCGCGAGTTGGCAGCCAGAAGGCATCGATATTCGGCACCTCCCCAGTCCAAGGGGGAGTAACATAAAATTGTACACAGCTGAGACGTACCAACATACTCAATACATCAGGCCCCTGTGGGTTCGTTGTGCTTCGGAGGTGGTGCAGTGGTTGACATTCTATAGCTACACCTGGTTTATTTGGCGTGCGAATTTCGGGGTGGGTGACCCGTCCAAAACCTAAAGCGGTTTTGGCTTTTAGATTGGATTAGCTTCAATCGACTGGCAGGCGGCAGGCCGAGATGAGGGAGCTGAGGGTTGCTGATTTGGAGAGCCGGCTGGCGGAAGCTCAGGCGCGCGCCTTTGGCAAGGCCAAAGTTGGGGACTTGATGCGAAGTTGCGTTAGTCCCACCAAATCGGCGGCTCGTTTTTTTGGAAGGTACCCTTTTGGAGGGAAGTCAAAAGGCAACAGCCAATTTTGACGGTGGTTTCCCTTTTCTGGAGTCAAATCCTCTACCTTTGTATGGCTTTCGGAGCCAGGCTGAATTGCCAATGTCGGTAGCAACCAATGGATTACCTCAACAAGCCTTTTCAGTTTCATTGAGCTACGCTTCTTACTTGACTTGCCGTTGCAAGTCACGCACAGAAATGTCAAGGTGTCAGATTTGGAAAGCTAGCCCTTTGCTTGCTTCTGACTTCGAAAGTTGGATGGCGACTTGGTAACCCAAAGTGAGCGTCGAGGCACCCCAGCACGCCGCCGCGCCTTTGGCCAGGCCACTCGGCCCGATGCAGGCGACGCGCGACGCGGACTGGGGGGACGTTGGCTGACTGAAGGTCTGAGGCGATTTGGGGCTCCAGCGGGGGCTCCAACTATTGGCATGTCACACGGGAAGCTTGAGTGTCAGGGCTATTTGAGAGATGCAGGGCCCCTTCACACACTGTGTGGGTGGGGTCTTTTTGGGAAGTGGGGGTTGAGCAAAGTTTGCCAAGGCTTGCTTGCTGGCACCCCATTGGTAGCCTTGCTCACAAGACCCCGGCGCCTGTCTTGCAGGCGTGACCCGGTTACTGCCGCGAGGCGCGGAGTGAGTTCGGAGTTGCGCGTTGATGATCTTTGCCTGGTTTGGTCAGAGTAAGGCTACTTGCCAACAGTTTCAACAAACTGGAGAAGCTGGGTTTTAACGATCAGGCTCTGCTCCTCGAAAGAGCCAAAAGCAGCTCAAATGGGTGATTCAAGATGATCTGAGGGGTTGGCCAAATCACCAAGTTCCCTTTCCTGTGCCTCAAATGGGTTGATGAAGCTTTTCCCCTTTGGTTTCCAGCCAAAGGGGAGAAGAGGTGCAAAGATGCTCCTTACCAATCCCGAGCCCAGACAGTTTTTTCTTGCGCTGGGCCGCCGGGGCGACCTGGGTGTGAGCGCAGGGCTAGGCTGAATTGGACGCGGATCAAAGGAGTTGGTTTCATTTGGGTTGCAAGGTTCTACTGACCTCAACGGTTTACCTTTACCGTGGTTTACTTGTGTTCAGGCCCATTGGGCAAGTGTGATGGGCTAATTTATATTCGGCCGGCGTTTCCCAGGCTTAGCTTCAGACATACCTACCGTTACGGAGGGTATCCTCCGAGGCTGATCAATGTAGTGATGAATTTGGTATTGGCAGGCGAGACACGGATACTTTTTGCAGCCACTGCGACTTTCGCGCCCAGATGCAGACATCAGCCGGCCCAGCCTGGGCCGGCCCAGCGTCGGCCGGCCCAGCGTCGGCCGGCCCAGCATTGGCTGGCCCAGTTCGGATAGCCAGGAGCCCAGGGTTTGTGCAAGTCCTGAGAAACCATGGCCCTTCTATTGACCAGCTCCAGATTAGAAATGACTCAGTACCCAAACCCTGTTGACCTTTTGGTGTGCCAGCGTTGATCTTTCACGAATCCTTTAGAGACACAAACGCGGTGCTCGGCTATGCGGAGCGTGCACGGCGCACTTGGCATTCCCAGCCAAAAGGGGACCCGCCCTTACCTGCTACGGCAACTGAGGTCCACTGCTAGTTTTCATCCGGCTCAAGTCATTTTCCATGGCTTTCTTTTGCCCCTCACCAACAGGTTGTCTTTCAAAGCATTTCAGGGCACATGGGGACCATGGCGCAACCGCAGCGCATGCACCTCTCAAACGCCTTTGGCAGTTGTTTCATTGAAATCAGCTGGGGCTGTGATCGGCAGCGGGAAGCCCCAGTCTTTTCCGCTCTTTGCAGGGAAGTTGACACACAGATGTTGAAAGACGCCTCTGAAGAGCAGAAGACCTTGAGGGTGTGGGTCAAAAATAGGGTAACTCAAAATGGAATCCCAGGAAACAAGGACTCAAACCTGTGGTTTAATTCCTAATTTTGACCCATACCCTTAGGCCTTGTGGCACTTCCGTGGGGGTAAACCTCACAAAGCCGGTTCCGGGAGGTGGGCCCCGCGCCAGCCTGGCCGAACCGTCGGGAGGCTCAGACATCCCAAGGTCCCGAGCCCGAGGAGCCCGAGGAAGTTAGGGTTTTTAAGAGATATTTTTTGTGGATTTGTCTCAATGGGGCGCCAGGGAATGCGCCGAACGGCGCCTTCAAAAAGTGACACACGCATGTAAGAATACCAAGATTTGACACATTTGGAGGGACGTGGGTAAACTATTCCATACTAGTGTGTCGGATCCCCATGGCCACAAGTCCAGGGTCAAGGGTCTTTTAAAGCAACCACTTCCCGAACGAAAGCCCGGGAGTTAATGGCAGCCTCTGATTAATACACCCCTTGATGAATTGGGAAGGCCCCCTCGTTTAGTTGTAGTACATCACTTTTGCAGGCGAACCCCCCCCATCAAGCTATCCCCTCCAGCAAGTTGTGTGTAGTGCTTTTTGTCTCCAGCCGTTGGGCTGTTCCGTGAGCTGCTTGGGTCGACATACTTGGTTGCAGCAGAAAACATATTGACCCCGGAGTAATCATCCTCTTGGATCAATGGGAGGGGGGTGTTCCCCCAAAATGTGCAGGATCTCCTCTTAATAGGGCTCCGCCCAAATCTACCAGAACCGTTGCCAAGAAAACACGTTACATAGTCAAGCTCAATTCCCAACGAGAATCGCTTCGTTTTGCTGAATGAGGGGATGGATGCTGGATCTTCGTGATGTATCCGGATTCGGGTGTGGCTCGAAATGAGGGTTTCTGAAAGTAGATCTCCCCCTTTTTGGGAAACCCCAAAATGCTCTTGGAAGGCCAACACGATCTTGTGTTTTGCCAATACCTAGTCCATGAGTGTGTCTTTGTGTGACGCTAAACCAATTGTTGGGCTGGTTTAACGGGAATTCAATCAGACACCGACCCACTTGGCATGATTTCCCTTTAAGACAGCCCAAGGTCATAGGTGTTGAAAATTGATGGACTCCGTTGGTTTGCGCAGGTCTTTGCAGCCTTGCCGGCTGCCAAGCAGTGCAGACTGGAGGGCTGGGTCTTCCCTTTGCATTGGCAGACCGCTGACCTTTTCAACCTTTTGGCTGTTTCGTGGTTTTCCCACGTTTCTCTTTAGCCACAAGTGAGCGTGCAGCCAGCGTTCCTGTTCCCCTGGCTGGGCAAGAAGGACATGAGCAGCGGGTTAAACTGGATTGACGTGGTTTCTTTGGAGAAACTCATCGTCCACATGTGTTCCTCGCATCCTTTGAATCATGAATCGGACTGAGTTGCAACAATTGGCATCCAGGCCGTGGATGCTTTACTCAAATAAAGTCGGCCAAGACGATTGCCAACCACTTCTGAATCTTTTGGCACACCCTTCTAGCTAGACCTTGCCATTCTCCCCATGGATTTTCTTGCGTTGTTTTTCTCAAGAACGATGGGTGAAAGGAATGCGCATCAGCCTTGAGGACCTTTTATCCCAGTAGCGAGATGCACGTCTCCTTAGGCGAGCTGAAAATGGAAGCGCCGGTGCAAGAGGTGCAGGCGCCATTGGAGAGTCGGAGGGATTGGCCCATGCGCCGACAAACCTTTTGGCTCTGCAGCTTGTTTTTAGCGGCAGGGAACCTCCTGAGAGTCAGAGATTCTGAAGTCGAGGCGTTGCCGCTGACCGGTCAGCGTTGCACTCCTGGCCCCCTGTTTTGGAAGAACTTCCGGCGCACCTGGAAAAGACAAGGCATTGTTTGTCGCGTTTGTTTGACGGACCGGTGCAAGGACAACAATGTCTACGGAGTGATACACAACTTCCAAATAGGTGTGGGCATGCCAAGTGGTGGACCCTCGAATTTCAGGATGCAGTTCGATCCCTTGGTTTGATAGGTCCCACCGAACGCAGGTTTCAAGTCCACACCTTGCTGGGGAGGGACTGCCGATGAGCAGATGCACGGATGGAGCAGGAGTTCAAGCATGGCCGTGGGTGCAGCGGGTTATTTGCGCAGGTGGAACATGTGCCAAAGCCTTCCCAAGGGTTGGTTGCCTTGACTTTCCCGTCCTGGTTTCCACAGGAGTTTTCCCCATTTCCGGGCAGCAGATGGTGGTCCCTTTGCCAAGGTCCCATCGGGTTTCCATGTGGCTAATCTGACCTAAGATTCGAAGGAGCTGGGGGAAAACGAGCACAGCCGCGAAGGCAAGGTCCTTTAAGTAGTTCTCTTTGGCCAGTCTAAGTATGGAATTTTCCTAGAACAGAGTTTGATCTGTGAACCCGTTGGCCAGGCCAGTGTGGAGTTCCAAGACGCTCACGGGGGTACGGTGACCTTCAAGCTCAACGGCGGGCAGCCTTAGACCGGCCCATCTAGCTAAAGGCGAGCCCATTTACGGGAAGGCGAAACGAGCTCTGCTTCAGGTTGCTTGCTTGATCCCTTGCACAGGTTTTGGAGTTGTCGGAATCAAATGGCAGCCTTAGACCGGCCCATCTAGCTAAAGGCGAGCCCATTTACGGGAAGGCGAAACGAGCTCTGCTTCAGGTTGCTTGCTTGATCCCTTGCACAGGTTTTGGAGTTGTCGGAATCAAATACAAGTGCTGTGGGCCAGACTGAGTCGCCCACAAAAAAGGGGATTCGCTTTTCGTGGGTACGGATGAAACTCTGAGGCTCGACCCACCAGATTTGGGGGGGGTGCTGAAGGGCACCCGTTTCCACAGACCGACCTCCTGGCGCCTTTTCCACACCCCCAAGGAAGCCGCGTACAACCGAGTCTTCTGGGGCAACCGAGGTTTGCTTTTGCGCGGACTGATTTTCGAGGGCGAACTCAATCATTTGTGTTGCCTTGTTCGATTCAAAGAGCAATCTCTTTAACACTTGGCAGTGACCACCGGTTCTATAAATCCTGCAGTGGCCGCAGTCCGCCCACAGCCCACAGCCTAAGCAATGTGCAAGAGCTGGGGCGTACTCCCACGTCCGGTCCGTCAATGCTGCACGTCACGTGGGCCATCTTCTTCCCACAACGCTCGAGCCTTCGCTCAGGGCGAGGCGGGGTGGACTTCTACGTGGATGGGAAAGAGGAGCTTTGTGACGTGGACTGTGGGAAGCCCTAGCTGCATGTTCATGAGGACTCCCCCCTGACGAGTTCCCGACTTTATACTTTTTGGAAGGCTGCTTGGGTGACAAGCGCAAGTTGCTTTTTGTTGGTCAAACCCACTCACGAAGTGGGTTGCCCAGGTAACGAAACCATGAAACCATCCATCAACTGCTGATGTTTCCAGCCTTTTCCTGCATGAAACCAACATGGGCCCCAGAAAGGGGGAAAGATGCCATACGTGGCAGGATGCCTGAAATTGAACGTGTTCCAGGCGTTCTCAAGACTGGTGTTGTGTTTTTGGGAGGTCCCTTTGAACCACGATTTGGAGGACTTCGCGTTCAGCAAGGATGTCACGCTGATGAATCCATTTTGAGTGGGTTGCTGCTCGAGGCTTCGCGCGGGGCCGGATCCTTCATGTGGCAGGCGCGCCGGCATTGGAGAGTTCGGGCAGTTGTTACCCTTTTCGCCACGCAAGGCAGGGTTGCCTTGAAACCAACAGAAACCTGACTTTGTTTCGTAGGGTGCGGGTTCCCCATTCGACACGCCCCATTTCGAGACGCACATGTTGCTTCCGTCGTTGCCATGGATGGGTCGGTTTTCAGGTTGCGGCCTGTTTGCCGGGGGAGTTGGGTCGCTGGCAGGTTGGGATGAGGGCGTTCCTGTCTTTCTTTGTTTGCATCCTTCATGGATCATCTACTATGTCAACGTGACACGTGCGTCCAGCGGAGCGCTCCTTGCTTAGGAGCTAGCTAGCTCTGGAGACATGCAGGGGTCCCTATGTTTGCTTCTTTGTTGGGTTTTAAACATCACGAGTTTCCCTTTGGTAGAAGTAAGCACAGGGGTCCAAAAGGATTTGGGACCGTTTCAAAGAGTTGGAAGCGAAAAGCGACAGCAAGCCGACCATGCTTGCGGGTCCCAAGTTTGACACAGCCCCCGCCTTACCGCAGTATTCACCAACTCTTTCCCAGAAGGACGACAGAACAATGACTTCGAATCCTGAAGCCATCCACCACCCCCTCCATTTTGAAGCAGGGGATGATGGTGTTTCTGGTTCGGGCTGCCACTGTTAGCCCCGGTTTTATCGCTGACTCATTGGGGTCGCTATTGTGTGAAGCGATTTTTCACTGATTTTGAATCCTAAGTTTCAGGGTTTGCTATTGAATGGTTGTCCTTCACAGCACGCACGCCCCGAAAAGCTAATTGCAAGCAATACTAAATTGGATTTGGCAATGCTGACCCAACCCAGGGTCGTAACCGAGGATCCCCCCCAACCTAACTCATACCCCCCGCCCTTTTCCACTACAGAGTTTCCAAGTGGTGGCACTGTTGCGTGGGGGGGAGGGGAGGGGGGGGAATACTCAAGAGGGTCCAACATTTTTCGCACCCTAGAACGTATCCCCCAATGGAGGTGTCCAAACCAGAGGTAGAAGAGCCTCACAAACGCATGAGTCTCTTACGAGTATGGCTCCATGTGGGTTGCTTCAGGCACCACGGGCACCTGGAGCCCGGCGAAGCAGGCCATCGTGCCAGAGGGCCAGACACCTGAGCCGTGGGAAAGCTAGGGCTGCTTTCTGAAGAGTCTCCGAGTTTGTTAGGGAAGGCGATCCATGAAGAATCATGGAGTCTGAACATCTGCTTTTTTTGTGTGAGGATTGGCTTAAAGCCAAGGTCAAACCACCCGATTTGGCTAGTTGAGGGTTTGCGTGATATGACATATGCTGGGTGCAAAGTCATCCTTGCGGAATGTTCTCTGCAGATCGGCCGGGGGTTGATCAATCTGGGCAGCATAGATCATGGCGTATTCTCTCGCTTGAGGTCAGGAGGAGCTCTTGCAGCGGGTGCTGGCGCTCTTCCACCAGAAGAGCCCGAGCGCGAGCCGCGAGGAGCCGAGGGCAAGACTCGACACGGAGAAGCTGGAGAAGTCCACTGAAGCACGGTGCGGCGCTTAGGTTTCATGGTTGGGACTGGCCCATCAACAAGCAAAGAAGCGGGGCTTGGGCCTTGGGGGACGGGACGCTAGGGAAATTCCTCTCACGGCCAGTATCGGCCAGCAGCGACTCTTCTTGTCCAATTTTCATGAATCTCAGAATTTGGGGGGTCACGCCAAGAAAAGAAATATAGGACATCTATCCGGAAATGAAAGGGATGCAGGGTAGAATCGGGTAGAACTTGCTGTTCCTTCAATCAGCCAGCGACCGGTCTTCTTCAGTGACACTCGCAGCGAGTCGTTTGCACGCCGAGTGGAAGATCGACGCCGCCAGAAGCCGCAAGCTTCTGGCAAACAATGGTCCAGTTGGGGATGCGGGAGGCTCACAATGTTTCTCCTCAAGCATGTGGAGGGGGAGGGGGCTCCGGAGCAGGAGGTGTCTCTTCTGATATCCTCCACCATGCTGGTACTCCTTCCAAGCTTTCAGGTCGACGCCGAGCGAGACCTCCCTGGTGGGCCCGGGGGAGGAGCTCACACTGATGGAAGGCGAGCCGCTCACCCCCCCACCCCCCCACCCCGCCTGCTTCCCGCGCACATGTTGGATTGTTTTCAGCCTGGAAAGCTTGTGCTTCAATGGAAACGAAAGTGTGGCTCAGACTGTGGCAATCCTGTGGATTGAATTCATCGCATTTGCCCTTCCCGGACTGTTTGCAGGGTTCCCTATAGTTTGGCCTCAGCAACCACCAGGGTCTTTACAGGAGGATCGCTTAAAATTGGGTCTCCCCTAGCCACTCGCCTTGCCTATCCAGGCGCAGAGATCGAAGCCAGCCAGGCAGAGGCCGGATGCAGAAGGATAATTAAGCGAGGCTTAGTCTCGGATGTAGAGAATCAACAAGCATCGGTTTCCCTTCGGTCCGATAAAGTTGGAACGACACAGAGAAGATTAGAAGGGCTCTGAGGATGACACGCACAAACGCCTGGTGGAGTCAAAGGCAAGCCATGTTTTAACCCTGGGGCAGGGCCAAGGCGTAAAAGCCACCCAAGGCCTTTAAGTCAGGGCCCAGGTGTCAGCAGTTGGACCTCGCAGTTGGAAGAGTCTACGTGAGTGAAGAGTAGCCAGTGGGACTGCCAAGGACGCGACCCTTAATTGTCTGAAGGATTCTGAAGGGAGAACAAGCAAGTCAGCTGCAAGCCATGGTAGATTGATGCAAGAGACTTGTTTATATGTTTCTCCTTTTGTTGGAAGGGCCGCTTTTAGGTCGGCGAAACCCGAAAGCCGCGAGCACGAGAGGCCGCGGTGGAAAAGGCCGGCGACAAGGCGGGCCGCAATAGCAGCATTGTTTTTTTGATTCACTTTTCTTTTTGGGGGGGGGCTCCTTCTGCTCATGGCCAGCTTCCGCAAGAAACGCAAGGTCCAAAACCTAGTAGCCTTCATCTATGATAGCATGCTTTCCATGTTCCATTGATCTCACATGCGCCGCTCATTTTGCTCCTGCGATGCAGGTGTGCCGATAATAAGATATGGGCGATGTATATACATATATATATATATATATATGTGTGTGTATATTATGTGGGCGTTGAAATTTGGGACCCTTTGACATCAATTAGGCGGGTGAAATGCACGCTTTTGAGGGGTTTTCTTGTTGGGGGCATTTGCCATGGCCCACGGATTCGGATTTGGCAGGTGGTGCGCTTCGATCGGTCTGCGCCCTTGGCACCTCCGGTGTCCTGGGAAAGGCTGGGGGCAGACCTGGGGCGCTGGCAGTGAACGAATCCTGTGAGCTTGTTGTTTTGTGTTTTGTCTCTTTTGCTCTCTCCTTTTTGAGGATTGGGGTGCCGGATATTGGGGGGCTTGACATTGTTAGGGGTCGAAGGCTTGAGTCCTCTCTGTGGATCGACGAATCGGGCGCCGGCAAAGTGTGGAGGTGACCTGCAGACAGGGGGCCGACGAATCAAGTATCCAGTTCCCCAGATTGCTGAAAGCTCTTGGGAGTGCTGTTTGGGGGTGCTGCGCGGGCGCACTTTTGCTGACAGGGTGCTAGGGTGTATGCAGTTTGGGGTGCTGGCGGGTTTTGGGGGGCTGGCGATGGGCACGGGCGCTGTTTTTGCAAGATTGACGACGCGGTGCTAGCGGATGATGGTGCACGTGCTATTTTGGGGGGCCTGGTGCCGGCCAGGTGTGTTTTACTAGGTTGACGGCATGCTGCTAGGGGGGATGCAATTTGGGGATTCTTGTGCAAATGCTGCTGTTTTGGGATGCTGCTTGGGGGTGTTGGTTGAGGTGCTCTTTGGGCAGTGCTGCTAGAGCCCGTGTTTTGCTATCTGGGGTCTGGGCCAACGTGGTGACATGCACCATGTTTCGCTGAACCTTGCATTTCGTCGTCGCTATTGTTCTTCGGTTTTTTTTGGGGCAGGGTTGGCCATGTCTTGAGAGGGCAGTCATGGTGTTGCAACCTGTCCTCGTGCCATTCTTTTTCTAAACCTTCAGTTCTCTTTCTATAGGCAAGCTTGTTCAAAACCTAATCCCCAATCGTCATAAGGATTAGAGGTTTGCGGATTGCGGATTATGGGTTGCATGGATATTCCATCCTCCAACATACGGTTTTGACCCACAATTTGCAGCGAGGAGCACCCCCCCCCCCAGCCCCGCTCCCGTCTTTTCAGTGGTTGTTCGACCATGCTAGTACCCCCAGCTCCTCACTGCAAACTTGAGTGAGTTTCCCTGGGTAACCTTTGGAAGGGAAACCGACAGGAAAAGAACTTCGTGCTTTCGGCAGCCTTTACCCTCCAGCTTTTCGTGCATGTGTGCGGCTGGGGAAATCGCCAGCTTGGTGCTCCCCGATTTTCTTTGTGGAAGACTTGTTTCAGTGTGGCTCCTGAAGATCACCACCCCAAACACGCGTTCCGCGACCCCTTTTTCCCATCAAGTCAGTAGGTCTCTCAGCGTGTGTCAGTGCCAGGCCCTCGCCAGATGAATCCAATGAGGCGCCGGGGAATGTGTTGGTGATATGCGCTTATGTGTGATAGTCGGGAAAATCCTCCACGCATGGCTGAATCTTCCTTCTGAAATTTTGGCAGTTGATGCACATGAGGGCCAAGCTCCCTTTTCAAAGAAGCCCGCATGTGCGCTCGCCCATAGCCGCCTGAGTGACCGTTGGACAAGGCTGCCTAATCGCTTCAACTATTTTGCAGTTTTGAAGGGTGAACAAGCGGCTTGTCACGCCTTGGGTTGTGCAGGAGAGCAGCCGTCCCCGACTCACAGCGCGGAAGCGCGTGCAAGAGGCGTGCAAGCGGCGAGACCTCAGCAGTGACCCTTCGACCTCGCCCGGATGGCAATTACTGGTGGAACAGTTGTATGCATCTACCAACTTTGTCAAACCATAGTTTAATAATTGTAAACGCTTCGCGCTGCCTGCCTCGGCCAGAGTCAGCCGATTTTTGGTTGGCTTTGAAGTACCGTGTTTTGGTTTGCCTTGAAGTGCTGCGCTTTCTGAGTGACCGAGTCGGCGCCGAAATGCGTGAGCTGCTGTCCAAGATTTATGGTGCATGTTCACGCGTTTCTACATGACAATGACCCCAAGCCTGGCTCGGGGCATCATGGAAGCCTTTTCACTCAGGAACCCGTAAAATGCTTGGCTTCCTTCTAGTTTCCCCTTAAACCAACCAGAAAAGGGCGACCCTCAAGAAACGACACACCCAACGTCGCTGAATTAAAAGTCGTTTGAACAACCATCGAGTGTGTCTCCCCAGATGGTAAGAGATCTTTGAGCACGTTGGCCCAACACTGGTCAAAGTCTCTAGATCAAGTTGGCCTAGATTGAATACCCGCACACTTGAATGCAGATTGTTGCCAATGCGAAAAATATGTACACATACCAGTTATTCAGCAAGTGGCGCTTCCCTCACGGGTGCACTGTGAGCATCCTCACCATTGCTAGAATCATCATCAACGTCATCCGTGCTGCCACTTTCTTTGTCAGGACCGCGACCATGAGCGATATGGTTGTCGTGACCGTTTTACGTTAGTGATGCCTGGAGCTGCTGCTGCTGATGATGATGTTGATCATGACTCCTGCTCAAACAGAAAGGTGATGATCATGCATGGTGGGCCGCCAATGTTGAGGCGTCAGGCTTTGCAAACTCAACTCTTCCTCATTCACAACCCAGGACAGGATTCGGGGAGAGATGGTTTTTCATGTAAGAACCCTAAGTCCTGGCTCCCCCAACTTGTTGTTCGATTCCAACCACTACTTTCTTGGAACGGCCAAGGTGGCTCCTGTTTTTGCGCTGGTGGCTTGGTTCCACCCGTTGGTGCCATTGGAACGCTCCCATGTTACAGTCCTCGGGCCTGCAGGCTCAGCCTGAGCCGGACACGAAGTGGTACTCTGCACTTCGTCGTCTCACCCGCTGCGGCTGACGCCTTCAAGCCCATCTTCCAAGCCCCGCGTCAACAGTGGTCGTTGTTTTCCTTGACTATCTAGAGGGACGTTTTTGGTTGGAATATATCTGGAAGGAGCCCTCCGAGGGGAGCCCTCTCAACTTTTCAGCTTGTTTTTCCCGAGCAGCTGAAAGCTTTGGGGTAGGTTCTCAGGCAGGCTAGGGTTCTGGAAGGTGCAGTGTTGCTGTTGGGCATGCCATCTGGGTTTATTCGGGTTTCGAGTCGCTTGCAGCTCGAGGAGTTTGTTGATTTCCGCGAAAATGTGGTCGTGGCCAGTGGGCCCAGGAGTCATTTCACCGCGGCCTTGCTTGCCGGCTCGTGTGTCTCAGTTTTTTTCGCTCCGTAGTATCGGGCTGAATTCGACGACTTGCACGGGTGCCGGGGTTGATTCGCAGCCTTCGGTGCCTAATTCGTAGGCTCTTTTATGGGGTGGAGTGGCGGCCATGAAGGGGGATGGGCTCCAGGGTTTACTTGAAGCACATAAGGTGAGCGTTCAGGGCCCGCCCCGCTTCTGGCAGCGCGGCCGTGGCCGCTGAATTGGAGACGTTGCCTGCGGAAAGAGCGCGTGAGGCTCGCGATTGGCGCTGCCAATGGCTTTCCAGCCACGGGGGAGCAGCTTCTTACAGAGCGCTTAACTAGCTCATTTGCGTTGGAAAGCTTGGCATTTCTAACGATCTTCCGTTGGACATATCAGGCCCTCGCGTGTAGCCAGTTTCTGACAGTTGACTGGAAAGCGTAGGCGGCGCGTAGGCTCGACTTGAGGTTTCCCGTTGAGACAAGCAAGCAGTCAACCAACAAGATCCAACAAGGGCCCAGGGTATTCCTAATTTTGTCTTACCCTAACCCCTGCTTTGTCTTCATTGATCTGTTGAAAGCTGCAGTCTATCGGAGCAGCTCATTTGGCAGCCTGCTGATTTCTTCTCTGGCTCATACCACCAATGCTGAGGGAAGGACTTCCGTCAGCAGAAAAGGCAAGTGAAGGAGCTGGTGGGCTCGGAATCAACCTCAGCAGCAAAAAGGACGCTTCAAATGGCACACTTATTTCTGTATGATTCACTGTATGATCATGTTGTGTTCCGCGCACAAGCATGCCGCGTAGGCACTTTGAATGCAAAACTCCAATCACGTACGTAGGCGGGCGTAGGCGCTCTCATGCTGACGTAGGCCGTTGGGCATGGACATTGCGTAGGCGCCGGCGTTGGCGTGTGGTGAATCGAAGCTTCTTGTGAGACAAGGGATGCAGGCTCAAGCACCTCAAGCGCCCCAAGTTGGGCACCACATTCTGACTGCAGATTTTATGGCAAGCTTTCTTGGGAAGACGAGCTCACCATGATGATAATTAGTCCCTTACTTGAGCGTCACTTAATTCAAATGTTGGAACTGTTTCGAATCATCCTTGGCAGCACACACGGGTTAGTTTCTGCAACCGTGCGGTAGCGCATTGTCACCATTGTTTGCCGTACCTGTGTTGCGCCAGATAATTAATCACGGCCATGCACAGTCAGAGCATGTGAGCACGTGAGGTCAAGGACATTTTGACGCGCAACTTGCGACCCATTGCAGCGACCCTTGTGTGAGTGACGCAAGTTATATAGAGGAGAGCGTGTGCATGCATGGGGCGCCGCGTTCTCAGCGCTCACGTCCCGCCTTGCGCCCCTCGTGTTCAAGGCCGCAGTCATTTTGTTGACTATGAAAACACGGGCCATGGATCATGCAACGCCTTGATATGACGTCATGCCCCAAAGCGCCAATCCAACCCATTGGGCCCACGGGCGAATAACGTGGTGGGGGTTTGGTCCGGGCGCGTCTTGCCATGGAACCAGAAGAAGTGCCAGCCGAAGGCCCAGCGGATTGGAAGGTTGACAAATTTGTTTGTTTGGGGAAGCGGCGAATTCAGCCGCAAAAAGGCAACGCTAGATCGCCGGGCCACTCTTGGCAGATCTAATCGGTGACAATTTCAGGTGGGCAAGCGCAGTCTTGAGCTTTGCCCTCAGGCATTGGTCATCGCAACTGGCATGCTGTTGCCAGCGATCTGGCTGTCATCAAGTAACAAATGAAGATGCGCGCCGGGCAGGGACTTTTGAACCCACTCCCATTTTGAATCCAGCACGGGTGCTGACACTCGAATTGCCTGCACGCTGGCCAGGAGACAGCATTGACGAGTGGCAGGTCATCGATCAGGCAACCCGGGCCTAATTCCCCGCCAGCCGGTCATTGGGCAGAACTGGAGTTCCAGTTTCGGTTTGTGTTCGGTATCTTTGGAGTTTGTTTGGAGTTCTAAGGTCATATAGATCCCTTTGTCGGCTGGTGGGCTGGTGGCTTGGGGACCGCCCTGAGCGTCACGGCGCCGGCCCCCGACAATTCCTCGGATCATCCGGATAGTGCTATTCAGGTCTGGTTACTCTCTTTTTTTAATTCTGAGGGTTGGCTCTGACTGGCAGGGCCGTTGAAATCCCGAGTTGGCAGGAAGGCTCTCAGTATCTTTCAGTTATTTTCAGTGCAAAGCTGACTTTTGAACCTCCCCCTCGTTTTTGGTGGAGGGTCCTTGTGAAAATTCCATCCTGGCCACGGCTTGGCCGGGCGGGTGCCTCTCCTCAGATCCTCGGGTACCTCTCCCAGTACGACGGCGTCGGGGGCGCCGAAGAGGCCTGGGACTAGCATCCCGGAAAATCGATATTTCGGCGCGTCTTTTCTTTAGGGGGACCTGCCACGCATATCCAAAATGCCGGTTTTCCTCCTGGTTTCCCTGCAACCGGGTACCCTCGACAACGGCGCGGCACACCCATTTCCTTTTTTTTTGTGGGGTGTTGTTTTCTTCTTTTTTTGTCTTTGAGCCCAGCACCTCGCTTCTGCCTTTGCCCTACATGCTTGCCCGTCCCTTCTCAAATGATGAGCATATTTAGATCTTGGGTTTAGGGCGTGTTGACCGACCCAGAGGATCTCGCGGGTCGTTTTGATCTGAATGACCGGCATTTTTAGGAGGAATTGGGAGCTGGGAATGCCACTCACGTGAGTGGATATGTGCTCATGTTTTTTTAAAGTTTGTGCTTGGGGGAACGGGGCACATACCCAACGGTTCTGGCTTTGGAGCTCGGCCGGACGCATCCATCGGCCACAAACCACCAGGCCCGAAGCTATCTGAGAATCCATCAACATTTAACCTGGCTGGGTAGATAATGGAATTGGGTGGGTTGGCCCCACATCATTTTGTGTGGTTCCATTTCTCCAGGGAAGATTCTCATCGGTGTGAGGCCCAAAATGACATGCTCAACATACCCTGAATGGTCCCAAGCCCTCACCAAATTAACATTAGCACCTCAAACACTGTGACTTGACGGGGCCCAGTTCAGCCGTCTGGTCGATGCCACCAGGTGACGCCTTTGATCGACGCGCTTCGCCGGGCCATTGCCATTGTTCAAGGCGCTGGTGCCCAGTCGAGTCTAAGAGAAAAAGCCAGCAAGAGATCCCTTTGTTCAAATATGTTTTCTTTACATCCTGAGTTCCTTTAAACACTTTTTTTTTTAGTGGCAAGCAACAATTGCGGGCCTTTTCTCCAACCCACTTTGGACTTGAGCCAATGCCCGGATTGAGTTTGACATGTTTCTCATGGAGAACCATTCGAACAAAAGGGTGGTTTGTGCGTATCATCCGGGGCTAAACAAATGCGCGCTTGATTCTCTATCGTGAGTTGTTTTGGTTTTGAAGTACCCCACATCCCCCGTTCCAATATGCACTTGTGGCACAAACATGTATGAACCCACCTGTGCCGCGGTCACAAGGCTTGCTTCCTTGGTTTCCAGGGATGGTCATGGTGACATTGCCAGCCAGAAACGCTTTAGGCTGTGAAACCTTACACCCCTCCCCCAAAAGAGACATGGCCAATTCCCGCTTCTGCGGCTTCGTCCTGGCTTCTTAGGATCCAACCTCCTCCTCCTTTCAACGCGCACAGGGGTCGGTGAGGAATCCTGATGTGCGGAATGGGGTGGATTTCAGGCCGGCCACACATGGTGCAGCTCGCAGAGGAGGAGAGGAAGCAAGCCGCGGCACAGGCGACGTGCCAGCATGGCCAAAAGGAGCCATAGGATCTCCAAGAAATGTTTAGCTCACACAGGGGTAAACGAACTCTGCTGAAGCAGAAACTGAAAATAGGTCTGTTTTGGTGTCCTGGTTGTGGGTCAAGGCAATGGATGGGCGATTGTTGCGTTGAGTTTTTCATCCCCCTGTTTGACACCAGAATTAAGGTGGGACACTATCGACTTGGGACCCGCTCAAATAAATTTTACGTCTCAAAGTTTACTGATTGAACGTGGCTGCCACCATCTGGAAGAGTCACTAGCTGGGGGGCGGGGTGGATCAGGCGCGCCCCGTGCCCGGGCACCTCCAACTGGTTGCTCGTGTTTGGCTTCCAGCTGAAATCATTACAATGCAAAGGTCTTTGTAAAAAGCACCTGGGCCAAAGAGACAATAGCTACAGCACGTCCGCTTTCGATTCCCGGCTTGGGTTGCACGGCGCAAAGGCCGCTGATCCGATCCCCAACGCACGTCACATGTCACCTCCGCTAGCTAGCTGCTACATCGAATCTGTTTGGATTTGCGGCTTGGGGATATGAACCCTTGGTTCTTGTTGAAGGCCACCAAATCACCAATCCAAATCACAAGTTAAAGGAAAACTGATACGATGATGTATGACAGCCATTGGCCAGGCGCACCAGGTTCTTCAGGAATGGCGGTGCCGTTCGCAGGACGAATCGGTTGCCGGTCGTTCGGTTGACCCTCGAATCGTTTGCGGCCCTTTTCTGGGGATTTCCTTGCCTGTTGAAGCCAATTTTGTTTGGAAACGGTAGTCTAAGGCTACAGCCCCTTTGCTTTGATGGCTCAAAGCGCGGCATGGTTTGCTGCAAATCATCAATCCCAACAAGCCTCCACCAACCCAAGCCTGAATCTTTGGGCCCTTGAAGCCTTTTTTAGCTAAACATGCCAGAGCTGGTCAGATTGAGCTGAACAGATTTACCAGAGTCACTTGGCATGTGTCGAAATGACTGCGGTAGGGACCGGCTCGCTAATGAGTGATTTTTCTATCGGTTGAACTGCCATTCGCTTTGGCGGGATTGTCAGGGCCTCTCAGCCGCCGTTTTGACCTTGCCGTTTCCCTTTGGCGCGGTGGTGGTAGTCAAGTGAAGAATTGATTGGGCCAGGTAACTTACTACTTCTTTGACTTCTGCTCAAGTGACGCTGGTAGAACAACGCATGCATGTTGGGCAAGGGGTTCGGTATTGACCAAGTCGAAAGGCAACCGTCTTATTGTTCGAGTTTTGTTTGGCCGCACCAAGCCGAGTCAGATTCGGCATGTCTTTCGACTGACAATCACAGGAGCTGGAAAAAGCGCGGGCCGAGAACAAGGCACTGGGCGACTTGAGTCAGGGGCCGAGGCTTGAAATTGGCGCAGACCCCCAGCCATGCTATTCGTTGCTCTTGGATTTGACCCGACCAGATCGCTTCTCACTAGAAGCAAGCTGCTCCTATCTGGTCGACTAAGTTGTTTGCTTCTCCAAGCTGTTGGAATATATATATATATATATGATTGTAACTGTAGCTTGACGTTTATGCGCCTTGACCAAGCCAGTCAGCGGTCAAGCCTCGTGCGCAGGCTTTGAAGTCGGAGATGCTTCGGGGCCGTCAGGCCCTTCCGCGAGAGCCCGAAGCCGCGGTTTCCTTGTTCCCCTCTTGGTGAAGTCTCCTTTGGTTTCCTTTTCCTTGGGCTTCCTTTCAGTAAATTCCTGGTGTTTCCGTTGCTTCTTTGCAGGTTTGATTTGCTCGGATGCTGGAGCGCCCTGCGGAAGGTCCTGGATTTGCCAATTTGAATTCAGGGCTGGCTCTCACTGCGATGCCAGGGAACCGCTCCGACAAGGCAGCGGGGATTCCCCAAAAACAGAAAAGGATCACATCCTTCAAACAGAATTAAATGCCTCTCTTTTTGTGCGATTTGTTTGGCGGAGTGATGTGTTGAAAGGGGACCTGTCAGAACCATTGAGCCTTTTACCTGCGAAGCCTCCTCATTCACTCGGCAACAAGTTTCCGAATGGGGCACCTAAAAGTCACCCTGAGATTGGGCAGGCCACCTCCTAGTCTGCCACTTATGTTTGAAGCAGGTCTGCCAGAATCGGGCGAGATAGCAGTAATCTGCCGCTCTGCTGACTGCTTCTCCATGATCTTCTGCGGAAGTAGGGAAGAGCACACACCCATGAGCGAGATGGGCCCATGCCACGGAAGAGATCGCCCACAGAAGGGCATTTGTTGCACGAATTCGTGAGTCCTCAATTGCAACAGCCGAAGCGAGGATATTGCATGTTTCTATTTGTCCAGCTGCATTTGTGGGGACCCTTAATGTTGACCTACGATTAGTAGATAGACCATGAATAATGCTAACCGATTTCAATCAATAATAATAAATATACCATGAATAATTCTAACCGTTTTTTCCCCAGGGGAAAAAATATGAAAAAAAATACAAAATAATAAAGTAATTCAAAAAAATAACCTTCCCCCCACATGAATGAATGAATCCTGAGTTCCCCAGCTCACAAAAGAACCTAGAATTCCCATTGGGATCCATGCAAAATGAAGATTTTTATTCAGGGTCAGTGCTCCCAACCCTCATCCCCCATGGGAATTTGCATGGTTTCATAGTGAATTTATCCAGGGATCATGCCAGGGAAACCTGATTTACCATGGGATTTGCATGCTTCTGGCATCTAATCTTTATTCAGGGTCAGTGCTCCCAACCCTCATCCCCCATGGAATTTACATGGTTTCATAGTGAATTTATGCCAGCCCCTCATGAATGTCCTTCTCAATCCCTCCTGGAATACATGCCTGCCCATGCAAACCCTCATGAAATGCATGCAAAAGTTCTTGGCTCAATACTACTTTAGAATTGGCCCAATTCTAATCTAGTATTCCCCCAAAGCAAAATAAGAAAAAACAACATGCCCAATACTACTTTTGAATTGGCCCTTTGTAAGATTAGGGGAGAATAAACATGCCCAATTCTCCCCTACTTTTGACCTGTATTTATTAATCATAGGTCAACATTATTTAAAGTTCCACGTTAAACCCGCAGGAGTGTAATTGAAAGCTGCGGGGTGTCATTCCCAATTATTCAAAATCCACCCTTTCTACCTTCGCATGTGCGGGTGTATTCCGAAAACGCCGGCTTTTTCCTAGCCGTAGCTCCCCACAGATGGTCATGGAACGTGTCAAAAAGCATGTTCAACATGGAGCCCCAAAAGGGTCTCAATCTTTGGAACTTTCTCGTTGCGTGCTGCCCTTCGCCCTTTTGGACCGTTCGGCGTATGGCTCATGACTCGGCTTTCCAGCGCGTGTGTCGCCATCGAGGCTTTGGATGCGGCTTTGCTCCGGCAGGCGCTCGTTCGCTCACTTGCGGAACAGCCTGAGCTTCTGGTTTAAGGCCGTGGGTCAAAACACTGGGATCCCATTTTGGGGTAGGTGCACCACCCATTTTAGAACCTATTTTAGGGGGGATCGGGATGTTCACTGGGGGTACAGGATTTCGACCCATGGCCGTTTGAAACCGTCTTGGTGCCCAAAAGGGTAACCTTTGATTGTTTCCAGGTCCGTCGAGCAGCGGAGAACCTCCTTTTGTTTTTTGGGGATTTCATGTTGATCTGTTATTTTGACGTTTTGACAACTCTCCCCAAAAACACCCATTATAAACTTGCAGGGAACTAAACTCAACAGCACAAACGGGCTTTTGAAGACCAATCCCAGTGAGACTTGGTGGTTTGGATGTCAAAATCCATCAGTTGGGCAATCCGGATTTCTGGCGCGGTTCCCAATGCTGGCAATGGGCAAGGTACGAAGACCAGAAATGAGTTGCCGTATCGACCCTTCGAGCGAGGCTGAGCTGATGGAGCGTATGGTTGCAGCCCGGGAGATGATCGAGGTGGAGAGGTGCGCACGAAGACGGATGCCTACGGGTCTTTGAAAGAGAGACAAGGGGTGGTCCCAACAAAGGACCTGTCCTGTTGAATAGGGTCCGATAGGGTTCTAAAATTTGCTCATTGAATGACATTTCCCTTCCATACGGCTGTAAGATGTTTATATAAAAGGAACGAGGACATAAAGCTAACCGAAGATGCTCGTTCTAGTTGATGACTTTTAGTTTGGGATGGGGATCGCGCTGCCACCCATCTCTGTGTGAATCACTGGGATGGCTCCAGCATGGCATGCCGAATAGCCCGGTTTGAGCCCGTTTCCCGGCAAAGTGGTGCTGTTGAAGGCCCGCAAGGTCTGAAACAGGAGGTTCAGTTCACCACCCAGCCGGCACGCTCTTTCGATGCCAGGAGCGCGCTGGGCAAAGGCTCGAAAGCGTCATGGCAAGATGATGGCACGAATTCTGGATTGGAGCTCTCGAGTGATTGCCGGTCAGTGACTTGTGTCGGGCGCCCGGTTCTTTGGATGCCGCATTGGCCGCTCGCAGGCTTCGCGCATTGACTGAGCCATCTACCGATGCCGTCGACCAGTGGCAGCATATGGCAGCATGTGATGTAGCGCCCTCCTCCCTGGGCAAACTTGAGCGATACTAGACACCCGAAGCTCTGAGAAATTCTGGGACCCTTGGCTATTTGCAGGCCGGAAACTTGACCGGTTTCCGTGTGAATCTTGTCACGTGTTGACCCGCAACGCCTACGACCTACACAGGGCAAGCGCCATGTAGAATATTGTGGAACAGCCACAATGGGCCAGAGGCTGCCCGGAGGGGGGGCTGACCGAATTATGAATTCGACGGGCACAGCCAATCGGCTCGGGTCACAAAGGGCCTGGTGAGCCAAAAGCAGAGCTAGGTCTTGCTTGTTGCCGGGGTTCTCTCGGGGTCTTTTTCTGAGGTCTTTGGAGGTGGAAAGACCAAAGGTAGACTTCGACAGGCCCAAAAGGCTAACACTTTTTCCGCGCAGTTAACAGGTCGGGAGTCAGGGGTTCTAGGTAAAGACAGCCGCCCTTGTTAGTTTGTTTCTGGCATGCTCGTGCTAGGCTTTTGCTTGCGGGCCAGGTTGCCGGGTCTGCTCTTGCCTTGGGTCAAAGACCTGACATCACACCAAAGTGTTTCGATGGCATGGGTGGTTCAAATGTCAGGCCCCGACCGCGCCGGTTGAGATAACACTCGGGCAGTTGAAAGCAGCAAGGACCACTGAGCCAACCCGGGCATCGCCCCAAAGGTTTCCTCTTAGCGCCCCCAAGATCCGAAGACGAGACGCAGAAAGCCTCCATGAACGGACTTCGTATGGCTGGTTTGCGTTTGTTTGGAGAACCTTCCAAGAAAAAGGAGGGGATGCCAGTGATTGGATGGTTGGGCCCTTTTGGTGTGAAAAGGATTTGCAAGGAGGCGCGTCGCTGAATCGTGGCAACTCGCGCATTTGGTTCAGGTCAAATGTCACAACCTTGAAGTACGAAAGTAGTACGCGAAGTCGACTCCCGTAGCTCTGGCCGTAGGTTTTAACTACAAAACCTGTACGGGGAGTTGTTTTCCTTAAAGATCGTCAAGGTCAAGTGTGAAAATGCTCGGCAAAGCATGTTTGGTGTGCCGGCAAAATTGTAAGCACGTTGCCAGCAAACCGCTATAAAGAGAAAGAGAGAGAGAGAGAGAGAGAGAGAGAGAGAGAGAGAGAGAGATATGCGCGGGGCGTTCTGTCAGAAACTTCCGTAGCTTCGCAGAAGCTTACCGGGGCGTTCTCGTTCGTTCCCGCTGGACGTCATTCACGAAGCAACGGGGACCCTTGTTGGAACCACTCGGGTACCCTCCCACCCCAACGCTACACGGAACCCACCAGAGGGTCATAAACTGTCATTCAAATAGCCCCCCACTCATGTTCCATGTTAGTGGGTGGAGGGTTCCACTCACGGATTGCTTGGCGCTACCCCCTTTGACACTCGCTTCCCTTTTGTATTGGCGGGTGCCCGACTGAACATGGTTTTCCCGAAGAGGCGTTCCGTTTTTGAGCAGCGCCGCTAGTTCCAATCGCTTCGCCGCCTCCGAAGGGGCTGCAGGGGCTCAAGGGGCCACTTTTTGGCGTCCCACGCAGTCGCCGGCCATGAAGCAGCAAGGGGCCTAGGTGCATTTGAGTGAAAGTAGACGGCGCAGTGTCCACACGTCGGTTGTGTCATCCCCCCTGCTTACCCACAGGATATTACGCCATCCAATTTTCTTCCCTGGCGTAATGGGAGCCAAGCATTTCACCCCTTGTGGGAAGATAGCAACGACGGACTGACGATATGCAAGTTTTACAGGGAACCGGTAACCCCTGTTGGCTTTGATTGAGGGTGTCTCGGTTAAGCAGGATCCGGATCACTTTTTTGGGGAAACACCCCGCGAATCTAAGCAGAATCCTGGGTCAATATGGACCCCAGGGTTTACAGCCAGAATCAAGCTGAGGTCATTGCAGGTTGGTCATTCCCAGGGCTCTCTTTTTTCGCTGAGGGCCCTCTTCATTTGCCTCAGAAGGTGTCGGAACGAAAACCATGTCGCCAACCATTGCAGCAACGGCTGATCTTGCAACCTTGTGAGTGCAGTCATTGGTCTCAATGATGGGTTTCATCAGTGTTCTTTCGGTTCAGATTGCATTGCAGTGGTTTAAGGTTGGGACCCGTACCATCTATTTGTCCAAAAGGACACCTAGGGAGATACTTTACAGCCAATGGTGGTGAGAGCCCTGCTTCAAGATCAGACTGCATTTAGTGTGTTGTTATCATGTTAAGGACATGTTTCAGGGTTATTTCTTCCTTGTAATTCATCCTGACACCTTATGATTTGCTTTATGACACCTTATGATGTGTGTTATGGATGGAAAGGTGACCGACCAAGAAGAGAGAAATGGCTTTTGGTCACCATTTGTCTTCTCCATCCATCACTTTCCCATGCTTGCCCTTTCCCAATTCTTGGAATGTGGGCTGGAAAGGGAAAAGGGAGCACACCGTTCTGACATGTTGCGCTCAGGGCGGCCACTTGCTCTGAGTGAGTTATGGGACTCCAACCACCCAGGGAGAAGCGCCTGGTAACCTGGAAGGGTAACTGGGGTCCACTGAGAAAGGGAAAGCTTCTGAAAGGCGGTGCCAGGGCCCCAGCCGTTTTTGACTCCAACCGACTTCTCCCCAGCAAGCAAGATGTCTGCCGAGAGCCTAGTTGGCCAATTGGTTGCTCTTGGGATGGGCCTCGAACTTGGGGGAATGAATGTTCTGCCACCCCCTGCGCAAGATGGAGCCCCAAACTCCATTATTTCCAGGAGGGTCTTCTGTTGGGAGCCAAGATCATTTTGGTTTTCTTTTTTTCCCAGGGGCTCCGGGGTATTTGTTTACCACGGGCAAGACTCACTTCCCGCATGCCCCGAGGATCCACCGAATGATCGATGAGATTCGGAAGTGGATGCCCTTCACTCCCTCCGCCCAGGCGGGAGTTGGTGAACACAGCTGCGTTTTAGGGAACGTGCCCAGTGCATACCACCCTCAAATTCCCCTCACAGCTGACGCAGACTCAGACCCCAGGCAAAAAGAGCTTTTTGTTTTGGTAGGGAAACCAAAGGAACGCCAAGGGGAAACAACTAAACCAAATCAGAGCTGGCAAGGGAACCCTGTTCAGGTTGACCATTTCTAGTGGGGAACCGACCGAGTGAGGGAGTGCAGAGACCAACAAAGTATCCACGGAATCGAACTGCTCCCTGCACTTCACAGCTTCACAGGTTCCAAGTGAGCGTTTGTGTCCCCAAAAGAACGCCACAAGTTCTATCCCCCCTTTAGCCCCCCAATGCTATGGATTGTGCACATGTGCACTGCAAGTTGTTTCTTTTTGACCCGGTGGAACACTGGAGTTTCAAGAGAAGGGGCTAGTGACTTGAAGCCACGGGTCAGGTGCACCAGGCGGAACGAATTTCCCTTCGGATGTTTGGCCCTTTGGGTTGCCTGTCTTTGCCACAAAAAAAAACCAAAAAAAAAAAACAACAAGAGGGTAACGCCAAGCTTTGGGACTGGCACAGGTGACGTGTCTCGGTGTCAGCTACGACTGCTCCGAGGAGGCGGCGCGGGAGCAGTTCCTGGAGGACCCGGCTGGGCACCGCTTGGGCGGGCCCGGAGGCGCTGCTATCTCAGCAAATCGGCAAAAGATGAAATATGGGTGTGGCTCAAAACTCAAGAAGGGTTACGCAGGTTTTAGTCTTTGGTTCCATTTTGCCGAGGGGTGCATTTGGGTATTTTTTGAGCCACTGCCATATGAGCATTATTATTTTGAGCGAGTACCCCCCGAAAGATTCGACTCTATTTGAGCGGGTTCTGAAAATTATGCGCTTGAGACCTGGCGAATTCCCTTCAACCTCCTGTAAGAGGATGATATTGAGGACAGCCCTTGCCCCACATTGCTGGACTCCCTACAAATACTTCCCTGCCGGTTTTAAACAAAACCTCTGGACTCTCATGGCAGGGTGATGTGAAACGGAGCCCTTGACATTGGGGTCTCAGAAAATGTGCTATTTCAAGGTTGGCCAAATCTGGAACAGAATCTGAGAATCGTACATTTGGTGTCCGACCCTAAATGGGCCGCAGATTTCTGGATCTTATGCCCGCACCTCATGTGCAGCGAACTGATTTTTCTTGGCAGAGGCTTCAACAGTACTTGTGGAATCCGGTTGTTTCCCTTCAGAACACCAGTCAGAGCAGAGGGTGATTTAATGGATGCAGGTCTGAGAGGGTTACCACCCCCAACCATTGAAAATACGGAACCGTGGAAACCCTCCGGATTGTTGGGCATCTTCGCCCGATACACGGCTTTAAATGGGTGTCTCTAGTGCTTCCTTGCCAACACAGGTGTTAAAAAAAATAAACATGCTACATGGAACTAGGGACCACACGATTTTGGCTAGACTTGTTCAATACGAGCAATTGTCATCAGGGTGAACACCCTGGGTGCCAGGCAAGCTGTGATTCTTTTTTGCAAGGGAACCATTGTCTGTCTATTGTCTGTCTGCCTGCCTGCCTGCCTGCCTGCCTGCCTGCCTGCCTGTCTGTCTGTCTGTCTGTCTGTCTGTCTGTCTGTCTGTCTGTCTGTCTGTCTGTCTGTCTGTCTGTCTGTGTTTGCACACGGCCTCCCTGACTGTGCTTCTTCAAACAGCAAGCTTTCACTGTCCCGTTTCACGGGTTGCAACCCCCCCGCACCACCCCCCGCCCCTCAAAGAAAAGAAACTCTTCTCTCCTTTCTCGGTGACCCAGGTAAAAAAAAAAAAAAAGTGATGGATAGTGATGGCAATTGGCTGCATCGGAGTCAGGACTTTCGATCTCGCATCCTCTTCACCTACCGCTCCGGCCTTGAGCGCGAGATCCTAGAAAGAAGAATCGGCATGACTCGGAGGTGGGAGGATCAGCTGGCTTTGTCCCAAGTGAACTCCAAAGAATGAGTCGCTTCTTTTGAGTTCCTTCGAGCTCCCTGAATAAAACGCACCAAAAAGGATACCGTAAGAACGACTGTTTGTTTGGCCGAGTTGTTTTCAGCATGAGGGCAGGCAGGATTCGTCATTGTTCCCGTGCCTATTCTTCAGCTTCACCTTCAAATCGAAAAGGCTGTTCCGTCATGGCCCTTTGAGGAGAAGCAGGGCGTGCTGCTACAGGGAGGGAGCGGAAAGGCCGTTGACAGGCTAAGCGGGACTTAGGAGTGGCAGCTCAGGCACCCAAAGCACACCAGTTTTGTTTGTTTCAGTTTCTTGTTTTTGACTTGAAGCATGCGCCCAGTTCTATTACTTGGCTGCGCTGCCCAAAATCAAACGGTCCGAATACCCCTGCATCGTTTTCAGAGGCGGTTGATCCACTTTTCGCACAGCTTCACCCTCGCTTCCTCTAAAGCCAAATGCCCAAAAAGAGCCACTGACCAGGGTTTCTGGGTGCCAGCTAGCGTTTTCCTCAAACGGCAAAGTGGCTGAATGTGTTCTCTCAACTTTGTGGGGCAAGTGTTTGCCAGTGACCCCAAGCCGAGTCTCCTTCGCTCCGCTCTTTGCGACCCGACGGGCGGCGGGCGGGTCTCTCGACGCGTCTGAGGCCCCCCTTGCAGCTGTCTGCTGGTGGCACCAAGGCCTCCGATTCAGGCGGCCGGGGGGCGCTCGAATCAGAAGCCGAGCCTCACTGGTGGTTTCTCTGGCGGGCGTCGAATCTTGTACACCACCATGGCCCATGGCTTGGCACTTACAAAAGTGTGGAAGTGCTCGTTCTTTTTGGATTCTCCGTGGTTGTGGTTTGATTGGCGACTCGGGGAGGGGGAACCAACTTATCCCCAACAAATCGAATCCCGCGTCGGGCGATTTCGTGGAAAGAAACAGGAGGGGGAATGGGCAAGGGGTCGATGATGGCTTTGACCGCCCTAGTTGCCTTTGGCCGCTTTTACGAACAAATGCATGTCATTTTCGCCCGAACCGGCCCCGTGACCTTTTTTGTCTTCTGTTTGCGGAGTGGTGCAACCTCAAAGGCCTTCCCAGTCGGATAGGTGTTTTTTCTTCTTCTTTTTTGCGTCGATCAGTTTGAGTTTGGTGGGAACAGTGCGTGTGATGCTTTCGATTTGCTTTGGACAAAATCGACCTTGCATTTGGGGGTTCAAGGCCCTCATATTTCTGGATCCTTTGGGCTGAGTGTGTGGTTCCAAGCATCCAAGCCCTTGCGTCGATCTCTGAGGCTGGGGCTGCATGCTGCGGGCCCGGCGCCAAAGGCTTCAGTCAGCACGTGGCCGTCCCGTAGGTAGCGCCAGAGGGCTCGTCGTGTTAGCGGAACCTTTTGGAGCCCCCCGTCGTTTTGAACATCAGAACTCTTCTTGGAAGCTTTTCAGGGTTGCCTACTCGTGAGATGCACAGCCAAATGCTCTCCGAAAGAGCCCCTAAGGGCCCCCCTTGGTCGATCAACCAGTATTTAAATTGGGTTTACGTCCATTCGGTGTCTCTGGATTTTGTAATGTTGACACCCTGTTAGTCAACCCCAGGCGGGGGGGGTTCTGGGTTTAGTTTGGAATCATCACTTTGGGAGGGAACCCCCCTATGAATTAACTGGGGTTGATTATGTGGGGTCAACGGGAACCATCAGGTCAGGAAGTTATGCGATGCCTGTGCTCAGGTGACGCAGATGATGCTGGCCCAGTGCTTCGTGTCTCTCCTGCTAGGCTGGCCTTCGGCCCTTCGGTCCTCCGGTCGTGGCTCAAATGCGGCAACCCCAAAATTGATGGCACAGATTCGGTTCCCCTAAACAGGTACCCTCCAAGCAGGCATGCCCATACTTGTTTGAGTTTGGGGCACGGCTCATCGGAAGTGTTGGCTTCAACCTGCGTAAAGGACAAGAGACCCGGTGTTCAACAGCTCATTTCTGGCGGATTCTTGGGAAGCCATTTTACTTGTCCAGTATGTGCTTATGTTTTGCATTTTTTTTCTGGAGGGCGGGGGGCACTATGAATTACACCCCTCCCATCCTTGGCCAGGAAGGCTGCAAGTGCGCAAAAGAGTCACTATTCACCCCACCGCAAGCGTCAAATGCTTTTTTTGTTCTCCGTGGTTGTGTTTCTAGGAAGCCCAGCCATTCTCACGGGGCCCTTTCTTTCGACATCCTCTTTCAGATCGATTTTGTACCTTCACAAGTTCCCAGAAGGCACGCCATGACGTGTGCCCAAAACCAGGGAGGGATGGGTGGAGTCAAGCCGTAGGTCTTTGCCCAGCCCCCAGGTCGCGAGTGGCGCTTCAGAGAGGAGGCGGACCTGAAAGAAGGCACGATCTGAACTGGTCACTGGGAACCAGAGTACGCCCCCGAGCCTCCCCCGCTCATTGAGTTATTTCTGCGAAGGCAAGACCATGTGTGGTTACTCAGAAATATAGCTTATGTTGTTTGACGTACCGTATCATTTTGCTGACAGCAACCCCTAGCAAACAAATCGCAGCTTTGTGCTTGTTTTGGCTTGTTTCAATGGTCACGTTTCGTGTGGCAGGCGACAAGGATTCGGCCACTCTTGTGAGGACTGACACGAAAGCTCGCCACTAGTCTGTTCCCTCCAACCATGTTTTCCGCACTTCCTGCGTTTAGCGGAGGTTGGCAACAGAGATCCCATGGAGGCAGCCCCCGTTGTTGACACCAACTTTGGAGGAGCTCAGCTTAACGACGCAACCTCTACTTGCCCCCGCTGGGCACAAGTTTGACACAATGAGTTTGACACCGGACTTTTTCAGGCCTCAGAGCGCAAACCGTGAAAGGAGCTGTTGTTTTTCATCTAACGCACCGGAGGCTCACTTTACATGCGCATCACCAGCTGCTTCCTGGACCTGCCCAACGCGCCCTTTTCGCTGCCAGGGCCCCATGGCCAGGGCGCGAGGTCCCTTCGAGGAGGGCGTAGGAAAAGGTTTGCCAAGAAGTGCGGCCTTTGACTGAGTTCTGGGGCTTATCTGATTTCCGGGGCTTATCGCATTAGGATGTGTTTGTTTGGGTGTTTTGGTTTTTTTCCGCCCCAGTGTTTGGGAGGGCATCTTTGGGGAAGATGGTGGAATACGAGCAATGGAAAGCGGACGTGAGCTTGGCCACTGGGTTTTTGCTGTGCACTTTGCTCGAGACACACATCCCGGCCGCGGGAACGCTGAAGAGCGCCCGTGGGCTTCGGGGTTTTTCCATGTCGACGGATGACGGCCCTTTCTTCGGGTATTTGTCCCTGCTCTCCCTGGAGTACCAGCAACTGAAATCGGAGAACCAGCGACTGCAAGAGGACCTGGAGCAGTTGCAGCAGAGCCAAGTTGTGGCATGCTTGCATGGGGCTAGCCCCTTCTGGGGGACAAAATGTTGCTGCCAGCAAACACGCGCCCCCCTTCTTTTGTTGGAAGGGTTTCCCCTTCAAGGCGAATCAGTCCAACCAGTGGGCAAGGTGGAGCTGGGGCCGAACGCCATCACCAAGGCCGTCTCCAATGCGCCTGCCAAGGTCCCTGCCCCAAAGCAGGCGCATGACGGTGCCAAGGACAGGCCTTCTGAGAACAACTGGCCTGGCCAAAAGCTAACTGTTTCAAGTTTGCGCACAAAGTTATTTGGCTGGGAAAGGGAGTTGAACTTCACCTGTGTTTTGATGGCCTCGTGAGACAGTCCGTGGCCAACAAGTCCAGGTCCGTTGCAGGTTTCGTCGCAAACGGACCACCCAGGAGCGAAGTAGCCAGGCTCGGCACCCGATTTTCAGCAACGGGGCTGAAATCAAGGCAGCCATTGCCAACGAGATGTGTGCAGAGACTCAGACCTTGGGCATGGGGGCGCTTTCTGTGAGGAACGTTTCGGGAAGTGAGATCTGTTGGAAGTGTCTCTCGAATCGCAAGGAGACCGAGAGCTGTCAGCTAATTTTTTCCAGTGGTCGAAGGGGTTCAACCTGTTAGGCCACCATGGGGTTGTTTCAAAGGATCAGAATGAAAATTATGTTCTGGGGCCCGCGTTTTTTTTTTTTTTTTGGGGGGGGGGGGTGGAAGTGCTTGCTCAGTCCAGGCGAATGAACATTTCCCAATAGAACGGGTTGAACAGGCCTTTCCAAGCCTCGCGCTGTTTTTTCGGTGGGCCTTTCAGTGTTACTGTGGGTGCCCCCCCCAAAGAAAATATACTTCGCTTCGAGCAATCCCCACCCTCCACACTCGCGAGCTTACGACCGTGACACGGTTGTGTGAATTCAAACGTGGTTTTCGAGTGGCTTGGGGCCTATCACTGCTCAACAAGCTTTGCATGGAGAGCCTTATCCACCTGTCTGTGTGTCAAACTATACTTGTTTGCGAGCCGATCTCGAGAACTCAAACATCAGTTCCGCTAACAAAAGCCAAGCCCCTTCCAAAAAGAAACCCGACGGGGGATTAAACGAAGTTGCTTATTCACAACGCAAAGCAACACAAAGGCATCACCCTTTCCGAGCCTTAGGGTACACTCAAAACACGAAGGCGCCAACATGAAATGTAAACCCAACTGTGTGCCGGGCGGGACATGAAGCAAAACCAGACTGGCGAGCTGCTCTGGTGGGATACCGGCGGGATCCACTGGCGAACACTGGCGAGACGCGGGATCCACTGGCGGGCTGCTCTGGTGGGATACTCGGCGGGACCCACTGGCGAGGGGATACTCGGCGGGATCCACTGGCGAGCAGCTCTGGCGGGATACTCGGTGGGATCCAATGGCGAGCTGCTCTGGCGGGATGCTCGGCGGGATCCACTGGCGAGCTGCTCTGGCGGGATACTGGGTGGGGGCGTGGTGTAGAAGCATCGCAAACGCGGATTCCAATATAACATCGAACAACCCCTTCCTGCCGGGTGGGGAAAAAACTGCACCAAGCGGGATGGATGAACCTGTGTGCCCTTTGAATTGGCCTAATGTCTGGGAGGTTTAAAGGGAAATCGAAAGAAACGTATTTTTGAGACCCCCTATGTTGATATATGTTGATATATACTATACGCATCAGGCTGTTTCCAAGCATGGAGAGCGGCGCTAGCACTGGTTGTTGCTTGGTCCTTTGGGGACCATCCTGTACTTGCTTATGTACAGCGGGCCCGATCCCCTTTCTAGTAGCGTCCTGAACATGAACAGGGTAGCACTTCCGTGTTTTTTTGCTGGCTGCCTCGCTGGCTGGCGGTTGGGAGCTGGTTGGTTTGGCTCGTTGGCTGGCTGGATGGTTGTTTGGTTGGTTGGTTTGGCTGGCTGGCTGGCTGCATTTGTTGTTGCTGTTGCAGTTGCCGTTGTTGCTGTTGTTGCTGCTGTTTGCTGTTTATTGTTTGTTGGTTGGTGTTTTTCCCCACTGGGCAAGTGAGGACATGCACTATGATGTCAAAAACTTGTACAAGACATCGGGCTGTTTTCAGAGACTGGCACGGAGTGCCGTGTTCGAGAACACCACGATGGTTATGATTACTATATATGCAATTTACATGTCGGTTGACACCGACTGGAACACCGCTGACCTCATCACCGAGACGCATCCCTTTTTCATCGTTTGCGAGCAAGTGTTTTGCTTGTACTTCGTCTTCGAGCTCTTGGTACGTTTTGGGGCCTTCCAACGGAAGTGCAACGCTTTTAAAGACGCCTGGTTCGTTTTTGACTTCATCCTGGTGGTGATGATGGTGGCAGAGACATGGGTCATGAACCTTATCATCCTCACCATGGCTTCTGCCGCTTCGCTGATACTTGTTATGTCGTTGCTGTTTGCCAGCCTGGTTGGTGCCTTGTTTTTCTGGTTTTCGAATGCGCCCTCCTGCTTACTTGCCTGTTTGCCAGTTTTGCGTTTGTTAGATCAGTCATTTGTTCAAACAGTATTGTTGCTTGCTTGTTTGCCGGTGGTTTCTTTGTTTGCTTGCTTGCTTGCTTGCTTGTTTGTTTGTGTGCGTGTGGGTGTGTCTGTGTGCGTGTGCGTGTGCGTGTGCGTGTGTGGATGTGTGTGTGTGTGTGTGTGTTTGTTTGTTTGTTTGTTTGTTTGTTTGTTTGTTGGGTTGGTTGGTTGGTTGTTTGTTTGTTTGTTTGTTTGTTTGTTTGTTTGTTTGTTTGTGTGTTTTCCTGTGTTTTTCTGAGTTTGTGTGCGTGTGTGCGTGTGCGTGTGCGTGTGGGTGTGTCGGTGTGTCGGTGTGTCTGTGTGTTTGTCTGTGTCTGTCTGTGTCTGTCTGTGTCTGTCTGTGTTTGTCTCTGTCCGTCTGTGTCTGTCTGTGTCTGTCTGTGTCTGTCTGTTTGTCTTTTTGTCTGTCTGTGTCTGTCTGTGTCCGTCTGTGTCTGTGTGTCCGTGTGTGTCTATTTATGTCTGTGTGTCTGTGTTTGTCTGTGTTTGTCTGTCTGTGTCTGTCTGTGTCTGTCTGTGTCTGTCTGTGTCTGTCTGTGTCTGTCTGTCTGTCTGTCTGTGTCTGTCTGTCTGCGTGTCTGTCTGCGTGTCTGTCTACGTGTCTGTCTGCGTGTCTGTCTGTGTGTGTCTGTCTGTGTGTGTCTGTCTGTGTGTGTCTCTGTGTGTGTCTGTCTGTGTCTGTCTGTGTCTCTGTGTCTGTCTCTGTGTGTGTCTGTGTCTCCGTGTCTGTGTGTGTGTGCAAGAGTGGGCGAGTGTGTGTGTGTGTGTGTGTTTGTGTGTCTGGGGCGTGGGTCCTCGTCCCTCAGGCACCCACCTTTTTTTCATTTTCATGGTTTGCCTTGGGTGAAAGGGGTCAGGTACAACCATCGAAGCAAGGTCGTAGCAAGGTAGAACCAACACCACGGTAGAACAAGTAACCAGGGATCAAGGAACGCAACGACTTCTCACCGAGGCCGGAGCCTCCAACTTTCTGGGGGACGCGGCGATCCTGCGCATAGCGCGGCTGATGCGTCTGACGCGGTTGCTGCGCATGGCGCGGCTGATCCGCATGGTGCCGGAGCTGTTGATCATGGTCAAGGCCGCTTTGTGGGGGACATGGAGTCTGGGTGTATTGGACGCGGGCTGTGAATTTGAAGACCTGGAATATGGTGAAATGATTTAAGCAAGACGGTGAAGGCGGTTCCCAGTCTGGGGTGGTCTGCACGGATCTGACCTTTTGTTTTGCCGTGTTCGTTGTTAATTTCAGTGAAGGGGCCCCAAAAGGTTAACAGGTTTTTCACTTGCAGGCCGGGCAAATGACTGGGAGAGCTGGGTGAATCGTAGGTTGTATGTGGTTAGAATGAGCACCCAGGATGAACAACACCTCCTGGTTGATGTGTAGGGGAGCATCCCGCTTTAGAGGGAATCCATCACTGTTTGAGAAACGGCCCTCCTGATCAACCCATGTTGATATTCCTCTTGGGTCGACTTGGATCATAGCTACGTATTTATGGTTTTGCTTCGAAGAACTGGGCCATTGTTCGTGTTTGTTCAGGATCACCAGATGTGGACTAGAATTTGCGTATCATTTTCTGGCTTGAACAAACGCAGAGGCGAAGCCTCTGGACTGACTTACTGCTCCAAGAGCAAGTCTGAACATGCGCAAAACCCTTTTCTCCCTGAATGTCTTCATTTTTGCGCTGTGCCTGCTTCGCTTCTTTGGCGTTTCCGGTGCTACTCGTTTTTAGGGGATGCACAGAGAACGGTTTTGGCACGCCAGGGGTTGGGATGGAAACCCGAAATCTGGTCCCACAGCGGGTGCGGGCACATTGTGTCAAATGGTTTCCTTTTGGACAGCCTAAAACAGGCCCTTGAAATGAGCAGGGGGCCTTTTCAAGAGGTAGACTTCCAAAACCCGCCTGTCAGCTTCGATGATTGTTGGGCAAGTGATGAGTGCGCATATTGAGGGATTGACCTATGCACGAGCATGAGGCGCATATTCCATTTGGATAGCAACCTTGAAGGGTACGGTGCTTGAGGTGAATCTGATAGCCAAAAACTGTTTTCTCCTGAAAAAGGAGACGCGGAGGCACACACACCTCACTTGCGCAAAGTGCTGACCTTGCAACCTTTGGTTGTTTTCTGATTTGGGTCCATATTGATTGGCAACCCCAGACTACTAACTAACCCTTTTTTTGATTTTGATCGGGGGTCCCTTTTAGTGGGGGTTGGTTCATCACTTTTGGAGGCAACAAGCCCCTCACGAAAGAGTGGGGGCTTCTATAAATTCCGGGGTTCCCACGAGCCAAGAAGACCAAAGTTGCCAGGCGGTGGCCTCCGCGGCTCGCTCCGTGGGATTCACCCTGATCCTGCGCCCCGGCATCGTGCGAGTTGACAGCGTGTCCTCACACGGAAGCCAGGCCTCTGGAATTGGAACCATGTCTTCCAAAAACATAGGCCATTTTGGTTGGCACTGGCTTCACTTTGGTTCTCGTTCTTTGTCAGCGCCAGTTCTTTTTCGGAAACACCCAGGTCGCAACCTTGAAGATGGATTTCATGTTAGTGAGGTAGGGTAAAACCATTCCTACTATTCGCTGCCATGACTGAATGCCGTTTGAACGTACTCCTGCCCCACACACCATTGAACCCCTGACCTAACATGCCCACCCTATTCAACATCGAATCGAAAGCTGGCTGATTTGGGGTGGAGGTTAGCCTTTGGAATTCCATTCTAGAAAAAGTCGACTCAACGCAGAAAACCTCAAAAAATAGTGACCCTGTGTTGGATGCGTGACAGGGAAGCGCAGGTAAATCACCCGTATTTTCGAACATGTCTTAGGTTCCTGGTTTAGTGTAGGTTTCGAGAAGTTCCCAAAGTTGCAAACACGATGGATTCACAAGCTCCAACAGTTGCCAGATACAAGCCCTCTTTCATTGCCAAGCCAAAAAGAAGGTGATGATAGTGATGTTTCTGTGGAAATCGGCTGGCTCAGTACCCAGGTAAGATGCCACATGTTCGATCTCAGACGCCTGCAAGGATAGGCGCCCTGGAGCCTGAAAGATTGCCCACAACCAAACGACTGGAAACTAGCCAGGGGCTTCTCGGAACGGCTTCGCTTTCAGACTGCGAAAGCACCATCGCCTCTTTGCGCATGTAAAACGAAAGTGTGTACAAGCAATTTTGACACTCTCCAAAATTATTTTGGAATAGAGGTGCTGCAAGAGATGTTCGTGAGTACGCCGTGCTCTGATGGTGTTGGGGAGCTTCCTGTCAGGGCTAGGAGGACTATTTGGACGCACATGTGTCTGAGATTCGTACAGGTCAATCCCTCAAACTAAGGGGGCCTACTAGCAAGAAGGGCTTGGCAAGCCTTCGTGAGGCTAGCAAGGCTTGTTAAGCCTTAAGAGAGCCATACTTGTTCTATACTTTAGTGGGAACCTTCCAGGCCCTTTGCACGGTTGCAACTTGACACAGTCTCCAGCAACCTCCCCCCCCCCGAATCGGGAGGTTTCCAAATTAGACCCATTTCCCCCCAATGGCCCCAAGTAGCCTATCTCAGCAAACGTCGAACAAAGGCTGGGGATTTGCCTCTACGTCTTCGCCATAGCCTTCCGCGCGGTTTTGGACGGCACGCAGGCCATGAAAAGCAAAGCGGTGAGGGTGCCATGATTGAGGCTCTTGGGGATCTGTGTGTTTCGGGCTTAGGCGCGGAGGTTCTTGCATCTAAGTCTGGTTTCAGGCTGCGAATCTTTGCATCTGCAAATCGGAAGGTCGGGGGAAGGTTTGCCGTTTGGGGATCCTTTGCCGGTTTTTTGACGCAGGTGGGGGCCACCTACTTTCCCAACGTGGCGGTGGCTATGCATAGTCTGCCCCTCGCCCCGCCTTGCACCCACGCAAGTGACGGGTGAGGTTCAAGCCAACCATGTTCAGCATGCTGAGAACTGTATGCATCTGTATGCAGTAATTATTTCAACATCCTCTTTCCCTTTGAAGTGTTTGGTCCGGCTACAGCACAGTGATTATCACACAGTTGTACAAATACAGCCATAGCGGGAGGTGCACCACAATTCCGGATTCGAGGGGCATGACAAAAATTGCCAGCCACAAAATCCGAGTCCGATGCAGCAAATAGAGCGGACAAGCTCTGCTTGTTGCTCTTCTCCTGCAATTTCTAGTCAGTTTGCGGAGTCCGAGCGCCTGATTTCGGGTTTGAGCCTAGGTTTGTGCATGGCACCTTCTTGGACAACATCGCGGAACTCTTCAAGCAGATGAAGGATGGCAAGCAATGATTTTGTCAAACTCTCTGTTTGCCCACATCATTGTGTGGGATTCTTACTTTTACCGCTCGTCGTCCGGTCGCAGCTGCCTCGCCCTTCTCCTTCTCCTCCTCCCGCCTCCACATGCTCGCTCACTCACTCACGCACTCACTCACCCACTCCCTCACTCACTCACTCACTCACTCACTCACTCACTCACTCACTCACTCACTCACTCACTCACTCACTCACTCACTCACTCACTCACTCACTCACTCACTCACTCACTCACTCACTCACTCACTCACTCACCACCCACTCACTCACTCAGTCACTCACTCACTCACCCACCCACCCACCCACCCACCCCACCCACCCACCCACCCACCCACCCACTCACTGACTCACTCACTCACTCACTCACTCACTCACTCACTCACTCACTCACTCACTCACTCACTCACTCACTCACTCACTCAGTCCCTCCACTCGCTCACTCTCACTTTCACTCTCACTCTCACCCTCACCCTCACCCTCACCCTTACCCTCACTCTCACTCTCACTATCACTAATCTCTCAATGTTGTCGCGCGCGCTCGTGTTGGCCCCCTGGTTTCGTTCGTGGCAGGGGCACATTCTGGACATGTGACCGCAGATTCCGTGGCAGGCGCAGCACTTTGGACATGTGAGTGCTGGATTTCGTGGCAGGGGATGCATTGGAGAAGGCCCTGAGGGGACTGGATGTTGTCGCGCGCGTGCTCGTGTGGGCCCCCTGGTTTCGTGGCAGGGGCAGCACTTTGGACATGTGGCTGGCTAACCATAGGAACCGACGAACGTTCCGGGCGAATTTTCCACTGACCGACGAACCTTCTGGTGCAACCACAGTTGGGCGCGGTGTGCGCCGAAACCAAAAAACCAACATTGCGGAAGCGCGTCCACGGCTGCAGACAACCAGGTCGTTCAAGTGGTCTAAGGAGTTGCGCGGGACTGGAAGCCATGCTTTCCTAGAGTTGAAGATCCAAGACTAAATTGGTCTCCGAAACATACTTGTACCCGAAACATAGCTCCTCAAAGCAGTTTGCCATCGATACCTCTTCCGTTGCCATCTCTGCACAACGGCAGACTTTAGCAACAAGCACCTTGTGAGGAAAGAGCCACAGCCCGGTTTTGCCCACAGGAGCAGAGCGCCATTGGTTTTTCCTTGCTCTACGTTTTTGTGATCATGTCGGCGGTGACGATCATGAACATGCTCATTGGGGTCTTGTGCGAGGCGAGCCGCTATCAAACCGTGGGTACTTGGGTGCGTGGCACGTTGGATTCTTTGCGTTGCTTGGGCTCCATACCCCCCAGACCTTTGCAAGAAAACCAGGCACGATAGTTCGTGCAAACCATTTTGGTATGTGAGAAAAGCCCTGGCTTGACAAACATTTTCGATGCCAAGTTGTTTGCACCCTCCTGATGAGCACCCAAAACGCGTTTCCTTGTCAATTTGTATGTTTGGGTTCCATGACCCAGGTCATTACGGCAGTGGCCGACGCAGAAAAGGAGGCGCTCCAGGTGAGTTGGACTACGGAGGTGTTGCAGAGACTTTCGGCTGATGCCAGCTTCGGCCGGAGCGAGCTTCTGGAAGTTCTGGCCGTTGTGGCCTAAGGGCTGGTTGCCCCCCATTCTGGATTCTGTTCACCCAAAAATCCATGCACTTGTCCACGTTGCCCTGCACCGCTTTGAACAGACGCAGCGCCGAAGGGGAAGAGTTTGCATCAGATCAAATCACTTTGGCTAAGGATGCCTGCAAGCAGGAGCAGACACGGACAACGACGGATGCATAGACATCGACGAGTTTCAGCAAATGATTTCGACGCCCAAGGTGCTGCAGGTGCAGGTGTTGTCCTTCATTTGGACCACTCGGGCTGCCCGCCTAAGAGGGGCTCTGTTTCGTCTAAGCGAAACTTATTGCAACCCCCCACTAATTTTGTTTTGGTGGGTTCCCCGCTAACAAAAGGTAAAGGCACAAAAGAGTACTCGTACGGTGCCAATGCTTGTCCGCCGAATTGGGGGAGGAGTTGCCCGGCCAAAACACATGCTTGTTTCCCTTGAAGGCAACCAAAGGGGCAATCATGACCAAATTCGTTCTTAACGTATTTCACTACCCCGTTCTATCACGCGTTGGACAAGTTCTTCATTTTTCCAGACCCCTCCCCCCATTTGACGAGCAGCCGGCCGGGGCGAAAAGCTCACCGAGAAAGTCCACCACCAAAGAGCCTCTTATACATTTCCCATGGTTTGGCTTGGGGAAAGGGAACGAGGACCCTGTCAGGTGCTGAAGGAAGCCGACGTGGACGTGAGCACGCTGGTGAACTTTGCGGACGTGCTCTTCGAGGGCGACGATGAGCAGCTGATGACGAAGGTACCCTTTAAGGACTCGGAGCTGAGCTCGGTGGCACGGCGCTCCACGTGTTTGCCACACAAAACACCGATTCGGATGATTCGGGGCTGGGGATACTCCTTGGGCTTCTTTGTTTGTTGCATTATCCGAAAATTAAGAGCTTTCGACGCCAGTTCGCAGCAAGCCAAAAACTAACCAATACCACCCGCTGATTCACAGACCCGACTTCTAAATCGGCGAGGCGAGGGGGCATTGGTCTTGTTTTTGTCATCCTCCATTTGCTTGAGGTGTTGCTTGCCCTGGCGTTGACGGACATGGTCATGGCAGATATGTCATGTTTTTGATGATGCAAGCGGAAATGATGGAGGGTGACGCTCCTCCCGGATGGTTGGATGCCAGCATGTCAACAGTGGCACGGTCAAAACTTATTTCGATCATGGTTATGGTTCGGTGAAATGAGATCTTTTCCAGTTCGGCGATTTCTTAAAAAAGTGGTGGGGCAACCCTTGAAACATGAACCCCCCCCGTGGAGGCCGGCCGCCGGCCCGAAAGGCCCCCGGGCCGTCTGTGAGGACTTCATGACTCGACTCTTGAAGTTCCGGGGCACCAACACCGCCACTGTCAAGGACCTGGTCACTTGGCCAGACAACTCTGAACTAAGACCCCAAGTTCGCGGACTTTTCTTGCCAATCCAGTCAGGAAGTGAGTGATTGAATTGACTGATGCAAGAAGACAACGTGGAGTCCTGTGCCCGTTTGCGACAAGAACCCAGGTTTTGTCCTTCCGAGTCCTATCTTGACACAAACCCGGACAACCATTCTGCAGTTTTCCCAAGAAACCCGGGCGCGTTTTGTCTGGCTGCTTCAAGGGAACATGTGGGGAGGCCCCCTTGTTTAAGACACCCCGGGGATTCGGAGCTTCCATTTCTCATGGCCTGGCAAAGAGACTTCAATGGGCCCTTTCGGGTCTCTGCAGCTTGCGACGGGTCCTGTCGTTTTGGTTTGTTTGAGTTGTATTGAATATATATATATATGTATATATGTATATTTGAGTATATATATATATATATATTCATATTTATACATGCACATATATACTTATTGATTGATTTATTTATTCATTTTTTATTTATTGGGGGGGGGGAAATTGCAACTGGCCACGGACTCGACAGGGGCAGCCAGGAAGCCAGGGATTTGTAGAGTCTAGACACTATAAAGTGAGCAGTTCGGAGGCCCTTCCCTTGTCTTCCATTGCTTAAGAATATGGTTTTACTTTCCCTTGTTGGTTTTAAAGGGAATTTAATTTATCACTACTGGACATGTTGTTTTTTTCCAGGGGTCTTAAGTAAATGGAAGGTGTCCTCAAAGGGGAGAGGGGGTTCTGGTGGGTTTCATGTTGGTGCGATGGTGAGTCACTTGCCCTTCGCAACTCCACCTGTTTGAACCCCATGCGCGAACCAACCAGTGGCTGTTTTTGGGACTTACGGCCGTTTTCCACAATCAAGCCACGGCTAGTCAACCATATCAGGGGTCTATGTATGGTGTTGGAGCATCACATGTTGCCAAAGCGAGATCTGTATCAACATCATCGCCGCTGGTATTACAATCACTGCCAATATGTCCTTGGTGAACGTATACATGCAGTAGTATCTTCAATGTAGTGCCATGATAGCGTTCGCATTGCGTCCGACTTTGGACACGGAGGACATAAAAGTACAGTCCAGGTTCCAAAGCATGGGCATGCGTCAATACGCCCCCCTAGAATAGTGGTTTTTCTTTTGGCTGCCCTTTAAACCAAGGTGAAAAGGTGCCCTCAACGCACATGATGTCTGTATTATTTTATTTTATTTTTTGGGGGGGGGCTGGGGGGCCAGGGGGTTAGTTTACCTTTAGTCTTTCTCTTTCTTTTCGGGGGGGGGGGGGGGAGGGGGGGGGTTCTTTCCCACCCCCCTTGAGGTGGACCTCCGGAAGTGCATCACCAAGGAGCTCCAGCAAGTACAGGAGAACGCGGGCAATTCGGCCCACCCGGCGGAATTCATTTTGCACGTCTAGGAACCCAGGATGATAAAACCCTCTGGATAGATTGCGGCGAGGGCGAAATGCCTGTGAATCCGGGAGGTGTGCCAATCCTGGTTCGGCATTCGATCCCGAAGGGACAATCTCTTGCCTTAGAGGCCAGTGTCGTGTCACGGCGAACCTAGCTGACTGCTTAGTGTCCATGGACAAAGTCGCGTGTGGCGCGTTCTTCCAAACCCAAAGCGTGCAACCCCTTCGACGCCATCAACGCAGAGACGGTTCTTCAGACGAGTTTCGCGGGGCAGACGGGAGGAAGGAGGTTCGGTCATTTATTTTCGGCGGGAGGTTTCACCAACTTGCGCTTTTGTTTTGTTTTGGGAGCATTCCCCCGGCCATCAGGGAATCTGCAACTTGTTGAGGTGGTGGACTGTGATTTGTTGATGAAATTGCCGTCATGGGGGCCCACTTTGGTATCGCAGCAAGGGTCATCCACAACCGCGGGGAAGCGCCTGCATCAGTCTGGCAAAGGCGGAAGAAGCTGAGGCTCACCTTTTTTTCCGGCCATGGCAGTTCTCAGATGCAAGCTGCTAACCGTCTTCTTGCTACTGCATGGGAAGTTACGATTTCTTGTTTGGGAACGGATGTTCATTTTGCTGTTGCCTCCGACCACCAGGGGCCTAAGTTTAAGGAACACTCATGCGGGGAATCCTGAAGGGAGGAGGAGTACAAGGTAGGATTGGGTTGTGGTGAGTTCTGTGTTTAGGCTTGAGCTTCTCCTTAGCGGTCTATAGGGATGCCGCATCCGGGGAGGTTTGCTTGGAGGTCAGCTTCAACTCTAGCCATTTTGAGTTACAAACTCGATGAACAATACGGCGCAAAGTCCAAGAAGCCCCTTGAAGCAAGCATCAATTGCACCAAACCGGCCGACTGCGGGCGGTTGGGGCCATCTCCTCTATCATGTCTAAGCTACTCTTGTGTCGCATTCTGCTTCTGTTGCATTAGCGTCGGTTACAAGCAAGTTTTTCTTGCCGGTACTCAGCAGGGAATGAGGGAATGACCCCTTATTAACCATACACCTTGGCTTCCTTTACGGGAATCCCCTTGCAGTTCATTCCCAACACCCGCAAGGTTACGCCCTATCGCAGCAGCAAGTCTTAGCCCCACCGGAGAACTCAGACGCAAGGCACCGTTTCGTTGAGACCGGGCAGCGCGTCCTGGGCAAGGAGGTCTCGACTTGGCCCGCTGCCCTGGGTTTTGGCGTCGGCGGGCGTGTGCGACCCCCCGTTGGTGGGTTTGAAGGTGGACCGCCTTTCTGGCAATTTTGGCTGGTTGTTTGGACTTTAGCTTCTTGGGAACCAGCCTTGGGCCCACAAACAGTGACAGTTTTTGACAGAGGGGTCAACAGCAACCAAGGAAAACTACTTCTTCTTTTGTTTTTGTGCAGGGGGGGGCTCCTAAAAGAAGCGACACGTTCAGGTGCCCTCCAAACTTTGCGGGGTTGGATCCTCATCTCATGGAAACGCAAGAAAGCGAGTTCCCTTGTTTAGGCTCGCTGGGGCAGGGCCCGGTTCCCAGCACAGGTCCACAGGCTTACCTTGCCCAAAGGACCTGGAAATCAAAGGCCAACCTGTTGGAAAAAATGGCCCAAGGGAAAACTCAAGGATAAGGCCGATTCGCTTTGGCGAGTGAGTTTCATGTCTTCTGTTCTCCAGTTGTTCAGCTATGGTTCAATCACTGTCCATTCCCTCCCCAGCCCCGCAAGCTTCCGCCGCGGGCCCAGGCCAACCATTCGATTGGAAACAGTTGGAGTCAGCTTGTTCCCAATTCCTCTGGCGCCAAGCGTGCCGAATGTCCGGCTCGAAATCCAAAGTTTCAAGCCTTTCTACGGCCCTTTCTGACTGCTTCGAAAGGGCCAACGTTTGCTTCCCTGAGATGAGGCAGATGTAGATCCACACAAGCGCGTTCAGTGTACCCGTTCAGGAAGCCTACCTAGTTTGATGATTGGTGGATTTGCAATAGGGGAACCTTCACATTGGGTGTTCGCGTTCTTTCGGGTACGTGCCACCCTTTGTGGGAGAAACCAACCACAGTCAATGGCCAGGTGCATTGACCAATCTGGTTGCTCGGGGTTATGGAGGGCCCAGATCAGTTATGAAAGTGTTGTCCCTAACCTCCAGTGATGCCCTTATTTACATTTCAGTTGAGGTCGTATCCCTCTCAAATCAACTACCAAAAGCCTAACAAGTGCCTTTTTCACATAGAAGAAACCATGCTCGAAGAATACCCGGGTCAGGTAGGACGTTTCTCAAAACGGGGGGTGTAACCCTTTTCATGCTCCTTTCAAAGCGCCCTTGGATTGCTTTGGGTGCTGAAACCCAGCAACGCGCGCAGGTGGCATCCCCAACAGCACCCAGATTTCTTCTTTCGGTGCCTTTGACTCATGTGGCTCAGAAAAGGTCAGATGCCGAGTCGCTCATCGGTGACTTTCCGGGACGCCGTTTGGACACGAATCCAAGCCTCAAAATCACACGGTCTCCTAAACGATGTTCAATAGGGCTTAATGGAAACAAAGGCACTCCTTTTGCTTTGATTGGAGCCAATTTATGTTTGCCATTCCGTTGAGTTGAGAATGCCAGTTCCATATTCCTTTCTAATTAATGCCAGTTCCTAAGTTAGGATAAGACTGCGCCAATTTTTATGTTCCATATTCCATTCCTAACGTTGAGCCCATGTCTCAGGTTCGGTCCCACCTCTGCGGCCCAAGCCGTGGGCCACCTCTTCCAGGAGGCCACCAAGGCGCGGGCGGAAACGCATGCCGAGGGAAGCTGCCGGCTTCGTTCGGTTGGAGCCCACCAATGGTGACCCAGGTTTCATACAACCCGTCCCACTATTAAGGGGGGTGTTCCCTCCAACAGTGGTCTGAATCCCCACTATAAGGGGCCCCCCCCTGTTAATCAACCAGGGGTTTATTAATCCGGGGTTAACATTAAGCAGGCGAGAATGGGTCATAAGGTCTGACATGTTGGCGTGCGGTTTGGTGTTGTGTTCAAAAGCCGTCCGAAAAAGGGGGCCGGCCTTCTACATGCAGGGTGTGTTTGTTGTGGCGGTTTGAGAGAAAAGCTGGATGCCACATGGGCAAATTGGGACCCGAGAAGAAGCCCACAAAAATGTGAGAACACGGGAACGTGGTGCAGCTTTTGTCCTATCGTTCTAGACGCACAAGGCCTTTCGCACGATTTCCCTCAACCCCTGCCATCCATCTATGGAGTAATTCAGAGTGGAGCCCGGGAATCCATGTTGAGGGTCCGCTTCCGGAAAAAGTCAGACGTCTTCCAGTGCCTGAAGAATGTGTTTTGGAGGGCCTATCTGGCTTCAGAATGTCCTTTATGTTCCCCAACCCCCTTATGTGGGAGAGAGAGCTGAAAGCATTAGCACTTTGAACAACATGGCCTGTGGCATTTCATGCTGCGGTACATAGCCGAAGGTGGAAAGACATGCCGACATACCCTCCGGTCAACTCACGGCCCCACTGCAGTCCGCCTGGGAAACATCCAATGATGCCCCATGTGAACACTTCAAGTGCACAGTCCCTTGCCTGGCTGATCGAAGCAAGTGCGTGCTGAAAGGTGTAGAATTGGTCACAAGGGTGTGGCAAACGGACAGCCCGGAGGCACAATCATTCGCCCAATGCGGACTTTGCAAACCCAATGTCAGCATTGCAATATAAATCTGTTGCTCGTAAGCAAATGTACAAAAGCTCGACAGGGTTTCAAGAACGTCGCAATCCCAAACCCCAAAGCCGCAATCATTCATCCTCAGTTTGGAGGATCGGGTCTATCAATGTTGCTGCACATCCTTGCCCGGGTAGGAAACCCTGAGCTAACTCCAGTGACGCAACGGCCCTTGAAGGTTGTACGCTTGTCACGGCGGCATCAGTCAAAGCTCGAAAAAGGGACCCTTCAACCGAAGCCTGAAAGCGGCGCACCTCGCCGCGTCCTTTTCTCGCCGAACGGATGTCAGGGACTCACGTGTTGGTCGGCACCTGCCCTTCTTTTTTCACCTTTTTTGGGTACGCCTATGCCCCTTATATAAGGAAGCGGCGGCCTTTTAAGGGTGCCCCTTTGCCTGGATGGACGGCAAGGGGATGCCACGCAGTTTGTGGCGGGGCCCCCCCGTCTTGAAACACATCCGCTTAGATTGGTACCAGCTAAAAGGGAATACATTGAATACAAGTTTGTTTCCAAGTTGACAAAGTTCAACAAAGTGTCATGGGTTTCTTTTTAAAGTCAGCCAACAGAGAAGGCCTGCTTTGTGGGGGCAGCCCCCCTTCCTTCCCAGGCTGGCAACCCGGAGTTCTTGAAGGGCATCCGCTGCGCAGTCTTTGTGGCCGGGATGGGGGGGGGGTAGATTTGGATGGGCCCACGTGCTGATATAAAGGCAAAACCATTAATTTACCCATATAACATCATAGAAACATAATTAAGTTTGGTTTAGACGCGCCCCGGTGATGCAAGGCACATTCTTGCGTAACCTGCTAGTTTCAGGCGGAGGGGTATTTATTTTAGGATTTTTTTTCGTTTTTTTTTGGGAATTTTTTTCGCTTTTGGCTTCTTGGCTTCTTGGCTTCTTGGCTTCTTGGCTTCTTGGCTTCTCGGCTTCCTGGCTTCTTGGCTTCTTGGCTTCTTGGCTTTTCGGCTTCTTGGCTTCTTGGCTTCTCGGCTTCTCGGCTTCTGGGCTTCTTGGCTTCTTGGCTTCTTGGCTTCTTGGCTTCGCTTCTTGGCTTTTCGGCTTCTTGGCTTCTCGGCTTCTGGGCTTCTCGGCTTCTGGGCTTCTTGGCTTCTTGGCTTCTTGGCTTCTTGGCTTCTTGGCTTCTTGGCTTCTCGGCTTCCTGGCTTCTTGGCTTCTTGGCTTCTTGGCTTTTCGGCTTCTTGGCTTCTTGGCTTCTCGGCTTCTCGGCTTCTGGGCTTCTTGGCTTCTTGGCTTCTCGGCTTCTGGCTTCTTGGCTTCTTGGCTTCTTGGCTTTTCGGCTTCTTGGCTTCTTGGCTTCTCGGCTTCTCGGCTTCTGGCTTCTTGGCTTCTTGGCTTCTTGGCTTCTTGGCTTCTTGGCTTCTTGGCTTTTCGGCTTCTTGGCTTCTCGGCTTCTGGGCTTCTAGGCTTTTCGGCTTTTTGCTGGTTTATGCGGCTTTTGGTGGCTTTTTGGCTTTTCGCATCCTTTGCATTCCCAGTTCCTCTTCGGCAGGTGGCGTTTTTCCGACATCATGGGGGGGGCTGCCGCCCCCCCCCAACCCCCGCTACGTTTTAGATTTTCTGCAGAGATTTAATTAGTTGCACCCCTAGTTGAATCATCAATTCTTCGAACATCATGGGGGGGTTGCACCCCTAGTTGAATCATCAATTCTTCGACCATCATGGGGGGGGCTGCCGCCCCCCCCAACCCCCCCGCTACTTTTTAGACTTTTTGCAGAGATTTAATTGCACCCCTATTCAAATCATCACTTCTGCAAACAACATCGTGGGGGGGGCTGCCGCCCCCCCAACCCCCCCGCTACTTTTTATATTTTTTTACAGGGATTGACATGCCCTCCTACTTGAATCATCATTTCTTTGACCCCGTCACACGATTTGTGGGTGATGCTAGGGATGTTGGTGGGACATGCGGGGTATATTTCGCGAGAACATGCTGTAAAATACGACACTTTACTGGCCCGGCAGAGATTGAATTGCACCCCTGTTTGAATCATCACTTTTTCGAGCATCCAATTTCGCGAGAAAATGCTGCAAAATACGACATTTTAGGTAATCTGTGTAGTCCGTGTATGTCTGTATGTATGCATTTCTTCGAACATCATAGGGGAAGCCACCCCCGCCAACCCTCCCGCTGCCTTGTAAATTCTATCACACCCTTTCTTGAATCATTGCACCCCTACTTGAATCACCACTTCTTCCGATCATGGGGGGGCTGCCGCCCCCCCCCAACCCCCCCCGCTACGTTTAGATTTTCGACAGAGATTTAATTAATTGCACCCTAGTTGAATCATCAATTCTTCGAACATCATGGGGGGGGGCTGCCGCCCCCCCCAACCCCCCCGCTACTTTTTAGACTTTTTGCAGAGATTTAATTGCACCCCTATTCAAATCATCACTTCTGCAAACAACATCGTGGGGGGGCTGCCGCCCCCGCCAACCCCCCCGCTACTTTTATATTTGTTTACAGGGATTGACATGCCCTCCTGCTTGAATCATCATTTCTTTGACCCCGTCACACGATTTGTGGGTGATGCTAGGGATGTTGGTGGGACATGCGGGGTATATTTCGCGAGAACATGCTGTAAAATACGACACTTTACTGGCCCGGCAGAGATTGAATTGCACCCCTGTTTGAATCATCACTTTTTCGAGCATCCAATTTCGCGAGAAAATGCTGCAAAATACGACATTTTAGGTAATCTGTGTAGTCCGTGTATATTCAAATCATCACTTCTGCAAACAACATCGTGGGGGGGGCTGCCGCCCCCCCCAACCCCCCCGCTACTTTTATATTTTTTTACAGGGATTGACATGCCCTCCTACTTGAATCATCATTTCTTTGACCCCGTCACACGATTTGTGGGTGATGCTAGGGATGTTGGTGGGACATGCGGGGTATATTTCGCGAGAACATGCTGTAAAATACGACACTTTACTGGCCCGGCAGAGATTGAATTGCACCCCTGTTTGAATCATCACTTTTTCGAGCATCCAATTTCGCGAGAAAATGCTGCAAAATACGACATTTTAGGTAATCTGTGTAGTCCGTGTATGTCTGTATGTATGCATTTCTTCGAACATCATAGGGGAAGCCACCCCCGCCAACCCTCCCGCTGCCTTGTAAATTCTATCACACCCTTTCTTGAATCATTGCACCCCTACTTGAATCACCACTTCTTCCGACCTCATGGGGGGGCTGCCGCCCCCCCCCAACCCCCCCCCCCGCTACGTTTAGATTTTCGACAGAGATTTAATTAATTGCACGCCTAGTTGAATCATCAATTCTTCGAACATCATGGGGGGGGGCTGCCGCCCCCCCCAACCCCCCCGCTACTTTTTAGACTTTTTGCAGAGATTTAATTGCACCCCTATTCAAATCATCACTTCTGCAAACAACATCGTGGGGGGGCTGCCGCCCCCGCCAACCCCCCCGCTACTTTTATATTTGTTTACAGGGATTGACATGCCCTCCTGCTTGAATCATCATTTCTTTGACCCCGTCACACGATTTGTGGGTGATGCTAGGGATGTTGGTGGGACATGCGGGGTATATTTCGCGAGAACATGCTGTAAAATACGACACTTTACTGGCCCGGCAGAGATTGAATTGCACCCCTGTTTGAATCATCACTTTTTCGAGCATCCAATTTCGCGAGAAAATGCTGCAAAATACGACATTTTAGGTAATCTGTGTAGTCCGTGTATGTCTGTACGTATGCATTTCTTCGAACATCATAGGGGAAGCCACCCCCGCCAACCCTCCCGCTGCCTTTTAAATGCTATCACACCCTTTCTTGCAGAGATTTAATTGCACCCCTGTTCGAATCATCACTACCCCGCTCTGTTTTTCTTAATTGTTTGTTTGTATTTTTTTTGCTGGGATTGAAATGCCCTCCTGTTTGAAGCATCATTGTTTTGACCCCGTCAACCCGCCAGCTACATTTTTGGATTTTGTTACCCACGATTTGTTGGTGATGCTAGGGATGTTGGTCGGACATGCGGGGGATGTTGAAAACGATGCTGGGGATGTTGACGAGCTAGTGTAAAATGCGTCAATTTCGCGAGAAAATGCTGTAAAATACGACATTTTGCTGGCCCGGACGAAAAACGAAAAAAATTCCCAAAACAAAACGAAAAAAATTCCCAAAATAAATCCGCACCCGTTTCAGGCTTGCCTGACCGATGGCAGAAGTCTTTGGCCATGCGGTACATGGTGGATTCATGGCTTCAGACCGAGAAGCTGCTTGAGGTTGTACGTGCAGTGGGTGGCAAGCGGGCCCAGCGGGCCCTATGAAAAGCTACAGCTCTTTCGTGGGGTCATACAGGTGAAGATGTTGACTCTTTGCAACCCTTTGAACATGGCCTTGCAATCATCACGCGACCATGTGCTTTGCAAGGGACAAGTTTGTCATTAATTAGAGGGTGAAGCACGCCTTTTTCACGGACCGTTCTCACAAGTGCCCATCTACTACTGTTGATCAACATGATGTTTTCCTTTCTCCGGACTCCCAGATTTTCAGCTTTCCCCTTTGTTTGGTTTGGTGGTTTGGATGTTAGGGGCTACCAAAACCTCATTTTCAAAAGGAACCAGGGTTCAAATCCCAAATCACCCTCCAAGCCATTCAGGAACCATGAAGCTGAGGTTGAGGGTTTGAGCCAGGATGGGCCCATCTACAAGGTCAGCGTGTCGAGGGCCCAGCGGCATGTGACCTGAGCTCTACGTGGGCGCGTTGACGTGTTGGTTCCACGCATGCGCCATCTATTTTTTCACAAGGGTACGGACCCTCCCACCAATTAACATGGAACCTGACAGGAAGACCATTCTTTAAAGGGACCTGATCAGGTTCCATTTTAATTGGTGGGAGAGTACCTCGCATGAGATCGTTGACTGAGTTGCTTTCAATCTGGGCTGTTTGACCACATTCACAAGGCACCAGTAAAGCCCTCTGAACGGCTGAGGCATGTCGTCAATGCTAGATGCCGTCTGCCCCGTGCGAAGCCAGACATTGACGGCTCTCAGAATGAGACTGTTTATGTCTAATGCTGCAATGGAAGAACTCCACTGAGATGTTTTCATGTGATCAATTGAGCGAATGCCGAACATGGCATGGACCGCTTCCCACCAGCTTTACGGCACCCTTCTTCCCTTTGCGTTTTGTGTTGCGACAAGCTGAGCTGCGGGGTTCATGGTTTCATTTGGTAAAGTTTGGTGGGTGGATGGTTTGGGGAGCAACTGAGAGTGAGGAAGAGGGAGAGAGAAAGGAAACCACAGGAGAGAAATAATGATCGAATTCACCGTGGATGTCCGTTCGCATTGTTTGCGAGGTTCCACTTTAAGATAAACCCACGTGGACCCGTTCTTCATGCTGTCCAAGCTTGGAAGTGCAGACTTAGATATTGCGCATTGACTTCAAACGGTGCAAAAATTGAAGACAAAGCACAAAAGCATATGGATGTTAGTTGTTCGCACTCTTTACTTTGACCTTGAAACTTAGGCTAGAGCGATGCTCCGAAAGTTGGAGTTGTGTTTTGCCCCGCGGCTGCTAAGTACGGAGCATTTTGATGCCGGGGCGACGGCCGTCGGGTCGCCCGGGCGCAAAGGCTCTCAGATAAGGCGAGGAGCAGTTCAGCTGCAAGTTCCTGCAAATCACTCGGACACCCTTAGATTGTGGTTTGGGGATTTGATGCCCTTGTTCTTGCAGAGGGTAAGTAGGACACCACCCCGCAACCTCCACCAATCCGAACCACCAATTAGAGGGAAGCTGAAACATTATCTGGACACTTGTTTCAACGAGCTGACCGATTTGGGGGGAAAGCGGGCGAAAACTCCATAATGTAGGTCCTGAACTTGGCCATCCAATTCTTACCTCCGGTTTTGGAAGGGACCCCACCAAGGGGCCACCCCCTAAAAGGTGGTTCCTGTGAACATGAGGCTTTTGCGGCTTTCTGATGAAAGGTCCATTCGCTCTCAGTTTTGGATGGTTTAGTCATGGCACGCAATGGGTCCAAATGGTTGCCACGTAAGTTGGACTAGGGATGTGGAAGGGTTGGATTGCCAATGAGCTCAAGCAAGCCAATATCTTGCCAACCATTTGGGCTAATGTCATGTTTGGCATCCAGGCCGATTTGTCTTCCAAGTGCGTTTGGACCTGGGAAGGGAATCCAGCTCTGCCCACTCTGCACAGATGCAGTCAACCAAGAGTGGGTCTTGCCACGCAGCGGTTGGGGCCACTTGGAAGACGGCACCTGGTGGCTGACGGGGGGGATCGATTTAAGCCTACAGGAAGAGACACTGGGACTAGCGGAGGCATCCCCTAGAGGAAACCTCTATGACTCATGTTATTGATGGGGAGGGTTGCAGATCAATGTTCCAGCATATAGTCCCCTTTCTTGAGCATGCCCAAGTTGGTTCTCACCTCTCAAGGTTCTCGAAAATGGCATCGTAGGATTCCAATCTCCATCCTCTTAGCTCCCCCGCAGGATTTTATGTGTGTTGAGCATGCCTCCCCGTGCCCCCACACAACTTGGCCGCTCAATGGGTGGGGGCCATGTGCCTGAATCCTCCGGACGAGGTCATCCTCTTCGTTTGCCGGCGTTTGGGCTTGGACAGCTGCAACCTGGACGAGTATCAGGAAGGCCGGGCCCTCGTTCCGACATTCGCCGGTCCGTCCCATTCCTCTCATTCGGGGTGTTTTGAGATTGGGTCAAAATGCCCTGTCTATGGTCCTTGGTCCTTGTAGGATATCGGGATGGGGGGGTCGCTAAAACTTGCTCACATGCGTGGCTCCGTCTCGAAGCTCCTTCCCGTGAGGCAGTTCCTCGGTGTCTCCCTTCTTTCTGTTTTTTTCTTTGAAATCAGCCAGCCATGGAGAAAGCTAAGCACCTTTTGTTGACTGGGCAAGTGGGTATGGGTATGGGCTGATCATGGGCAAGCCAACCAATCAGCAGCGAAGCAAGAGCGCAAGCAAGAGTCAAGAGGACACAGCAGCATAAGCAACTGAAATCTCACTACATTTGCAACCCTCGCCCCCTAAATGGCCGTGTCCTAGTAGCAGCATACGGAGGCACCACACTGGACGCAGTTGCACCTTGGATTTGCCAATGGAGAAAGTGGATACCTTTCTCTGAGGTTTGGCTGGCTCCCAGCAATCCCAGGTTACCAGTTTACGTGGAGAACGCTATCGCATCGCCGTAGCGGACATCCGAAACCCTTTCCAGGAGTCTGAAAAGCACGACTTGGGAAACCAGGCCTTTCGATGGGATCGAGCTTTTCCAGGCACAGTGGGTTTGGTGTAAGGAGGGCCAGAAGGAAACTACATGCCTGAGTTCAGGCCGCATGAAAAGCTCGGTGACATGGGCCCAATGTTCTCCTTGTAGTAGCGTAGGGAAAACATTCCGCCCATAGTCCATTCAGGGGCGAAAAGGGGGACAACTTATGAAAGCTTTTAAACACAGGAACTCTCGAATTTGGTTTTTCCCATGTTCGCTGGGAACTGTGTTCCGCGCATAGGGCACAGGACGCACAGGGTAGGGCCACGTCCCTACCAAGTGACAAGTGAGCTCTTTGGAGACTGGGTGACTCCCCACCTCTTTGGGGCTGAGTCGAATTTGTGGCAAAGCTGGTCACTCGCCTAAGGCCTGCAGAGCTGCTTTGGCCTGCCGGAGTTCCAGGCTGCTTTGGCCTGGCGGGCGAATCGCAATCAGGAGGTTTGACGACGAAGGGGCTCCAATAGGAAAGCCAAGAGAGGTGTCTTTGTTCGGGCACCCCCAGAATGGTGCGTTTCCTCTTGGTTTCCCTTTAAGCCCACCAAATCAGGTACCCTCACAAAAAAACGATCCAAAGATGCGCTTTGGTTAAGAAAGCGGCCTTTGGTTTCGCTCTAAACCCTTCCCTCTATCAGGGGCCCTCCTCATAGACACCCTCATTTTAGGTACGAGAAAAAAACGCTCGAATTACCGATTTCTGCTCGACCCCCCAAAATACGCTCGCCCCAAGAAAAACGCTCGACCAAATCCCCTTCTTCCATCCAGAGGAAGGCTGGCATTGTTATGTTTTTTCTTGTTCTTTTTTATATGCACTCGTTTGCGGATATTTGCGCTCGTTTTGCGGATATTTTGTGCTCGTTTTGCACTTTGATTTCTGCTCGCTCCTTTCGAAAATTCAACGACCGATAATCTTGGAGGACCGACCAGCCCGGTTTTGGGAAAAACGCTCGAAGCAGGAAAAAGTGTACGTTTACCATATTTTGGTGACGACCCCTGGTTTTGAAATACGTTTGAGGTAACGAAGGGTGCTCCAGGTACGTACGGTCCTCGTCCAAATGGTATATAGGTGCGTGCCCCCGAGAAAGGGTACCCTCAACGGCATTTGCCCCCAGCTTGTACCACGACGGGCGCATCTCAGGTACGCGGAAGCTGGGTGACTCTCCCATGTTGGGTCAAGGCAAATCGGAAATCGCATTTTTCTGAGGTTTTGGCTTCAGCAACCTGGTGCTGCGGGTTTCGCATCTTTGAAGCTGCTGATGTGAAGCATCACCTGTAGCTTTAGCGCCGATCGGCCTGGCCAAGAATTTGCCACTAAGCCGGGGGGGGGATGATCCGCGAGTCAGTGCTTGACAACCGTGGGAGTTTGCGCCGATAAATCCGCACAAAGCACAACAGCATGATTCGAATGGCAAATAGAGTTTGTGCCCCTCTTTTTTTCCCCAGATGGATCCAAAGCGAACATGTTCCCCGCAAAGGAGATGTGGCCAACCGAAAAAAACCTATTTTTTGGTTTTCATCCACCTGAGGGGTCTGCGACGTGTTCTTCCGGGTCATTGGCATCTTGGGCTGCACGGGCGCCCTAAGATTTGATCATACACCGCAAAACCACGGTATGATAAATTTCAATTTTCCATTTGGAGAAGCGGTTTCCTTGTTGCCCTCTTGAATGGGGTACTAAGCTGGATGTGGCCCTAAAGTGGATGGGCCGATGGTATCATGCATCCATTTCATGTTGACCCCGGATGAATGCCGGTCCTATCCAAAAAAGGCGTTCCCTCCCAAAGTGATGAAACACCACTAAAAGGGGACACCCCCCTGTCAATCACCACAGGGAAAATCCACATGCAGGGGTGTTGTTCCCAAGAATCCGGGGTCCCATAGATGTTTTTTTCAGCCGCAGGGCTTGGCGAGCGGCAACAGTTCCTCGTCCGCCCATTTCTTCGTGGCCGGGCGCTCAACCGGCGCTCAGCGTGGCCCGCGTTTTGCAGGAGATTGCCCAGATGGCAAAATGGAAACTAGGTTTGTCCGTTGCCAGACATCCCCATTCCCATTTCAGTTTTCCATTTACCAGAGTAGGGTCTTGGGGAAGCCCCGTTGGCCCCGTTTCAAAAAGAACGTCGCCTTTCACCTTTCGAAACCTTCCCAAAGGGTCTCTGCGCTTGAACCTTGGTGCTGGGTCGCAGCAACAAAGGTGGATCAGATAGATTCGGATACTTTTTTGCAGCTGCCATGGCATCGGAAGGGGTTCTTAAAAAGAATCAACCCATATATGAATCTCTATTTCATCCCTCCCCCGCAAAACCCATTGGTCCGCTTCTCCATTGTCCTTAGCCTAGCCTGAGGAGCGCAGCTCTCAATGCCACGTCGACCCCTGTCAACTACGGTGAGCTTTAGGGATCCCCCAATCGGATGTGTGCCTGGCTCAGTAGGGGAGGACATTTGAGCATTCAGTTTTCTGTGTGTGTGTGTGTTTCCGTGTGTCTGTTTTGTCTCTCTGTTTCTTTGTCTCTCTGTGTCTCTGTCTCGGGATCTAGGTCTCTCCGTCTCAGTATCCTTGCATCGTTGCGTCATGGTTGTATTTCTGCTTCTCTGTGTAGCTGTGTCTCTGTGTCTTTGTGTCGTTCCGTCTTTGCGGCGTTGCGCCTTTGTCTTTGCGTCTTCCTGTCTTATGTTTGCACGCCGCGAGGCCACCCACAGCGAGGATAGCTTGCTCTTCCTTGACCCCCACGTGACACGCCCGGCACTGCAATCAGCGAGGGACATCGTGGCGTCGCCCGGACCCCAAGAAAATTGGCCGGGGTCCGGCCCTTGCTGTATGTGGATTGGTCTCGCAATGTGGGAGCCACCAAAGCAGGTGGCTTCCTCAAAACTCTCCTTTTGAAAGGCTTCGGGCAGCTGTTTAAACAATACGGGGTTGGAAGGGAAACGAACCTAGGTCCCCCAGTAGAGCCCTTTTACCTTTTTTTGGGGAGGGTTCCCCTACGAAAATAGACTACAGAAAAAGAATGGGTACCCTTCTTCTAACCTCTCCACTGGAGGACCTACGAACAGGAGCTTGTTGAAACAACGGCCGAGACGTGAGTTGGCGAATCCAGGTCCGGCCTGCGCACCGAGCGCCCGCTTCGACTGCCCTGGTCCAACCTCAACCCCTCCGTGTGCCGGGGCCCCTGCTGACTTCGGCGCGTGAAGGGTGAAACGTGAAGCAGAAATCCCTCGTATTCTTTGCTTCCCGACTTTTGCAGATGTCTTTGTCATGTTTGTTTCATTGCCACTTTCATCCACTTTCATCCAACTTCATCTACTTTTATCCACTTTCATCTGCTTTCACCTCGTGGTTTCCCGCATCATCGGTTCGAAAGCGGGCGGGTTTTTTGGGGGAGGTTTTTGGCCCACGCCCTACGTCTTCCCCCTCTGCGCGCAAACGTGAGGCATGGCGTTCCTGGTGCGGTCAAAGGCGGAGCACCGAGCTCAGCACATGGAGCTCCAGGGCTTCTCCAAAAATGTTTGGCGAGCCTTATCCCCCTGAAACCGAAGGCATCCAGAGGGAAATTCAGAGGCGAAGCACGCCTGATGGAAATCCACCATTTTGATAATCTGGAGGGGTCCCAAAATATGGCAAGCTCAGGGGGTCACATAAACTCAGCCATCATGGCCCTTTCTTGGGAACAAGCTTGGTTTTTGCACCATCACTTGAGTTGAGGCTCACACAGGTTGAACAATTCACAATTACTACAGATGGACAAATCCTGCACCAGTTGGTAAGTGGTCCATCCCAGAAGGCATAGGGCTTCGTCCACCCCGACTCATCCGAGGTGGATTTTGGCCGATTTTGTCCATCCACAGCATGGCCTGCCACTCCGGCCGGCGTGCCCCGCAGCCCCTCGTGGCTCTGAAAAACATGAAGGCGGCTTTGGCGCATTCCTGATGCCAGCTCGGAGCATGAGTTGTGCAAAGGCATATGCTTGACCTCCCAAAACTTATTGTATTTCTATTTGCTGAATCGTGGCTGAGAAAATCACCGGAAGAAAACAGCAACATTCGGATGTTAACCGGAATCATTTGGAAGGCTTTGGCTCCCGTCCAATTGCCTTTGGAAATGGACATCTTTGCGAGGATGGCGAGGTCGGGTCATGTGGTGGGGGTCGCAACTCCCTTTTGGAAGGCCATCACATAACCCTTACATTGGAGTGGGGAGGAGGGCTGCCCGGAAAGTTTCCCATGCCTTCCGGTCAGCTTGGAGCCATGTTTGCGCGGCCTTGGCGATTCGCAAGCGCCAGAGAGCGGCAAGTCGAGCCCGCCACGCAGACCCGGAGGCCGGACCCATGTCCAGCGCACCCAGAGGCTTTGTGTACACTTCCCTTTGGGCTTAAGGCTTTGGTTCGGGTTCCCTTTTTCCACCTGCAAATGCTAGGTGCTGCGCCTTGCACTCGGCTGCTGCATGAGTGCAGGACCGGCCTGGGAGCTGGGGGGCGGTGGGGTGGCATGCCTCTCCGTAGTGGGGGGGAATCAAGGTTGTAGACATGAGAAGAAGGGGAAGGTCTTGCACGCGCCATTCGCCGGCTGCACATTGAGTTCAGTGAGTATCGCACTCAGCCCCCGACTCGAGCAGGTGCACCGTGTTTGTCCAAAGTTGTGGGTGTTTTGCATGCCTGCAGGAGCCTGGTGTGTTGTGGGCGCCTGGGCAACTGCTTGACGCGCACGTCGAGGCGCCGTGTCAGCCTTGAGGCGGGGCTTAAAGCCTGGGGCGTTGCAGGCCCCAAATCCGGGGGTTTGTTTTCTCGGCTGGAGAGGGTCAGTTTGTGGGGGTTGGGCCATGCCAGGGTGTAGGGCCAGGGAACATTTTGCGTTGTTCGCTTCCCTGTGCTCAGCACACACATGGCCCGCCCGCAGCCTTGATCAAGGCTCAAGTCGTTTGCGCAATATGATCCACTGGCCCACCTGGGCTACCCTCCTCGCCCTATGCCATGCACACCGCGCAGTCCACAGAGCCCGCGACCGTGGGGTCCTCACGGTCGAGGGCCTGGGCGGAGTGTTTGATGCCACGGAGATTTGTCGTAGCTTCCGTGCCAAGGACGGGCGGGGTGGAGATTCAAAGGAGCATCCCCTCTAAAATGCACTTGTTGCTTCAGGAATTCCAGTTGTAGTCCCCCTTTCCCTTTAAAGGAGCCACTCCCCTAAAGCCATCAACCCGCTATGACTACCAGATACTGGCATTGCGTCTTGCAAGGCTCTCGAACAGGAGCTTGATACTATATGATTGGCACGCTCCCAAAGGTGCAATGGTGGGAAGTGTAGTGCGAATTGGGTGGCATCTGGATGCTGGAAAACCTTGAGCTTCAGAAGCCGTGGATTGAGTCCTGTGACCTGTAATTACAGGCTATCAGGACCCCTTCCCCCAGAAAGGTTCTCAGAACCCTTCCCAAAGTCTTTTCTCAGAAGGGTCTCCCCTGCTGTTGAATCCGGTGACCTCTTAGACGAGTTCCAGAATGGGTCTCCTCAATCCGTTCCTGCAAAAATGATAGCTGCGCTCAAGTTGTTTTCCCCTCGAAGCAGGTTTTTCTTTCTCAGGGTTGTTCGATCCTGCTCGATTCTGTGAAAGAATTGGCGCAGTTGTTGAGGATACGTATCTCCATTCTTCTCCAGCAACCACCCCTCGCCTCAGTTGTTCGATTGCACCCCTTTCCCTTTTTTTGTTTGGTGAATTCCTACCTCAAAATGGTTTCGAACATTGCCTGGCCTCTTGGGGTTTCCCACAGGTTCCCCTTTAACCATCAACAAATCAACTCGTTGCAGGGGGTCCCTTGCGCCATTCGCGCAGAAAAAGAGCAAGCCCTTGCGCCTTTCGGGCTTGCACCGTCAGGACTCCCAGGGAGTTCTGCACCAGGCAAACCGGAGCACCGTGGAGCGCTGGCTCAAGGCCGGCTTCGCGCTCACTCAAATCGAACTTCTAGGCACCAGCCCAGGACCTGTCACTTTCTTCCAGGGTTTCCCTTCAAAAGCCACCAACGAAAAGGGTGCCCTTTGGTTCTACGCTTCATTTGGGCAAAGGGCCATTTGCGAATTAACGTGGCGGCTTAACTCAAAGTTCCTGGACATGCACACGGTCCAGACAGGTTGTTCGCCCTCTTGGCAAGGAAGGCACTCATTGGTCTCTTGCGCGCGATTGGATCTTGCAAGCAGGAAGGCGGCAGATCCATGTTTCCCTGCGTTGTGGTTGGTTGTCTGGGGATATTTAAATCAGAAATCCCTGGATTCTGTAGTTTGTGGTTGCTCCACAAAATTGAATTGGGAGAGGGGCGGTTAAGTGCGTGAAGCCGGGGCACCAGCGTAGAGGCTTGCCTTGTGGAAGTTCAAAGCGTGCAGACCCAGATCTGGGCCAGGCAGCCACCCCAAGACCCCCCCGTGTCAGTAAGGTAGCCCTGGAGACGGTCCATGCAAGCCCTGCCGCAGCGAGGGATCATCCTTTTGCTTAAGATGGCACTTTGCCACATTGCCAGAGTTGATTAGGGTCAGCTCAGATCGGAACTTTGGCAAGACATGATCTTATTTCCTTCCAGGCTTCTCATCCCCCAACCGTTGCTTGGGGTTTTGGGCTTTGGGATCTTGCCAGGAGGGCGTTCGAGTGCCAACGGAGTGGCAGAATGCTTCGCTGCTTTGGGCTCCGCTGGCGGAGAAGTTTCAGAGGACGTGCTTCAGGGACCCACTTGTGGTTGATACCAAGGGGGCCACAAGAGCAAAGTTCAGATTTGTTCAGATTTCACATGACGGTGAGAACTACCATGGGAGGATGCAGAATGTTCACGTCAATTCGATGACCCGTGGAATTCCATCATTAGCCTTGGAAGCCTAGATTCCAATGGCATTTGTGGTTTGGGCGGTTTCCGTTTGAGAAACATCCAGAGGACGTCCATGTTCTCCAGGCCACTGGTGCTTTGTGTCACGGACCAAGTTTCTTTGAGACTGACGGAACCTGGTGCCACAAGGGTGGCTCTCCGCCACATCGGTGATGTGCAAGGCCCATCGATTTCTGGTCAGTCACTCACGGGGCATGGCAGTTGTCCAATGTGAGTGAATTCGGAATGTCGGGAAATTTCTACAAAGGGGACACGTTGGCACAGTCCGGTGAGCTTTCTGAACCTGAGATTTCCAGCCGCCAACTCCCATACTCAAGGCCATTTAGGAATTTAGGAGCTGCCGCTGCCCCAAAGGAGGCTGTTCAATGGCAATCCTGGAAACCGAAAGAAAGCGGTTCCCGTGTGTAATTCTTTCCCAGGGTCATGAGTGGCCCAGTCAAACATGTTTTTGCCAGGCGATCAGTTGGGGCCCATTTTTTTTGAAACCATACCCCATGTTTGGCAGCCAAAACATACACTTAAGATATATTGTTGGTTGAGAAGCCAACCAAAAGGGTGCCCACCTCTTCCAAGCCGCGCCCAGCGGTCGAGCAGCCCAGCAGGAATGAGCCGGGCGCAGAGGCCATGCTTGTCCGGTTCAACACCTTCCGGGCGCAACATGTGGCGGATCTGTTGTGCTACGTGGCCACGATGCTCGGCGTATTCGGGGACCACTAACAATGGGTGCCTCTACAAAAAGGTTCCACAAAGTATTTGTTATGTGTCACTTGTAAAGAACACTTCGCAGAATGCACAAGTTGCCCAGTGGGCGGATTCTGAGGCAGCGGGGGAGTCTAAAACCCCGGCCCCTCCCGCCCTTTGGACCCCCAACCTTCTGGGTCTGTGAAAGTGAGATCCTGACCTGCCGTGCTGAATGGCCTGGACAGAGCTTCAAGTTTCCCCTGTTTGGTCAATTTCTATGGCCCAAAAGGCCAAGCTTTCATTTCCAGGTTCCTTGAGCAAGTAAGATGGCTAAATTTTCAAGGAGGGGTCTCTTCGAAAACGAGAAGCGAGCAACCCACGCTCTATGGTTTATTCACCCAGCTTTCTGCCTTCGGAATCAGGGGATAAGCCAAGCCTTGAGCTGGAGCAAGGCCAACGGGCATGTGAAAAGGAAGCTATCAGTCTTCACATGATATGGCAGGGTTTTCGCACAGTGACTCACTCTTTATTGGACTTTGGTACGGTCTGGAACCGTTTACGTTTTGAAATAAGGAGTAATTACTTCCTCATTTTCCTGTTGGCCAAGAATCGCTAAGCTATAGGAATCGATTCCTTCCAGAGGTTCGGTTTCCTTGCAGCTTGTGTTGAGGCTCACTACAGATGCTCACACAACCCCTTCTTTCAAAGTAAAAGTATGTCGGCCGTGAAAAAAAAGAAGAACATCCACCTGTTCGGACCCGCCCGCAAAGCCCCCCCCCCAAAAAAAAATAGGGCCCCCCCCAATTTCTGGGTTTTGGGGCAAGCCTTACAGAAACCAGAGCCCATCAGAACCCCCTGCCCCCAATTTAAGGCAGCCTCCCGCACCGTCGCCCGAGCTCCGAGGACCAGCTGCCCCCTCTGCCTCGCCGTGGCCATGGGCTCAACGAAGCCCAGCAGCGACCCGGCGGGAGCTTACGGGGACCGTTGAGAGAGAAACCCAAAGCGAAAACGGGGTATACACCCTTGGTATGAGTATATGGATGCATACATTTATATATATATATATACATCTGTAGATATACATCTATAGATGTACCTTTACATATACATATAGGTAAACTGTATGATCATGATGTGTTCGATGTTTGTTGCATGACCACTTAAGTTTCCCTAGTGGACCTGGTGGATCAGGGTTTTGCTTGTGCAGGACTGAACAGGTCCCTTTTTGCGACACTCCCAGTGAGCAACCTGGAGTTTCGGTTCGCGACAATTTGGTGGCACGGACGCTGTGCATTTTGCAGGTGGGGAATCCAGGCCAACCAGCATGCAAAACTGTGATTGACCAGGACTTTGTGGCTGAATGTGGTTTGTTCACATCTCGTCTCTGTTTTGTTTTTGTGTTGGGGGAGGGCGGGGGGAGGGGGTTGCAAGCTGCATTTGCTGCAAACACCAGGGTGGCCACCCAATTTTCATGTGGGCATGGTAGACGTCGACTAATTCAAAGCAAGCGCCCAGCTGCTCGGTGCGTCCTATAAAATCCAACCTTTGTATGGCTTTCCTGTGAACCATGGGAAGACTACTTGCAAACAAGGCATGATGAGGTTTGTCTAGCGTACGAAGTACTATATCTACAGATCGCAAAATGGAAAGCCAAGTCGGCCCAATTCTGTGCCACTTTTTGTCATTTTGGGAGAGTCCTGACAAGTTCCCATGCCAGATTCAAAGCCAAAGTTGTGTTTCTTTGCATGTTATACCTTCCTGATGATAATGGAGCAGGCGGCAAAGACATTTTGTTTGTTGGCGCACTGGGATAGTTGAATGCATACTTTCACTACTTTCCGAGACTTGTTTAACAAACATGAAACCTCCAACTGAAATCAGGAAAGGAAGCCAAATTTTGAAAAAAATAAGCAGTTATCACTTCAACATTCAGGTATAAGACAGGCTTGTTCGTTGTGGCTTCAACAACCAGCTCTGTTTGTCATTGACCAGAATAGATTTTATCAGACTATACTTGCAAGTGCTTCAGACTGCCCCCGCTAGAGACCTTTCGCAGGCTGTTTACACAAGCCCTACAACCGCTTAACCTTGGATTGACCTATTGAAGTTGAATTCGTGACCTTGCGGGTTTCCCTTCTGCGAATCGGACGATTCACAGCCATGCCAATGTGTGACCGCTGTGGCTCAGCACCATCATCACTTGGAATAGGAAAAGGTCTACTCAACTCAAGTTGCGCACCGGAGGAACAACTATTATCAGGTTTAGCCAAACCTTAATTAGCCAAACCCTGACCTAAACCCTCTCCAAAACCACATTGTGTAACCCTTGTAACACTTCTCACTAGCTCATGTTGTGAGTCGAGTGGTAAGGTGCCTAATCCAGAGGCAGTCAAGTTTCGAATGAGCGGCGGAGCCGCGAGGTGATTTGGACGTCTCGGTGACGGGGTTGTCCGCCAACGGCACGGGCCCAGACGCGGTGGTGCGAAGTTCCTCGCCGGGGAGGGGGCAACTGGGGTTGCCAACCGATGCCTTTCCTTCAAGCCCTTTCAAGGCAATTCGTTGCAACCACCTTGGGTAGAAAATTGGGAAGTTGGATCCTTTTGGTTTGAGGGTCGAGTGTGGGAGTGCACTTTCTGCGTATTGTTAGTTGTCTTCGTATGTAATTCCGTGCGTTTGTTTGCACTGGCTTTGCAGTATGGTTTATCACGTTGAAGTGCAGCGTTTGATATCGAATCACCCTATTTGCTAGATAAATTTTGCGCTTGCATTTATTGAAATGTCGTAATATTATATCGCTTGTCACTGCATGTTGTTTACTGTGTTGTAATTGTGGTGTTATTTTTGTTCTTGTTATTTTCTTAAGGTGTGTGGTTTTTTGGTGTTGGCTGGCGTGATCCAGCGGAAAGACTTTTGCTTGAGGATTGGTGTTGTGGTGTATTTTTTTTTCTCCCAGTGTTTTTGGGTCTTCAGTTTCCTAAGTGTTCTGGTTTTGCACAGCAAGCGTTTACTATCCACTGCACAAGAGCATGAAACGCTGCAGTTTTCATAGCCCGGGAGCATGGAACCGAACCGTTCCCTGTTCTGTTTGTTCTCTTTGATTTGCCTTTGCAATTTTCCACTTAGGTTTTGGGTTTTGGGGGGGCCCTCCACTGTTTTAAGCATTTTGTTTGGGTACCTTGCCCTCATGGGATGTTTGGATAGGTGGTTTGGATTTGTGGCTTAAAGTTGCATGCCCCAAGTTCTCTGTGGCACCAAATGCGGAGGGACCCCCTCACCCCCAGAGCGCGGAAATGACAAGACCGCCTTGAAAACCCGCTAAAAGCGCCACTTTGCCAATGTGACCGGATGTTCGGGGGCAGAGGGCTGGCTCCGAGGTATTCTGATGGAACGTCCCCGCCACCCCCCGTCACCCTCCAATTCCGGCAACCCATGCCCCCTGAGGCGGTGGACATACGGAAGTGGGGGGTGGACTCCTTTGAGATCCAAAGTCGGCATGGGATCCGGTTGGCTGCTTTACGAATTCATGGTAAGCTGATGGGTGCTTGTGATATGAAGGCCTCGGACAGACCCTCGCTCTCTCAAGCATAGTGGGCATCAAGGGAAACCCACCCAAAATTGGCTATGACTTTGAATGTTTGGAACGTCCTCAACGGTGGGGTCTTTTCCAACTCACCAGCCAAACGTTCCCAATCTGTTGCGGTCTGGCAGGAGGACCTGCCAAGGCCACTGCACACGAAAGCAACACACCTAGTTTTTCATCTACGCCCTTGTTGCCTTGTTTTCTCGGTTCGTTGGTGGGTGGGTGGGTGGGTAGGCGGGTTTGTTTGTCTGGTTGGTTGGCTGGTTGCTACCCTGGTCCAAACGGGTCCACCTTTCGATCACTGGGCTGAACTCGGAGGCTTCAACGCCGCCTTTGCCCGCGCTTGGGGGAAGTTGGAGGGCCTGGACATCACGTCGGCCGAGAAGTTTGACAGCAATGCCCCTCGCAGGAAGCTGCGCCCACGTTGGTCAAGCAGAACCTGGCGGATTCAGGCGTTGTTCCCGAAGAAACATTTGCCTCCCCCCCTTGCCATTTCCTCCATCAAGTGGGTGAGGTTGACCTCCCTAGATCGTTTTTGTTGCATAGTACGCCTTGGGTCGGGGCACCCCAAGTTGTAGAAAACCCATGTTGCAGACCAATGATACACATCATTGTCAACACTCAGTTCTGCATTTAATCCATCGTGCAGAGGCTATACATGTCTGTTGTTTCTTTGGATTCCAGGCGCCCTTTGATTCTACCAAGTTCACTATGAAATGCTGTGATTTGACGATGTCAGGCCCTGAAAGCCTGGACACCGGGAAATACATCAAACATATGAGCGCCAGCCCTAAAAACAGATACACCCCCCTTCTGCATCCTTTTGCGCCAGCATCATCCTGTTTCAAACTCGGCGAGAGACACAGCCAGCTAGCAGATTCAACAGCTTAAGCCAAATCCCTACAAAATGCAACACTGACCAAATGACACAGCCGGGCCCAGCCAGTTTGAAGGGAGCCAGAGTAGTCACGCTTCTTGCGGACCCATGCAACACCAAATCCAACAAGAGCACGGCTCGAGTCTCGGCGCGGCTCGAGCTCGAGGTGGCGATTCCCGATAGAATACCCTCCCACCAGCTAACATAGAAGTGCACTGACCCCTGTAGAAAGACCACTTTCCTCTTGAAAAGGGCCTTTTTGCACTTGCAGGTTGTTGGTGGGAGGGTTAAACCTTTGTTGACGCTTGATTTGTATTCCAGGTGCTTGGCCGGGGCTCTGGCAGCCGAGGTCTACGGCTTCGCTTGGTTCGAGGCCCATCTTTGCAAAGGCGGCATCTGCCCCAGCGTCACCCCAGGCCCCTGCCAGGCGCGGCTTTCGCCGCGGTCAAAGGAACCGGAACGGTAGCGAGTCTGACGGAGTCCCGGGTGATGCTCCTTCTCTCATCGGCAACCACAAGGTGTGGAGGTGTGGAGGTGTAGGCCCCCCTGTGGCAGCCATTCCGACATGTGTCAAGGCAAATTGATCCTTTTGTTGGACTCCAACCCATTGCAGTGATCCTTTTTGTCATGCCGTGTGTTCTGAGCCTCGTGGGTTTGCAATGGGCCCCGTGGTTCTCAACTGAGGGGGGGGGGGTTGGTTGCTGGTTGTCTTCTTGACCTGCGATGGTCCCCTTGGTTCTCAATTCTCTGGGCCACCACGCAAGAAAGAAAGCAACCACCTCAAATGGGAATTGGCGTGTCAGGTTTGGTGCCATGGGGCACGGCTTCGCTGTTTCTGCAAAACCGCTGGCCCTCCCACGCAGTTGCTGTCACACCCCGTGCTGAGCTCTTTTGGGCCGCGATTCTGCTTCACGGCGCGGCACGGACCAAGCTCAGGGCTGCGTGGCCATGAGGTTTTGACACTTTGCTCGGCGTGCCTCGAAGAACGCGTGCCCGTCGCCATTGGCACATGCACTTCGCTTGCCGGCTTGCAGGTGGTGGAGGACTACCACGGCGTACAGGGCCAAGATGGCTTGCAGAAGTGGCGGATGGTCCGCTTCAGTAGCTTTGGTCTGGGTTTGGGCTCGCAATTGGTTTCTTGGGTGTGGATATTAAAAAGGCACACAGTGGTGGACACCGTTCACATGGGGATTTATGTCCACCAACCACTTGGGAGGTGGTTCCTTATTAAAATTTATGACCACTTGTGTTTTGGATGCATGAGACATTGCCCAGCATCCGCGTTTACTTCCTAGGGGGCCAAAGGCCAACTGCCCCCAAAACATGAAGACCCTCTCGGCTGGGACAACCCGTTATCGACCAGAGGTTTATCAATCCTGGCGAGTTCACCTTGCGTCTGAATTATGGTCTCGAATTTCTTTCCGCGCTTTCGCCAAGGCGCGGAGGACAACGTTGAAGAGCAGCACATCTTCGCTGTGGCGAAGCTGCTGTACTTTCTGCGGAAGCGCCTCAGCTTGGTTTGATGTGAGGAAGGGCGTTGGTCGCGTCTAGCGTGGATCTGTAGGTTTAGGGTGGGTCTAGGGTACATCCTGCCAAATTTCGCAGTTGGCTCGGCCTTTTGGTGTGAACCGGGCTAGGGCCCATGTGGCTTTGGGGAAGTCTCACCTTCCTGGGATCCCAAAGGTCCGGTTGAAACGAGTTGTTGCAGGTGCCGGGCAGCGGGGTGGCCCAATGGCTTCCGTGCCACCCTTGTTCCGTCATCCGAGTTCCCGGCGCTCCCATGTCTCTTTTGTCTCAAGTCTTGCGCAATGCGGATGCATTAGACACACGCAGCTGGATAAAGTGTAGCTCGCCGGAGTTCGGCTGCCCCATTTCCGCCTTTCGCGAGTCGCGAGCGAGGTGGGGCATTGAAAAGAAGGACCCCAAGTGCATCTCGGAGGGCAGCGAAGAACAGATCGCCTTCACGATGGAGGATGCGGATTTTGGGCAGGGTGCTGAATAGCCACGTTTATTTTCCCAAGCCAAAAGGCATGGCGATGTCCAGTTACGAGAAACACCCGGAAGGCGGATGGCCGCCTCATCCCCCTTTCCAACCTCCACTTCCTTCCCGGAGGCTTCAGTTGAAATCCAATCGGTATTCGACCTTTTTGTGTTCCCCTGTATCGGCCTTCAACCAAAACCAAGGAGCTAAGGTGTTCTCGGGAGTCTTTGCCTGGTGATTGTTTGCGCACTGAGGCTGGCCAGCCTTTTTCCTCTAAAGACCGGCGCAATCTCGTGAGGACGGCACCAACTTTGAGCAGTATCCGGAGTGCGACTCCCCGAAACGGACAGTGTGCCAGTCCGTTTGCAAGTTCTGGGCTCAGGCTGGATCAAGTTTTTTTGGTTTTTGCGCGGTCGCCAGCATTAGGAAGAGGTTTGTCCAGTTCTCAGTTTCTTGTGTTTCTTTCGTTGCGGCCGGGTGGGACAAGGTCAGAGTGGGGGCGGGGGGTCACCCGTTTTGAGCGACTCTTAAGACTTGTTTTGTTCCAAGTCTACCAGGGTCAGGGGAAGAGATGGCCGGTCGAGGCACCAAGCTTTCGGTCGTGACGGCATTGCCTAAGACTGGCCGGGGCGACGCAGTTTCATGAACCACAGTGACCTCGGGCCTTTGAGCTTCTGGCATTTCTGCAGCCTAGAGTGAGGGAATGGAATGCCATGGCTTCAGGGACCGGCCTGGCCGATTTTGCTAGGTCTACACGGCAGCCACCATGCACAGCCGGAGCACCATCCCCAGGCTGACGGACCTCTTCCAAAAGGCAAAGCGGAGGACCGTCCTGATGGCTTGCAGTTGGGCCGGTACAGAATCTTTTTTCACCCGAATTGGGGGATATCTAATTGTGAGGAGCTCAGGGTTGGGCAAATGTTGAGCCTTCTGGACAGCAAACAATCGATCGCTCCGTAACTTTGTTCGCAGACGAGGCCAGCAACTTGGCTGGCTCTGAGCTCTGCGTCGTCCGTCTGTTTCCCAATGCGGCTTTCAAGAGACAGCGTCTTTGATTGGGAAAAAGTGGCTACTCAGTAGGGCTACGTGCTCTCATTGAAGCGGTTGAGGAAGTGGCATAACGAACTTAGAAACACAAACTTTACTATTGCCCCTACGATCTTCTCGGCGACAGCTAGGTGGCGCCACCCGTCCTGGCTTAGGACCTTCCACAAAAAGACACTGTTTCAACGAACCCCTTTTGAGCCATTTTAACGTATTTTAACCAGACTTCGGCCCTGCCTGATTGTCTCGGTTCAGCATCCATTTACCCTTCTTTGCCAGACTTCAAACAGTCCGTCGGCTTCTGCATCAGTCTCTTGGCTGGTCTCCCTAGCCAGCCGTTTTGTTTGCTTTCGTCGGACAATTTGTAAATTTACGACCAATCAACTGTTGAGACTTGGAGAATTTGTTTTTCATGCTAGTTCAGCTTCCCCAGCTTCTTTGCGGTACCATGTGTCCTGTGATTGCTGTGCGCCCAGTCAGCATTTTGACAGCTGGCCCCTACCAGAACTGTCTTCGTTACGCTGGCTACACATTTCTTGGGGGGTGGGGGAGTAATTAAGCTTCCGGGGTGAAATGCACCTGCTAAGCTGCCTTCCGCGCCAACACTGTAAGGGCACGCAGGGAATGCCGCCACCACCACGCTTGAACTGCCGATTGTGCAAGCATGATGCCAGTTCTTGCCAATCAATAAAGCTTGCCCCCAGCATGTTTGCAAAACACATGCAATGCCATGCAAAGGTTCACTGCCGAAGAAAGGTGCGATGTTTTTTTGGTGCACACCAAAGACGACAGTTCCTCAGTCTCCGTCAAATGTCTGAGACATTGGCACTGTCCCGGCCATTGCTGGCCCCAAGCCCGCAGTGCAGTCAAAGGAAACCAACGGGCCTACAGTCCAAGGAGTCCCACCAACCATGTTTTCTTCAGGCTTCAAAGTGACCTGGCTGCCCTTGCAAGCTTGGAGAAAAGACTTGAGGGGCAGCAGAACCTGCTGCTTAGCAGCTGGACACCCGTGAACCTTGGCAGGATGGCCGGCCTCCTTTTCGAGCACCAGCAGCGGTTCCAGCAGATGAACCCCGGCCTTGAGGTGGGCCAAATTGCGTCGCTTCGGGCTGCCCTTGGATTTGCTTGTTGAGAACTCCCGTGCGCGTGTGACCGGAAACCCCGTGCACGTTTGACCCCCGCCCGGCTTCAATCGGAACCCGGAGTAAATCTATCCTCGACCAAGTTGCTTCCACACGTCCCTTTTTGGGTGGGCAACCGTTTGGTTGTAAAGAAGAAGCGTCCCTGTGTGGCGATGGTTTCAAAGGAGACGCCCTCACGAAACGCTTAAAGCAATGTACCGCGCAAAGGAGCTCCTTTTCAGGCAAACCTGTTTTGGGGGCCCATGCCACATTTCAGGCGTGTACTCTTGCAACGATAATTGAGACTGGCAGTCTCAGTAATCTTAGGGCCTGTTGAATACAGCCACAAGGGATGGATTCCTGTCATGTGTCGTGTAATTGTGGACCCCAAGCCCTTCAAAAGACTGGACCGGGCGCAAATGCTTGAAAATGTTGTTTCCACGTGCTAAACTTGGTTTCGTATGCAACCCGTGACGCTCTTTTTTTGGCCAACGGTCGTGGGCTGGGCGAATGCGTGTGTGCTTTTCACTGGGCTGTACCGGAGACAACTTACAATCAAAGATGTCTTCTTTCTTCTGAATTCGGCCACGCACACTTGGCGTTGTTGTTTCAGGACGCCACCCAAGAAAGTCAAGCAAAACAAGAGAGATTAGCAGAATCAATCGAGGCAATTGCAAGCTGCCAGGTGTTTTTTTCTTTTTTCGGCAGGTGCCTGTGCAGCTGTGGGAGGAGGATGTGCTCACACGGAACTCCCTCTACGTGGAGTTTCTGGAAAAGGCCAGGTTGATGGGGAGCCTCGTGCTCCTTGAAAAAGCGGGGGATTGTTTGTGTGTGTGGTGCTGAAAGGGAAGCAAGAAACTCATTGTTTGAGGGAACCTCTTTGTTTTTCACGTGCTGCCAGCCCTTTGCTTTAGTATAAAGGTTTGTTGATTTGTTGTTTGGCCTTTCGATCAGGCATGCTTTATATACTTGTTCTACACATTTATCCTACGGCTTCGCCTTACCGCACTTGTGCCGTGGCTGAGTGGTTAAGTGGCTAAGTGGCTCCCGTTGGCTGAGTGGCAGCGTGGCAAAATTGACTCAGCTCGACCAGGTGCGACTGCGACAGTCGCACCTGGCCGCGTCCCCTTAAAAAGAATCTCCAGAAAACAGATTGCGCGTGCGCGCACGGTAGATCTGAAAGGAAGCCACTTAGCCACTCTTAAGAGTGGCTAAGTGGCTAAGTGGCTCCCCGGTGGCTGAGTGGCTAAGTGGCTAGGTGGCTAAGTGGCGAAGTGGCATTTTTGTTGGAGCCTTGCATCACATCGGGGAGTGGAATGTCAGAGGTCGAGCACTCAAGCGATGCGCAAAGCAATGGGTTTTGCTGGGCAGGGCAGGCATTCGGAGCTGTTGCGGGGCACAAGGAACCTGTTCGCTCTGAACGAACCCAAGGCGGCAACATGAATTCCCCAAGTCTGGCAGGCAAGTAATTACTTTGGGAACAAAGGAAGCCCTTCAGTTTGTTGTGGACAATATTCGGTTTACTTGCATAGGAATCTAATCTAGCATGGGCGCAGGATGGCATCACGCCAGGCAGCATGTTCAGCCAATGGAGATTGCACAGATTGTCACACTTTGTTGAGCCCTCAAAGGGAACATCGTATCCAAAGCATGCTCCAAAGCCACCCTCGATCGATATGGGCATGCCTTGTTTGAGGGTGTACCCTCTTATAGCGTTGTTTCAAAGGGAAACCACCGTTACTTTTTTTATAGAGGCCTCCACTAGGTGGCACGTTCAGAGGTTTGTCTACCGTGGGCATGCAACTGGCTGACCAGGGCCTACTTGAAACCCTGGGCGCTATTGGGAGGGGATCCTGAGCAAGAAGGGCTCCCTTGAAGCCAGGCAAGCTAGCCTACTATTTTTCGCTCATCCTTTAGAGAAATCGTTGGCAATTCGTTCAGGCGCGCTATTTGTTGCGAAGCGCTTACCACATGTGCGACAAGCATCCGTACCCCTCCCCCCATGCACATGTGAGCTTGTCTCGGATTACGTAGGGGAACCCCTCAAAACCGAAAAGGGCACCCCCCAAAAGCAGAAACACCAGCAACCATGCCGTCAACACATGGCTTCAGAGGCCCCCCCCCTCTGGGTAGGTACAACTTGCGAGCATCTCGTATGATGCCCGTAGGGGGGGGGGGTGCTTGAAAATTCCACAGTGGGTTTGCATTTGCGGGAGGCCTATGCAGAAGATCAAAAGCTTCGCACACGCCCCGTGGCAAGGATGTCGGACGTCACTTAGTGGACCTAGCGTTGCTCTGTCTAGCGCATTTTGTTTGTCCATGTTCAGCGCTCGCAGTCATGATCTCGGCAGGCAGCAATTCTCGATCTGCATAGCGAACAGGAATAACATGAGTTGGGGACAGATGTCTTGCGGTCAATGCCTAAGGCTTCCAGCTAGCTCCAATAGTGGGCGAGCAGAGGTCGCATTAGTGGTTTCGCCTGGTTACCTACAACAGTGGTAACTGGAATCACTGGAGCATTCACTGTTGACACTTGCGTTGGGCATGCTAAGCGAGGGTTGCTCACCACAATACTACTAAGTTTTGAGTTGCATTGGGCATGCTAAGCAAGTGTTACTCACTGCAATACTACTAAGTTTTGCGGGGGACTCACCACAATTCAATGCCAGTTGCAGTATGTTGCAGTTTTGAAATGCGACGAACGCCGATCGTTGACGGCGCAAATCTCGCTGAGCCCCTAGATCCCTGTCCTTTGAGCAAGTGAGTGTACAATCAACCCTCGTCCCGGCCGACTCTTTCGTGGAGGAGGCAGTTTCGGGCAACCAAGTCACGTTTGTCGCTTTCTTGGGGGTGACCCTCTTTGATTTTCCACCTTGGCCAACACCCCCTCCCCGCTGTACGTTGCATTCTTTGGGCAGGCTATAAGCTAGCGTAGATGCACAACATCCACTTCGCCGCAATTTGGATGGATGACGAGTGGTGCAACATGGATTTTGTCCATCCAGAGGTCAAACATTGGAATCGCCCATCCCCTTGGGAGGCCCGGATGCCAACGAGTCCGAACTGCGGGAAGGCCCGCATTTGGTGGTGGAAGCCACAGGAAAGTTGTTACAGCAGCTGTGATTGAACTTTGCTTATAAACAAGGGGTTGCGGGCCAACCCTGGTATCCGCAGGCAACGAGGGTTGGCCCAATCTTCATTCAAGTGTCAAGCTCATTTCCGGGTAACAGGGATCCTTTTTCTTTCCAAGTCCTTTGAACATTCTGCATACGTTCATGCATACCCACATAGTTCCTGTTGATTTGAGTCCTTGCCAGGCATTCACATAGCCGCAATAAGACAAGCTGCATACAAGCAGGCTTTTCCGGGGTCTCAACATGGCGTGCCAAAACAGGTCTCTGCTTAGCTTGTTTTTGGGCATGCTTTTGCTGTCGTTTACACTCTCTCGCTCTACAAAAAACAACCTCCTCACCACGCACCCATTTGACGCGCTAAACCTGGAATTCGACCGCCGCAACGTCAAATCCAGCCCTTGTTTGATTGACGTACGGGCACCCTACGGCCCGAAGCAAAACCATTGAAAAAAACTACCACCCCACCCGAAATCTCAAGGCACGAATCTACCTACATCCCCATTCGCTTCGTGTCAATTCTTTTGATGAGGAGGGGACCTTTTTGAGCCAAATGTGTATTTCTGTGGAGCCAGCGTCATGAAAACCAGAAAGGTGCCACCGAAGATGGCTTTTGGGCCGGGACAAAATCCGGTTGCCAGGATGCGAGCGTGTACAAAACCTGGCTTCTCACGGCCTGGCGTTTGGCATGGCTGCTTGGCACATGGCCAGGTTTGAACTTAAGGCAAGGGTCCAGATACAGATCAGCGCTTTAGAGCCAGGAGCTTTGAATGCCAAAAAAAGCCCCCTTCTGCGGTTTTTCTTCAAGCCGGTGAACAGGGTACCCTCAAAAGGGGCGAGACAGCGCACACGCGACAGATGCAAGCTTTTGCTTCAGCTTGTGCAGTTGGATGTTCGTCCCACCCTCGGCTGGCTGGTTGGCCGGGGCCATTTGTTTGGTGGTCTTTTTTGAGGCAGCCTTTTTTGGGCCCATTGAAAAGGAAAGCAAAAGGGAAACCACTGCTTTTGGGGGTCCCCTATTTTAAGACCCGCCCATTTGTTTGGATCGGGTTGTACCGCGAAGGCCTAGGTTCGGTTCCACGTGCAAGGGTTTCAATGGTAATGTCCTCCTTGTTTTCCAGGGATCCTTCTTTCCAGAAAGCTCGGCACGAACCCAGAAGGCTGTGTTCATCAACCCCAGATTCCCTCAACCCAAAGCTTGGCCGCCCCCCCAAAATCCACGCAGAAGTCAAGGAGACCTACTGGACACAGGGCTCCTTCGATGCGGTGGTGGGGCGTTTGCAGCTGGGCCTCCAAAAGCCCTGCGGCGAACTGGGGGCCAGGGGCGACTTCTGCCAACTGCGGCTGAGAGCCTCGGAAGATCCGAGGGAGCTGATTTTCAGGAGCGTGGAGTCTAGCACTAGTGAGCATAGGTGTGCTCAATTTGACATTTGACCACCCTGTTCTTGTATCAGTTTGGCTGAAAATGGATGGGGTCTCATTCTTACCAGTGTTGCTTATTTGTTCCCAATCGGTCCGCCTACGGTTGAGAAAAAGGTTTGTCTCTCCAAAAGTAAAGAATCTCCCCGAAGTGAACTTCAGGAGTTCTCAGAATTATGCTTTGGTTTCCCTTCAAACACAATTTAGGGGTAAGTGTCAGGATGTCGTACTAAAATAGACCCGGTGAGCGGGATACAGGGGAGTTTTGACACCTTGGACACGAAAGCTACTTGCTCGGCCAGGTTAGTAACTGGCTGTCATTGTCTCTTTTTTTGTTGGCCCCTTACCCTTGGCACTGCTCAACATGCACTTATCCCACATGATTCTTTCTAGTGTCCTGTCAGGGTCGGCTCAAAGGCCACCTTGTGGTTGCCAATTGGAAACGTGGCTTTCTTTTGGTGGGGTGGTGGAGAAAGCAACATAGAGTTTTTGGTCCATCTGCTTTTGTAATCAGCCCAACCCATCCCTCAATGGTGGAAAATTGGCCTTCGGCCCACTGTTTGAACCAAGGAGACCCCTTGAAAGTGATGCCGTCATGCCCCAGGTTTGAGCCATCAAGAGAAAACTCCCCAGACAAATCCGGTACAGATCTTGGCTTGGGTTTGCCTCTTGAACCCCAAACGGCACACCCAAAACGTGCAAACAAACGACCCGCCACCCCCCCCCCCCCGCCCCCTTTACCCCCCAACGCTGAATCCCTCAATGCAGTTTAAGGACAGACCAGCTATTTCGATGCATTGGTGGAAAACCTGGCGGACTTGTGGAAGGAGCAAGCGCACTTTGTGCAGGCCAGGTTGGGGTGTGACCTGGGCTCTCGTAAAGAGAGGCTACGGCGTTGAGCTTCCATAATTCCACCCCCGAGCCACTTTCTGGGAAGGGCTGGGGCGAACATCCGACACACAATGTTACACAGTATCACAAACTAGCAGCCAAAGAAAGGGTTCCTATCCCGTTTTTGCGCAGCGGTTTGGACGCTTCGTCCGATTTTCATGGTCTCCCATTCCCCCGCCCAAAGCCGGACAGCGATTCCTGTGTTCAGCCATGAAGCAAGGGGGCGGTGTCCAGGTCGGTCTCGCGCGCTCGCTCTGGGCTGAAGCCTTTGCTCGCCAAGGGGTCAATAGCCAGATGGTCGAATCTTGGGGACCAGAATCGATCTCAAAGAAGCGCGCCCTGTTGATGGGCGAGACGCACTTGGCAGCTGATGGGTGAGGTGGTTTGTCCTATTCATAGGGGCTCATCCATTCCCACTGGTCTATAGTGCTGTCCCATCTTTGGCGCCTTCTTTGAGACAAATGGCTTCACGAAACTGGCTCAGTTATGTTTCCCTTTCTAGTTAGTCTTGTTTTGGCCCCCCGCGACAAAACATGACCAGAGTAGGGTGTGCAAATCCCGCCTGTGACTCTCCCAACTGAGCGACTACTTATGGGTTTGTCTCCATAGGGGGAACCATCCAATAGTTGTCCTAGGCTTCCCCAAGATCATCTGAGAAGGCTTAAACACACACCTCTTTGGGCACAGATTCTTGGTTTGCCCGGTTGGGAGAAGAATGACTGAAAGAAGTCTACCCAAAACCAACTCAGGCAACGGAGTTTGGGAGGGACTAGTGTGGCCTTGCGTGACCGGCCGAGGGCTCCAGCAAAGCCCACAAGCAGATTGAATCGCTCCTGAAGGTGGAGCTGGAAGCGAAGCTGCATGCAGCTTCGTGGGGATGCCTTTCCTGACATTGGACAAAGACCCCATTTTCAAATACCGTGGACAAAAACCACTTCGCACTGGTTGGCATGCTTGTTCATTTTAGTCCCATGGGGTTGTTTCATGCATCCCTGCGACTCTGAAGCCAAAAGTCCAACTTGGCTGGCAGATTGGAAGGACCTGTTTGCATCCCCTAGGGTAAATGTGCTTTACGCGTGCCCAATGAGCTAGTCTAGGAGCAGTGGCGAAAGGGGAATGTTAGAGGGCCTGACGCCTTTGACCAGAAAACGGGTACATGTGCTCACTTTGGTTGCAACAGATAAGCTGGAAGAAAGGACATTTGGACAAGCGGTCAACCTTCGGCGGTCTCACGCACAAATATTTCGGTGTGGTGTTTTTGAGGGTACCCCCCTGTTTGGTCTGCTAAAGGGGACACAAGGGAACACAGAGGCCTCTTCTTCTTCTTTTTTGGGGGGGAGGATCCACCAAAAGAGGACAGCCGTTTGCCTCAATTTTGCAATGAGGTATTAGGCGGATGGTTCCTGCGAACGGCACAGAAAGGGAGTTTCCATTTGTCAGCAAGGCTTTCCGTCTTTCTGTTTGCGGCCATGAGATCTTTTGCAGTTGGGGAGTGTGGACAACGGCAGTTGGGGAGTGTGGACAACGATGTGAAGCCTTACCTTCAGTTTGGACTTTGTTGGTGCAACTTGGGTGCCTCAAGTGTAGAGCCCTAGGGTGCATGGACAATGTCCTGCTTCAATTGGGGTGTGAAGCCGATTGAAGCCCTTTTTGAAAAGTAGTGCAAAAAGTACCAGCTGCTGCAGATTTTCGACTGAGGGCGACGGAGCCATGCAAAGGATCTGCCAGGACAAGCACGTGTGCCAGGCCTGGCCCTTTCAGTTCGCCCTGGGACCTCCTTTCAGGAATTGGTATGTGGGTGTGGGTCAAAAATAGGTACCCAAAATGGGGCCCTGGTGAATGGAAACATGGACTAAAACCTGCGGTCCTCTGTTGGTTTGATTTTGACCCATACCCATGTGTCAGACAAGAGGGCCCCAAAACATGTCCGTTCATTTCCCTTGCAATCCAACCTGAGCATGTTAGCCTTCAAGCAATCACAGCCCCTTATAGTAATTTCGGCCCTCCTTATGAGAATTCTTGGCCGTTTCCATTCCAGAGATTCAAAGGGTTGGGTTACAGGAAATTCTACAGGTAAACAGCTTATTCACGGTGTGTTGGGGCCATTTCCTGTAGATTTGCCTGTAACCCAACCCTTTGAGAGATGTGGGGTAAATTAGGCTCTGCGTAGGCGCTGAGGCGAGCGGCTGAGAAGCCAGAGGCCTTGCATGGGTCGATGGGTCGGCGGCCGGGACTGGCTTGAAGCCAATTTGCACATCACCTTTCGAGCCAATGCTAAAGGAGTTCCCCGTAGTGATGAGCGAAGCCCTCCCCTCGAACAAGTGAGGGGTCTCCCCAAACTGGGGGTCAGACTCGGTCCTTTTTGATCCTTTTCGGACCTCTTTGCTTAGTAGTGGTTTGGAATTGGTTTACTGTCCTTACAGCCCCAGCATTGTCCGGAATTAGTGCCTGGTGTGCTGTCTCCGTCCTTAGACTTTTGGTATTCTTTGGAGGTGGCCCAGTGTTGGTTCAGTTCTCCTGCTGGCTTGGTGTTGTTTACAGTTTTAGATCTGTTTTACTATTGGTTTAGTATTCCTCTGGTCGAGAGATTTGGGTTTTCCCCTTTTTCCCACACATGATTGCCATTTTGGGCGTCCTGTGCCCTCTTGAACATTTGCCTGGGAAGCTGTTTTAGTAAAATTTGTATTTGATCGTTTGAGGCCTCAATCGGTTGTATTTGCTTCGGGTTGGCTTAGTATTGGTTTGCTATTTGTCTAGTATGGGTTTTGTAGTTAATATAGGTTCATACTACTAAGATAGTTTGGTTTACTATTGTTCTAGTCTGGCCCCCCCCTTCCCCCCCCCCCCGGCCCCCAAGGACCAAGGACCCTGGTTACCAGGCAGTTCAGAACATGAGAAGGTTCTCCCCGTAGTGGTGAATGAATCCTGTCTGTTTGGAACACTCAGCAAGGCGGCTCTTTCTCTTGTGCCTTACCTGGGTGAGTACTATGGTACATGAGAAAGAAAGGCCTTTTGCTCAATGATTGCAACATCAACATATTGCAAAAGCAAGAGAGAAGCAGACACACACACACACACACCCACCCACCCACCCACCCACCCACCCACCCACCCACCCACCCACGCACGCACGCACGCACGCACGCACGCACGCACGCACGCACGCACGCACGCACGCGCACGCACGCACGCACGCACGCACGCACACACGCACACACGCACACACGCACACACGCACACACGCACACACGCACACACGCACACACGCACACACGCACACACGCACACACGCACACACACGCGCACACACGCACGCACACACGCACACACGCACACGCGCACACGCGCACACACGCGCACACACGCACACACGCACACACACGCACACACGCACACGCACGCGCACGCACACGCACACGCACACGCACACACACACACACACACACACACACACACACACACACACACACACACACACACACACACACACACACACACACACACACACACACACACACACACACACACACACACACACACACACACACACACACACACACACACACACACACACACACACACATTTTGTTTGAACCTTCTGAATCTATTTGTTGTATGTGCCGTAGCCATGTAAATATGCTACTGCCGTAGTGTGAACCGGATGTCCCACTTCGCCCTCAGGACAAAGCCATATTTGTGCCATGAAATGCACTGCCGAGGTGGCATGTCATGTTGGTTGTATCGTTGTGCATTGATGATTCATCTCTTCGGTGGTTGATCATATCCGCGTCATGTCTGATGGTCATGCTCAGGGAAGGAGTGATGCCGGTGTTGTTTTGTCTTCAATTGCACTTGTTGTGCTTCCCTGTTGTTCTGGTCAAACTCGCTGTAGTTTGACCATTGCCTGTAGTCCGTCCAGTCTTGGTTACTCTGATTTGCTGTGTCGGGCTGCCACTTGTTCTCGTTGTTGCCCTCCTTCCATGGCTTTGAGGCTTAGGACCCCCGTCAAGTGTCGGAGCCTGATCTGAAAGGCGAGAGCTGTGAGCGGACGTGGCCCGAATGCCCAAGAAAGTGGATGGTTTAAAGTGCAACAATGGGCCACTGTCCCTCGCGACCACTTGCGAGTACGGAAGGCAAGGGCCCTAAAGCGGGCGGTGGATTAGGGAAGTGAAATCGCTTGGATTGGCTTCATGATTTGCCGAAAAGCCTGCCAGGAAAACATTTGCTCGGAGGGCGACCTTTGCTTTCTTTGCACGCTGTGGATTGCAAAGACCGATGGCAACGAAACCAGCTGCGTCCCCAAGACGAGCCCCTTGGCAGATAACCAATTGGATCGCGGGGAACAATAACTTCTCGCCGATCCGCATGGCCTAGGGGGTGTATCTTTTGAGTGCGTCATTTCCTTTGCTCCCTCGCAGGAGCAGCAGGGGAGGCTCATTGGCAAATCCAGGGACATGCAAAACATGTTTGGTAAGCGCAAGTATCCCAATGTAGACGATGTTTACCAAAAGGCCCCCAAATACAACTCACACCCAAGTGATGCAGACAGAGAGGTATGGCAGTCAACCACTGGGCTTTCACAGGTCACAGCTTTGTTCTCACAAAGCCAGGGTTGGAGTGGACATCCCCACACGTTGCACCACCATACGTTGTTTGCGAACTTTGGCAACTAGTTTCATGTTCAGTTTCTGGTTGCTAGCAGCCCCATATGTTGAATTTTGAAAAAAGACACCCGCGAAAGCAGAATATGTTTTATCCCGACCCCCTTTGGCACTGAAGCGCGAATGCTGCGCTAAGGTGTGCCTGCGCACAACTTCATAGTGCAAGGCAGGATTTGGAGATGCCCGAAATTGAGCTTGGGCGGAGGGGCCCTATGCAACTGGGTCAATTTGTGACTTGGTCAGTCATGGAGCCGGGAATTTGATCCAGACGGATTGCCACATTGCAAGGCTCAGAGCCTCACAGATTTGGAGCTTTAGACCCCGCGGCACATCGAATCCTTTCATTACTTCATCGGATTGGATCCAAGGGTTCCGATCGATGGCCAGGCTCGAAGTACATGACCCGAGCCTGGCAGATGGTGGAATGGAGCAGAGTCAGGGCTGAGTCGGGGACCATGGCTGTGGAGGCCTCGAATGTCCCGAAATCTGACTCAGACGGAATATTTCGGCCATCCTTCCGCGCATCCTTCTACAAGGACCAGGACGCCTGGCTGCAGTAAAGCCTGTGTAGCCCGGAGGTCTCGTGACTGCTTTTGTGATAACATTCTATATGGCAGCCAAGAAGGCATGGCGCATCATGGCGCCCTTTCTTCTTCAGCCAAAAAGCAACAAAGTAGTGCGGCCCCGCACGCCACCCATGGAAGCCCCTTAAAGGGCCCCCGTACATTTACGTGGCAAGTGTTTCCCAAATTGTGTGGACAAGTTCTTACATTTGCTGAGGCCAAGGAAATGATGGATGCTGCAGAGCTTGCCCAGCGCCACAAGTCAGTCGATGTATTTTTAGGACACAGTTGGTGTGCTTCATGTTCCCTGTCAATTTATGGTGGTCCGCTCAGCACATTGGGTGCTGGCCTTCAACATTGACGAATCTGGAGTTTTGGAACTTGCTTGCTTGCTTGCTTGCTTGCTTGCTTGCTTGCTTGCTTGCTTGCTTGCTTGCTTGCTTGCTTGCTTGCTTGCTTGCTTGCTTGCTTGCTTGCTTGCTTGCTTGCTTGCTTGCTTGCTTGCTTGCTTGCTTGCTTGCTTGCTTGCTTGCTTGCTTGCTTGCTTGCTTGCTTGCTTGCTTGCTTGCTTGCTTGCTTGCTTGCTTGCTTGCTTGCTTGCTTGGTGGGCCAACCTTTCAATGAAAGGAAGTGTGGCATCGGCAATATCTTGGCGCAATCTAGTCTAACATGTGCTGAACAGGTCGTCTTTAATCGGCTCAGGGCGCCAAAAGCGGACTAGGGGTCATATGCGGCTGAACCTTGTGGGCGCCTTCAAGCTAGTATTTCCTGAAAGTGGGCCTGGAAAAGGGCCAATCTTTACTTGACCTGCATTCACTTTTCGCTTTTGCAAAAATCCTAGGTGCAAGAGATGCTGGAGTATTCGGCCCGCTGTCTTACGAGCTATGCGGCTGAAATGCAAGCAGACTGGCGCGGCAGTGGCCATCAAGTGCCCTTGGCACCTGAGCAGCGATGGGCTTGCGTGGCTAGGGCCACTTCTTAGGGAACCTTTTTGTACCAAGGCCAATCATTTGCAGAACGGAACCCACTTTTTGGAACCCCATTTCGGGTCGCCCAACTTCCTGTTGTGACACCAAGGGAACCACAAAGCGGCATTCAGAAGTCAGGTTGTCCGCTTTATTCTAGAACGGGTGAATTCCCACAGCCATGCTCGTCAAACAAGCTGTGCTCTGGCAAGCCATCAATTTGGCTGCCCACCCATTGGCACCAAGCGGGTATCCGGACTGTGGGCTCCCGAAGCTGCACTATTTGTCACACAGCCCCCTTAAACAAGATAACATGTTTCTCTCAAACGGTGTAGAACCTGGGCTGCCCCAAGGAACTGTGCAAGGATCTGGGGATTAACATGCCCTTTGCAATATGAGGCGCATAATTTGCATCTGGTTTTATTAATTAGCAAGGACCCTGGCTGATAATTGGGAAGGGTCCCGGAAGGGTGCTCCATGGTGTTGGGGGCTCGCCACTCATAGTGATAGGCATTTCCAGAATGGAGTAGATGCACCAATGCGTATATTGCCTTTAGAATCGGTGTAGGAAGGGTACAAGGGTTAGCCAACCCCTCGCTTAAGCAGTTTCCAACTGTAAACTAAGCGTGCTTTTTCAGATGTTGCTTGAGGGGTAACGTGGCTCAGTTGCAAGCACGTAAAACTTTGCATAACGAGTTGTACATGTATATATTTATATATGCATATATGTGAATATCTAACAACTTTTTATCTGCCAGACGTTGTCTGACTGCGGTCGTGCTCAGGAAGTCTTCCGAGAGTTCCAGATTTGTTTGGGCCGCTCCGCGCTGAATGTGGAGGACTGGCACTGGAATTTGGAGCAGCGGCCTGGCTTAAGCCGGATGTCTTTCCCCCTGACCAAGGCAGGTTCCGCCGGCCGACCAAGTCAAGCAGGCAAAAAGGCAACAGCTTCAGAGGCTGGCAGGCTACTTTGTCTCTGGGCTGCGTTGGGTATTTGTCGGACCAAGCGCAAATGTCTTCATCCAGGCTCGCGTGCCGAAACAAAAGGCGTTGAGGTTTGGGAGTGAAACGTTTGAGCTTCTCAACGGCAAACCTTGATACTTTGGATCACGAAGCAGTCACAGTTTTTTGGTCAACAAACTGTCACGATTTTTGGGCTAGTGGATTAGGATTGGCAAACCCTTCTTTCAACAGAAATAGACACAACCACAAGCAGGCAACAAGACCTACAGGGAAGCGCAAACAGACAAACAGAGACAGAGGCATAGAGAGAGAGAGAGGGAGATAATTGGAAAGAGACCGGGACAGAGACGGACATAGAGACAGACAGGCGGAACCGCAGCCGGACATGAATAACCAGAGATAGACCGGCAAAAAGCAAGGGACTGGTGTTGCAAGTGGGTCTGCCAGAGCGTTTTTTTGGGGGGCGGGAGTGCTCAAAACCAAGTTTTTGGGCGCATGTTTGGGGCTTCCAGCGCAAAGCAAGTGTTTGGGCTGATGTTTGGGGCTTCCAGGACCCTGTTTGGTATAATCGGTATGGTGTAGTCACTACTGCTGAGGACCCTCTTTGGAACAAGTATCTCTTCTTCATAATCACAGTCAAATCACTGCTGGCTTCTGTCGCCATGGTACAACACATGTAGCGACTTCAGCCGCCGACTGAGGCTCAGCGCCTGGTGGATCATGTTCCTGCTGCGAAGCGAGCCTTCCCTGAACGGCTCTAGCCAGCTCGCAGGGTAGCCAGATCTACAGGACGCTTCGCGTTGTTCCTGGGAGCTGGGTCACTCACAAACTCGCGTTTTTCTCAAAGGCAACCACCAGAGGCTGGACATGCTTTTTCATGTCCACTTCCCCTATTCAGAGCCAAGTGGAAAGGCAGGAATTTGCGTTTTGATTCTGATTGCCTTACTTGAAAAGCCAAAAGCCAGTGACGCAGACTGCCCTGTTGGCGTCCAAACGTGAGGCCGCTTTTTCCAAAAGTGGCCAAGCCCGAGCCGTTGGGCGATGGCGAGCATAAGAAGCCGCGGATCCGAAGAGCCACCCCATGTCGAGTCCCAAAGGTTCACCCTTGAGCCGGTGTGCTGGGGTCCCTTGGGCAGTGAGGATGGGCTCATCAGTGCTTGTCTGCACGAGGCAGAGTAGCATGGCTCAGCCCGCCGTCAGCGATAAGCTGCCCAGGCAAAAGGAGTCGGCACTTGCATTGGCTGGGCTCGCCGAAGGCTTTGTGTGTCTTTGTTACAAACGGGGATGCCTTGTTTGCATGGTTTGAAAAGGGAAACAGGAGGAAACCAACCCTTAAAAGGGGTCTCCCGAATGAGAACCACATCGAAGTCAGAAAGCTCAGTTTCCTTTTCCAGGGGCAGATTCCCTCAGCCGGATTTCGCTCTGAATCTCGGGAGGGACTCTGACAAGGCCAACCCAGAGAGACAAACTCGCCCTGCGATCTGCCCCCGCCCCCCCCCCCCCCCAACCCTGCTGATGGAAGGTTTTCGGACCCCTTCTGCGAACCCCAAAGTACTGCGCAAGCATGGCAAACCACTGGGTATAAATGTTGAGTTTGGTCCCCTTCGGTGGACGTTTGCGCGGGCACAAAGTGCCAGACCATTATCAGGTCCCTATTAATTAACATGTATCTCCAACCTGGACCCTGTACAAGGCACTGGGCTCTTAAAGTTGGACAGGTTCTACTTGAACCTCTCTTGGCTGGGGTCTTCAAACGCGTGATTTGCCCAGATCCGTGTTGGTTTATGTGTGTGTGTGTGTGTGTTTCTTTTGCCGGATTGAGCCTCGTTCAGGGACCCTTGTCCAGGCGAGTTGAGACGTGATCACGGCGAAGGCTTGGCGAAGGTGCACTTAAGCCCTCCGTTTTCGACCTGGCCGGCGCCCGAGAATGGCTTGAATTTCGCTTTAAAACTCGGAAGGCACTAAATTGGAGCCATAAAAGGGTAACCAGCATGTGGAGAGCCAAGCAAGAACCTTGTAGACAGGGGGAAGCTACCTGGCATTCCCGGCATTGGTTGCAGCTTCTTCAGAGTTTCGCTTGTTTCGTTGAGGGGCTCAGCTTTGTTTCAAGCCGCGAGATGCGTTCGTGGCGCTTGGTGCAATAGCCAATGGCATGGCACTCGCGTTTTTCGCGCATGCCCCTTTGTTTCACCAGCGGGCCTCGTTACCTGGGTTTTGGGTAGACCTCTTTCTTATCGGGCTTCGATTGTGACCCAACGGACGTTGCCACCAGCTGAGGTGGATAGTTCTCATCCAGTGATGACTGGCGGCCATTGCGGAAAATGTGGAGCGGGTGGTTTTGGTCGTCCTTTTCGCTCTTCCGCATGGACCCGTCTGGGCCAAGGCATCTTTCAAAAGGGCAGTTCTCGAGTTCAGACCGTGGACAGATCAAGCATGAAGCAGACCGTTCGACCTATCTAGACTAAGTAGGGGGGGCAACATCCCCCATTTCGCGGGCCCATTTTCGGAGGTCAATTTGTTGGACTTGATGCACCACTCTCACTCCCTGAGTTCTCGACTTGAAGCTTTTGGGGACCGCAAGACATTTTCGGCCAATCTCGAGGCAGACTTCTAGGTTTTGATGGTTTTGCAGGGATCTCGGTTTCAGAAAGTCAATCCTGTGAATACGGCATCGTGCTTGAACACCAAGATGGTGGAAGAGAATAGTGCAAGGACGCCTTAGAAAGAGTGCTTTTAACGAGGTGTCCGATCTCCCTGTCAAGTAGTGACAGTATTGATGTTGGCCAGCGGGTTTGAGACTTGCTGTTCTTCCTTTTGGGCTTTCCGAATCAAACTTCCCTTTGGTGGCTGATGTGTAGGGGAATCACGGAGAGCCAGTTTCAGAGCGGTAAGAGAATGCTGCCGACGCGCAGGCCTGAAATGGGAACCCTGTTTTGCTTGGTGAAGAATGACGGTAACCAGAAAGCCGAACAATGGGCCCAATTTGGGACAGACTTGCCTATTTGGACAGGCCTTTCAGTTCTGGTCCCCATGGAAGCGCCCGTTTTGGTGTTGGAAGATTGGTTACCTATTGGTAAAGCTGTCGCTTGGCTTCCTTTTTCGTTTTCTCCGCAGCCTTTGGCCCCTGAAAACATCCGGGGGCCCTGGAGCCTGGCGCCTGGCCGGGGAGACCCGCCGAGAAGGATGCAGCAGAGCCTCGAGAAGCGGCGGAAGGATCAGGTGGAGCAGTTTGCGCGGGCCCTCGCCGAGGCGCGGTGTGCGGAACGCGCGGCGTGAGGCACAGAAGGAAAACAGGGCGCGGGGGTTGAAGCAGGGATAGGAATCAGACACTTTGGTTCACACATGGCCCATTTTCTCAGAACCAGACCCAGCCGGGACTACTTTTAGAGGCCTGCCCACTTAGTAGAGGAGTTCTCACTGCGTCAGTTCCCTTTCAACCATGGTGGAACAACCTACTTACCTGATGTGCGATGGTCCTCCAAGTGCGTAAGGGTTTGTTTCCAAACCGAGGGGAGGGTAGAATGGGCGGTTTCAGTACCAGGCCTCCTGTGCAGTGCTGTGGTTGGAGAATCAAACGGGCAGCGAACCGACCCTTTTCCCACAAGGAACCTCCGGTGAGGTGAGCCCCATTTTTTTCGGTCCTTTGTTCAATACTTCCCTTGGCAAGGCCAAGCAAACCAAGAAGCAACCCAACCCAGCACCCCCCTGCCCCCCACCCCCAAACCACCAACCTCCCCGCGAGAACAGCTGATATAGACGACAGGGCAGTGCCAGGCGTCCGCAGGGCGCAGCGTTCTGTAAACACGAAGCCTGCCGCCCCCCCCCCCCCCCCCCGCACCACCCCCGCACCAACCCAGCAGCCCGTGTTTTGCACCCGAGGTGAGCCCCGAAGAGTTCATGGCCCCAGGTGCGGGCCCCCGGTCCTTGGACCTGAGGCTCTCGGGGGCCATCCCGCGGCTTGGCGCAGGTCTCCCCGTTTCAGCCCATGGGGGGATGTCGTACCCAACACGGAAGCCACAGGGTTCAGAAAAAGGACAAGTGGCGGATAGCATGGACATACCGGCATAGCCTCCCTAACATGGCACCTGCGGAAAACCTGAAAGATCATGTTGTTGGGACCTCGTGTCAGGTGCCATGTTCATGGCAGTGAGAGTAGTTGCCATGACTCCAGGCGCCTGGCGCTTGGGGTGGGCTCGGGTTGCGTTTGGGTGGGGCGATGATCACTTGCCGCAACACGCGCCCAGCGCAACGCACGCCGAGCACCACGGTCTAATTCAAGTAGGAACTCTAATCAAATCGATTGGACTATGGGAAGGAACAATCATCTTGCCTAAATGGCAGCCAAAGTACATTTAAACTTGGAAAGGAATTCCTATGTGAAATATATTCCAACATAAGAAGCTAAACTAGGTTGAGTAGCAGAAACCAGCCGGCCTTTCCTTTCTAGACTCTAATCAGGATCCTGCTTGCAAATAGAATTCCATTTCAATCTATGTGCAGCCTACATTTTAATCTGATTGCTGACTACAGTCTTGTTCAAGCAGCATCTAAAACTTGCAAACCAATAGAATGTTTCTACGGTTTTTGTTTGCTCCTTTTTAGCGGCAGGCAAATTAGAGAAAAAGAACGCCAGCTTGTCATTCCTTGCTTGGTTTGCTGAAGGACCCGTGATCCTGTCGGAAACTCTGTGTGCAACTGAAGTTCGAAGGTGAGCTTTCCATCTCGGCACCCATTTGCTACGCAGAACTAACAGCACGGGCCATCTTGCAACGCCAAACAGGAGGATGCTGAGAATTGCGGCTACTCCATTTAGAAGCATGTTACAACAATCCATGCAGAGGGCCACACTCAGCAGAGCATGCGTGAAACCTCAAATTGACAAAAGAGAAGCAACTGCACTACCACAGTCCTCTGGTCTCTCTCTCTCTCTCTCTCTCTCTCTCTCTCCCCCTGTTGTTTTGTTTCGGGAGAAGGGGGGTTCCCTTATTTCTCAAACATGGGCAGCATGGCAGGTTGGCTGCCGGGCAAGGGTTACAAATCCTGGAACGCCTGGTGGCGCAATGTCACCCTGCGGTAATGTGTGGGAGGGGCAAGGGTGCCCCCCCCCCCCCCCGTTTTTGCGGGCAGTTCCTCATACATCAGCCCTGTGTGGATGCAGGGGGGGGGCACAAACTTTTCATTGGGGGACCCCAGCTATGAATCAGGGTGCTTTTATTTAAGTTGGGTCATTTTCTTCCAGAGATTTGAGCAGTCAGAGTCCACATCATGTGCGGCGATGAGGCCCCTGTCGTTTGTGCGGCGCGACGTGCTGGGGACGGCAGCCATTGCACTGAGCGAGAAACGAGCGGCAGAGGAGCTCATTGCCAAAAGCCGCCAGGAGCGGGTTGCCGTGACGCCGACCAAGGCAAACGGATGGTTTTCTTTTCTCTCATTGGCGGGAAGCGAATGTTGGTGCCCTTCTGTTTTTTGTTTGGCTCCCGTCCTCTTTCCGCTACATTGGTGATTGTGGTCAACAAATTTGTTTACCGTTTACACGCGTGTTGCTGATTGTTGCCGGGGCGTTTGACCGGTCAGTTCGAGATGTCGGGTCATGTTGACCTCGGAGCTCAGCCCCCCCCTCCCTAGGCAGGACACAAAAGGACAAGATTGCTTCTTTCATCTGATGTCATGCGTCTGGTTGTTTCCGAAGTCGGCATTTTTTGCCGGGTTGGATGTTTTGCTGCATGTTTGTTTCCAGACCTCCTCCTATTTACCCAGATTGGTGCCACCAGTGAGTTGGTTTGGATCCGGGCCCGTGGCTGGCTTCCTAGAACGTGCCCTCTGTCTCCAAAGTGTACCCCGAGTGGAGGGCTTCCAACCGCTTTATACGCCCAGTCGCTTTTCCATGTTCCAACTTGGCGATGGATAAGGGTTAGGGCCTCCTAGATGGTGGGGTTTGACCCCTGACTGGGCCGCACCCAGCGCGAGGAATCACTGAATGCCAACCATGCAATTGTTCAAGAGGCGCGCCGCATGCGCGCTCTCAAGTCGCAAACTCAGCGGCCTCTCGGTTGCCCAAAGCGACTTTTCCATTTCGCTTGGGCCCAGCAGTGGCACGGGCAGGGTTCCTTATGTGCTTCAAAACAGCCAATTTGCGCATTGCTTGTTGGACCAATTGCAGCCGAGTTTCCTCTTGCGGTGAGGCGAAAGCTACGAGCCCTGCAAAAGCGTGGTTTGGTAAACTGGGAAGTGTTCGGACCCGTTACGATCAACCAGGCGTCACGCCTAGGGACCGGGATCCACCGTGCACCAGTTCTAAGCTGCTCACCTGGTAAAACGAACTCAGGCATCATGAAGGTCCCTTATTTCGAATTCCCTTATTTCCTGGTGCTCGCAACAAGGGTTATGCTTCTTCTGTTGCATGCGATTTGGTATGTATATACATATACGCACATCCGGCTTGCATATCAATGTGTTGTCTTGGGGCCTTTGAAAGGGAAACCACGGAGAATCCACCGAGTTTGCCCTTTGCTACGCCGCCGCTGGAAAATGAGGCCCTTCTCCATGCAAAGCACTCGCGATGCTTCTGGCTTGCACAGCCGGCTGTCGGGGGATGTTGACTTGGCCGATCTGACACCAGAGGAGAGGGCCTCTTGGCATCTCTACGGGTTCATTAAAGTTTGGCCCGGATGTCTTTTCACACATCTTTCACCAAGTCCAACTGTTATTCAGAGAGTGTCTCGTTTGCAGGTTTAGATTCTCAAGACATGTTTATGTGCTCCCAGGTGCCTTTTTGCACCAAGGCGATGTCAGCAGAGACCTACGCTACGAGATCGCCGTCGCCTATTCCCGTCGGCCGAGCCTTCGAAGATATGCTCGCGCAGTACTACCGCTCTGCAGAGGAAATCGCAGACAAGGAGTTCGCGGAAGCCCAGAAGGCTCGCTTCGAAGAGAGCCCCGGCCGAAGAAGAGCCGAGCTGTTTGGTTTTGGCCATAAGGAATGGATCACTTTTGGGTCCCTTTGAGAAAAGTCCCAAATTGTGGTGGCCTCTGATCGAAAAAAACCAAAAAAAAAGGCAATGAATCGGAGTTTTGCCATGGAAGAAAGAAACATTTGAGTTTCCTTCGAAGCATCGAGGCCCGGAGTTAAAAGAAACATGAGAGAGGCTGCCTTAAGATGAGATGATGAGATTGTTTTCCAAGTGATGCCCAACCCTACGCTGGTTTCTTACGCTTTGAGCCGCACGTGGCACAACTTGTTGCCCCTTCTCGCTGGCTCAAAGCCGCCTTATTTCAAGGTTTTTTCTTTTTTTCTCCATGCCAGCTGCAACGGCTCTACAGGTAAGCACCCGTGGATGGATGAAATCCATTTCGCACCATCTAAGAAACCCTTGAATAATGATGACTCCCCTGTAAATACCACCAAACACCAAACACTGGTTGCCCATGGATTCAAAGCGGTGCAGGATTTCGTCCATCCACAGCACCTATTATTATCCTTAGATGTTTTTGACCCCCTTGGTTGTAGTAAGTGGGCTTTGTGTTTGACGACCAGGTGAGCAGCTCTAGCATAGCAAACCCGGTCCAGTGCATCACATGACTATGCGCGCAGAGCCATGCAGGGTCATGCAGTGCGAGACCTTTAGCCCCCAGCCGAATTGGCCGCCACAAGTGAAGAAGTTGTAATTGTAAATTCACTGGAGATTTGGAGGGTCCAGGGCAAAGAACCTGGGCCCAAAGCGATAGGAATACACATGGATGTAACTTTTGACTCTGGGGACCCTTTAAAGCACTAGCAGGTATCATTCGCATGGGAATCTACGGCCGTCCATTCTTGAGGATGGCCAATTCAATTTCAATATGCCAAACTAAAACAGACATCCCCTAAATGGACCTCCGACCTTTTTTGGGGAACTTTGAAGTTAGAGGATGTTGCAGTCAACGCTAGCTGACTTTTCCTAAGAGTTTTTCGGAGTTCCAAGGTGACAAATCGCTTTTCGGAGTTCCGGCGAACAGCTGAGGACCGACCGGCTTCAGAAGGAGCACGTGCACCGGGAGCACTTCGAGATGCGGCACCGCCGCCGGGAGGCGGCCATCGTCCACGAGTTGTTCCCCGGTTGTTCCAACCCAACATTTTGACCTTCCAGTGAAGCTTTTTTTGAACCTTTGGAACATTTTTGGTTTACCGGTTTGGTCCACTTCTAGTTTTTCTTCAATAGTCGGTTCTATTATTTACAGGTTCTTTGGCAAGTGAGGTTCCGCCGCGAGAGGCGCCGCGTCTTCGATTCCTCGCGGGCGGTGCTGGTCACAGACCGCCGCACGGCACTAGTTCCGGGGATGGGGCGGCCATGAACCGGGTGTGTGACAAACACGATGGGGCATCTTGGGGAGGTACTTTGGTGTCTAAAAAGCACAAATTGGTGGCGTTTGGTGGCGATTCATTCAATTGCACTTGATTCTCTCTTTGTTGAAATTGACACGTTAGTTAAGGACCTATATTTCCGTGGGTCAAGCATCACCTTTGAACATGAGCTTCCTCGGGGTTTGCACCGATTTCAGGCCAGTTAAGAAGGAATCGCACTCGCTGGTTTAACACGTCACCTATTCCGGCGTAAAGCATCACCTTCAAACATGAGACACCCCTTTCGGTGATGGTATTTGGTTGGACCACAGGGCTGCCTAAGAATCCTCTTGGCGGGCCCTTTTTGGGCCATGATTGGGGCCAAGCAGGTAGGCGTTTCGCGATAGCCACGCTTGTAATTCGGAAAAGCGGCCATACACGGAAGCATATATTTGCAACATATTCATCTCATGGCTGATTGCATCACGGCCATGCATTTGCAGCTGCAATATCTTGTAATCTTTGGAATTCAGCCACTAACCCCTCATGCCCAACCCTACAGCACCCTATCTGCAGTTCGCTTTGCAACAACTTGATGTCGTCACTGAAAAGTACCCGGTGCATTCAACAATGGGGGACAAGGACACTCGAATATGTGCCCTGTTCAGGTGATTTCCCCTAAAGGAATCCCAAACAATGACCCGGACTCTTGGCTCGCTGCAGGTCAATTTTCTGGCACTGAGACTACCTGACTCAGCCGAGAGACATACTTCCCCCAAACCCCCAAAAATCAGCACGGCCCCGGGCCTTTCAAAGATGGCCAAACACCAAGGGTCGAATGTTGGCAAATGTATCTTCCTTCGGTTTGGGGCCACATGTCTCCATTGCCAATGGGGATGGTTGAAGCAATCGGTTCAGGGACCAACCCCCTCCCCCAAACACACCAGGCAAGGAAATTGGAGGTATGCCCAGGGGCAGTTTAAAGTTTGATGCCAGGCTTGGAGGACGAGCGCCGCAAGTGGCGGATAGAGCAGCAGCGGCGCAATGAGGCGGCCAAGCAGCAGCGGACCCAAACCCGAGAAAGGCGAGAGAAGTTCGAGTCACATACCGACTTCATCCTTAGCCACTTGGCTGTGGACTTCATTTGGGGGTGTCCTAAAATAGGGATATCCCAACGCTGGCAACGCTTCATTTTTTATTTTTTATTTTGGGGGGGGGGCGTCCCTTCAATCTAACCGAGAGGGGTACCCTCAAAACGCCGCCCATGTGCTTTTTTCATTAGGCCTTCCCACTGAGACTGTCCGTCACCTGGATCCGTTTCTGGGGACCATCAGCCAACAGGACGAGCAGAGAGGGAGAGAGAGAGGGAGACAGGAGAGATGTCCAACTAGAAAGCGACCGGCATGTCCCAAGATTTGCCACCCACCAGAAGGAGTTTGATTCCTTCAATGCTCTTTTTGCTGGTTTCTTCGACTCATTCGGACGTCCCAAAAAATCCCAAAACGGGATGATCCCCGTGTTTCTTTTCTGAGACCCCTGGTTGCTGGCTCGTCCGGCTTAGGCCGTGGCGCGTTGGACCGCGCCTGCGGCAAGGCCGACCGGCGGCAGCACCGCCAGCAGCAGCTGCAGAAGACCAAGGCCCAGGCGGAAACCAATCCAAACCAATCCAAACTTTCAAACCGCCAAACCGCCAATCCACCAAACCACCAAACCACTCCAAGCCACCAATCCACCAATCCAAACCAAACCACCAATTTAAACCAATCGGAGGGCAACCGAGCTTAGTCTACGGGAATGCCATCTGAGTTCCTGTTAGGTGGACCAGCGAAAGGAGAAGTGGTCGCGGCACGCGGGCCAGCAGAGGGCCCGCCGCCTCTTCAACCAGGAGCAGAAGCGGATCTGCGCCCTGGGATGATTTCACAGGGGTTACCCTCCTCAAGGGGTATGGGATCTGGGCGCCTCCCGTCAAGGGCGCCCCGGGATGTTCACAGAATCGGAACCCGCATTTTGTTTTTTTTTTTGGGGGGAAGGCTGGGAAAAGTGGACTTCAAAATGTGAGACTTGGCCTAGGTTCTGTTGGGGCATGGTTCCCTGAAAATCGGCAACCCAGTGAATAAAGGGATCCCTTTTCTGGGGCGATTTATCCGCATGTGCTTGAAGGATTGAGGTGACTTGACTGGACACACGGAAACACGGAAGGAGGACCGAAGGACAAACATCGGCTGAAAATCGATTGCTCATGGCAGTCCACCCTCAAAATATCTTTGTGTTTGGCGGTGGCCCCAACGTGAAATCAGCTCAAAAAGGAAAATGGTTCCATGTTCTTACGAGTGGGGAGGTATCAGGCAAGGAAAATTCCACAGGAAAGGACCCGCTTGGGGTTAATACATGACCACATATTTGAGAGAAATGTGCTGGGGCTAAGGATCGGCAGGTTGCTGACGTTACATTGGAGTTTAAGTCAGGGCCGGGAAGCCACCAATTGTGTGCGGTGGCTGGAGATGAAATGAACCATATTGGTATATGTTCTATTTGGTTTCTGATTAGTACATGAGATAAATATTCGAGAAATAGTTCAGCAATAAACATTGAGCCGCTCGTTCTTAGCTATATCTATATATATATATATATAGGTGTGTATTCTTCTGTGCTGGACAAAGTACCAGACACACGTGCATCTCGATTGTCCGTTTACTGTTGGATTTCGCCAGGTTTGGTGACAGCACACCCTGGTTCTGAATGGAAGTCATGTTTGGTTTCCGTCAAGTACAGTGACTCGCCTGATGGAAAAGTATGGAACCACAGCCATTGATTCGGCACAAGGGCCCCGTTAACAGGAACCTGATTTCGGTGAGTGGCAATTTCCCACCAGAGACCCTCAGCGTGGTTCCAACGGGCCACATGGCTCAGGTGACCAAGAGAAGGAGAGGCAGCACCTGTACTGTGCTGCCAAGCAGCGGCAGGAACGGGAGCAGGAGTTGGAGGAGCACAGGGTTCGCAAAGTTGGTTGAACCATGACATGGACCCAGGTTGCTTTTGGGGAACCTGGTAGATGTTCACATTTCTTTAGCATTTTGGTTTGGGTGGTTGCCTCCTGCAGGAGAAACAGCTGCATGTTCAAATGCATCATGCCTGCGCCAGCCTATTGAAAGAGATGAAGACGCAGACCACCTGGTCCTCCACGGAAAGTGCCAGCATCCAGGACCTGTCCAAGTATCACAACGCCCTAGAGGCGATTGCAACCCTCAGTGATGAGGTTTGGGCTGCATTGCCTGAGGCTTGTAGGGAAGGCTTAGCTAGCACGCCAGCATAGTGCTTATGCAAATCGCTGCAGGCTGCGTGAGGGAAAAGTGGGAAACGTCCGCAAGGAAAACTTAGAAATTCAGGCCAGGCAAAGAAATCTTGCAATTCTGCGGCTTCCCGGGTTTCAATTGTTGTTCTTTCCAATTGCACAAGGTTTAACATGAGGGGAGGCCTTTGCACTCAGGTGCTATTGTACTTGGCTGAGAAGCCTGTGCCCGCTGCACTTTTCTGTGATTATTTGCACTTCTTTGCGATCACAGGGGTTGTGATAGCCAGCGGCGGTTGTGCCGTGGATTTGCTCACTTCACTGCTACCTTAGTCAAACTTCCTCCCAATTTGTGCAAGCAGAACAGTTTCCACACGTTCGAAACGGCGGGTGATGGGGTAATATTTGGCCTAGGCACATGATGAACCCAAAGATTTAAATCCCAGGTTTCGGGTTCAATGTTGAGGCTTAGGTGCTGCCGCCCTTATGGTGGCGAGTGTGGCGCTTTGCCATCGGCCCAATTTCTATGGCAAGCGATAGGAACAAAGCTCCGATCGCCTTCGGCCCTTTCCTTCCGCTTCCGAGGTTCGACTCATTGTGCCAGCGCCTCGGCGAAGGAGCGCAAAGGGGACGAAGCCAGAAGCGCAGCAGAAGATCCTCCAAGAGGGAAGCAGCTTTCTGCACCACAAGTGCTATGTTACTAGAGTCACTAGAGGAAGGGTAGCATTACTCTTGTTCCGGCTGACTAGTAGGATTGGTAGGGGCGTTAGTGGATGTTAGTGGTGTGTGTGTGTGTGTGTGTGTGTGTGTGTGTGTGTGTGTGTGTGTGTGTGTGTGTGTGTGTGTGTGTGTGTGTGTGTGTGTGTGTGTGTGTGTGTGTGTGTGTGTGTGTGTGTGTGTGTTTGTGTCAGGGTCTCGGGGCAGAGAGCAGAGCTGCCGCAGGAACAGGGTTTCTCAGAAGGCACTTTTGTGTATGCCGGATCCTTTTGCCTTCTGGGGAAAGGACGGCTGGACAAGTTGTTTGGAATTCTTCCCATCATGACTATCCAGCTCGAATCTGGCAAAACGGTATTCGCCCGACCCCGACTTCGCCCATTCGCCGCCAGGACCGCGAGAGAGAGTGTTCGAAGTGCTGGAAAGGCAGCTTGGGGGGTTTGGAGGCGTCTCGATAATTTGTTTGGCGACGTAAACCCACATGGGTCTCTTCTTGGAAAATTGGAGAGCGCACCGCCTTCACAAAGAGCTGGAAGCGCAACCTGGAGTCCTGGACTAGCCTTTTCGCAACAAGCGCCTGTTGGAGTCATGGGGTATACGTGTAGACACCGTACGCGCTTTTCGTGTTCATTACATCGACCTATAGTATATATATATATTTACATATATCATATATACATATATATATATATATATTGTGCATGCAGGCGTTAGTTTTCGTACTTGGTTGTTTGGCCAAATTAGTAACTTGCTTGTAACTTGGGTAAGCCACTTCAACCCCCCAGGTCAAATTGACCTTGTTTCTCGTGGGCTCTTAGGGCAGGTTCTGACGAAGCTTGCAGATTTGGAGCTGGTTTGCTGTGACGCCTCAGCAGGCTGCCCTGGCAAGTGCTCCAGATACAGCGCTAAGCGCTGAGGTGTCTACAGTTACATAGATCCATAGCATACACATTCACAAAGATAATTAGAGGGGGGAGGAAGCAAATTCATGGAGAATGGGCAGTGCAGCACGACACCAAGCTACGATTGTGCACCGGGCAAGTGTAGATTTAAAGTAACTTCTTTTGCGCACGGTCCAGCGGATGGCCTTGGAAAACCAGAGGGCGCCCAAGAGCTGCAAGTCCATCGCGGCTTTGAAGCCGGCTGAGCTGAGTATACAGCATCCATCGGTAACATGGGGGCCTGCGGCGCGTGACCCCTCGTCACTTGCCAGACCCACTTGGGTGTGTCAATTTGAGGGTACCCCACGTTTGCGGCTTTTAGAGGGGAAAGGAAGACCACAACTCTGGGTTGTCCAAAGCCCATTTTTCAGGGCTCGGAGAATTACGAAACTCGACGAGGCAGCCTACCTACAATGGCAGCTTGGATGACCTCATGGAGGCAGACGACATTGCCGCCGGCTCAGAAAACCTGGAAGCACTGGCAAATGTTAACATGGCGTCCCCCCAAGGTCAGATGTTGCTCACAAAAGAAATGTCCCTTAGTATTGGCCAATACGATTTTTCAATTGGGAATGAGGATTCCAGAATTCCAAAAGGATTGATTTGTTTGGGTTTTCGGGGAGGGGCGGGCAAATCCAGGGGACATTATGTGTTATATATAATTCTGTATAGGTATATTTGTGGAGATAGTTGCAAGTGCATGGAGCTGTCTACGTCAAATGTAATCAGTTCTCAGTCTTGAGGTTGACGAGGTTTGCGTAAATAAAGCGATGTGTGCAAAGGGGCAGCATGCTCAACTTTGGTTGAGCTGTGTGTTACAATGGGAACCCATTCTTTGCGCAGCTTTCGTGGGAAGGCCACGTCTCACGGTTCCTAACTGGGCATCAAGTGGGTTTGTGTCACTTCGCCCGTCACAGTGGCTGCGCTGGCCGGTAAAGATCATTTCGAGAGGTCAAGTTTGGGGGCAACACGGAGCCGGTGATGCGAGCGTCTAGAAAAACTAATTGTCAAGGAGTCAGGGAAATGAGCATCCCACGCGACCTTGAGCACATGACAACCACGCCTCTCCGCGTGTTGAAAGGGACTGAGCCTTCCCTACGCCCCTAGGGTGAGGTGACTTGCAGGAATTCGGGGGGATGTTCGTTTGTGGTAGTTCCGATGACTGGCCTTCCATTCGTGTGCCCGAACGGCGTTCACATTGCCCAGGTCGTGGTAAACTAATTTGGTGAAGTGCATGTGTCTCGAGCATGGCAAAAGGAGCCAGCGGCCTTGAGGTCACATGGGCCCGCAAGGCGAAACCTGTCAATCCCAATTTGAAGCTCACTTTGGGAAGCCACAGGCAGGGCTTCGCAGCCAGTCCCACCATGGAGCTGTGGAGATTCTTGACAGGGATGGGCCAACACCTAAATATTGAGAACCTGTGTTCCGAACAGGGGGGCCTTTTACTGATTGGCGTCTTTTTGGTTTTCCCTCGAAACGCCATCCCAAAAGAGGCCCCCAAGTCAAGAATAGACACGCTTTGATCTGCACATGTCCTGGGCTGTCGTGGGACAGAGTGTTGGCTTCAAATATTCTGTGCAGTCAGTGGGTTTCAAGCTAGGCATACCCCCCAATCAAGGGCCGATGTGACCAGCGGCTTTCACCTCCGGAAGGGCGTAGAATCTCAAGAGGGTAGAGGCTTGTTGACGCGAAGTGCTTGGTTTGCTTGTTTCGTTTCTGCCTCAACTGCTGCTAGATCCGGGCATGGGGCGCGCGAAGCCAGACGCTTGACAGGCATTGACTGGAGGACAGGTCTAGGCTGGGAATCTTGGATGGCCCTGTGGCTATGGGGCACCCCTCAACGGCATGTGGGATATAGATAAGTTCCATGTCCAAAGGGTCCAACGATTTCATACCTCAGTCGCATGCGCCGGGCTTCGAAAGTTTATGGGGCCGTCAGCCCTGCAGCTTCTGATGGTCCTGCCCCACGTGGCAGGCATGTACATAGGTTGCAGGCCGCGCTGAGCTTGGTCGAGTCGGCCGGGGCACTTGAAACGCAGGCCGTTGGCTTTGGCAACCTTGGCCTTTCGCAGACCTTTCGTGTTGGGGCGCGAGCGCCAGGAGCATTTGAGCCCGTGCCACCTGCCTTAGGCCCAACCAGCCCGCGGCAACCCCGATGGCCCTGGGAGAAGGGGCACTGTGATTGACTCGAAGTGAACGCTTGCACCGCCCTTGGCCAAACCAGTTGCCCAGTATATTGTGGCTGTGTTTTTCGTTGGGTCGGGTTTCTTGACCAGCAACCAAGGAAATTTGTTTCTTGGCCACAGGGCAAGCAGGAAGATGTCTTTGGTGCCATGTTATTGTCACTGCATCACGCTGTGCCAGATGCCCAGATCAAAACCAGCGGGCGGCCAAACAACGCCATAGTCGAAACATACTTTTATGTGCGGTTGGTTGGCAGGGCCAAGGGAAAATCAGGCAACCATCGTAAGGGTTGCGGAGGGATTCTTGAGGTTTATGACCAGCATGGCTTGACGAAATTCAGGTTCTTGAGCCATACCTTCCCAGTCGTAATTGGGATAAGCAAATGCGGAAGATGCCATTCGACCAAGGGCAAATGCGCAAATTGAAGGTTCCCACGTGAGTTTCTCCCCGCCGCAACATGGAACCACCAAAAGGAGATTCCGCTCCTCAACCGATGAGCCCTTATAAATTTCATTATTGGCGCAAATTGTAACTTGCTTACCTGAAGGTAACACAAGACTTGCCTCAAAATGCTTGCTTGTGAACCATTCTGCTTTGCACCGGTTCCATTGGTTTCGAAATAATTAAGCGGCCGCCCAAAGCTCGTGGTGTTCGGCGTCCCTTTTCCCACAGTGAACGCAAACGGGCGTAGAGACCTAGGGGCCATTGGTCAGAAAAGCGCCCCTTCCTCGAATGGGGCGCGGAGTGCTCTGAAGCAGCACTGTCGGAAACGCGAGTGGCGAAAAAAAGTAAATCCGGCGGCAGGGTTTGCCTTTGGAATCTCTAAACATATTTGAGATCCCCAATGATTATAGCGGATTGGGGAGTATGCAGGGGAACCGTTTATAGATTTAAGCAAGAAAACACAATACGAAGAAATGAACCCCTCCGATCAGTACCGGTGGCCGGATTCGCATATTTTAGACTGGTTTGGATGGGAAAATGGGAATGAGTGGGTTGACTCGGCTGTTCGCAGGCTATTCTGATCCTACAAGTTGGGTCACCTTTTGCACCTAAACAGCAGTCTATGCGAATTGGCAAGGATAAGGCCCCTCCATCAACAGAGATTGAGTGCCGCCCAGACGCCCTGAAGGGTCATGTGATATTTGAGCGTCCTGAGTTTAGTCCCATGAGTCTGGCCAAAGT